AAATTCCCTTTCGGAAAACATGTTATACTTGATACTCCGAAGCAAGATTTCTGTTAGAATTTTTGTACAAAAAAAAAAAAAACATCTTTGTAAAACCAATACATTCATCGTTCCGGTCAGAATCTAAACAATTTTAATATCGCGAAAACACGATGAAACATCCTGTAAATGCATATAATATTTAAAACGTTCGTGTTCGTCCTGGTGTGCGACAAACGGGCCACCCTCGAGTTTTGTCCGGACGATATTGTCATTATATACCTGTGTATAATGTTATTGTGTTATATAGTATAGTTCGTCGGACCGCACGCCTCTCACGGTCGGGGACACGGACGTTTTGGCCCGGGCGTTTGATATTTGAAAACCGCCACAACACATACAAATAATTTATACGTTTAAAACACGTCCGGTAGTGATTACATGTGTACTATATATTTTCTTTATTAATATTTTTTTAATATCGTACGATTTTCTTGGTTTTTTCATTTGTAAAAAAAGTGCTATCATTGTTATTTGGAGCAAAATTGCTGGTATAAAAGTTATTCACAAAAAAATATCTTAATATTTTATTAATTTATTTCATACGTTTTCCTGTTTCTCTCCATTTTTTTCGTTTATTTACATTTGATGAGAACGCTCTTGAGAAAATCCAAAAATGTCCTCCCTTAAATACCAACCCAAGAAAATTTTCTTTTAGAAAATGGACTACATCGTATATATCGGACTTATCGAAATAAGCTTTCTTGTAGAAAGTTTTCACATGGAAAAAAAAAATTAAAAAAATTAAAAATTTTTGAAAAACCAATATATTCAGAATCTAAAATTTAACTATGATCTCTAAGTTTCATCGTATTTCTGTAGATTTAAAAAAATAACATGTAATGTAAAACATAAATTCTTTGTAATCATATAGAGTGGGCAAGCCGGGGCCTAGAAAGATTTTACTGGACCACCACTGGCGTCGCCACTAACCCTACCACGCCCCAAATGAAGCTAGGGAGATGAAATTTTGTATACGCCATATGCGTGGTATAAGTATTGAGACTGTGCCTTTTGAGCAATTTCAACTTTTCCCCCTACCCAACCATGTTTATGCTTAGATTTCATGTTGTCACAAGAAATACCGAATTTTAAATAGCCTTACAGACTCATCAAATGAGTTAAAATCTATTCAATGTAAATAGCACTGTTATCAAGTATGTGTCATTAGAAAGTTTTAACATTCAAATCCTGTTTGTTTGTATTCCGAGAACTACTTTACCTGTTTCGATGAAACTTTTTTCTGTTTGATTCCTTATCATTAACAGAAGGCTATCGGATAGTTTGTATACCTAAAATAGAAGATGAACAGTAGATCGTAAAGTATGGCAAACGGACGACAGTAGGATTAAACGTTGATTAATAGGTGTCCAGTGAATACAGATCGTAAATAAATTGTATTTAATTAAGTAATATTATACAATAATATTAATACCAGTGAGTTATTCTGGTAACTATTTGAGATAAATTATTTAAAAAACAAATTTTAAAAATGAAATATCGTAACGGCAACAAGTCGGTTAGGGGAAAATTTGACTCTGGTAATGTAGCTCTGCTACTGTGTCATTTTTTTCCCGCTAAATCATTAAATTATATAGTAGTGCAAGACTTGCACTGCAAGTGTTAAAAGTATACACGAATCGATAATTACACTATGACTAATCCCGCGCGTGCACGACTATAGGTATTTATATCTCGCACGAGAGGGTTATTTATTTTTGTGCGTGTGTGTCGATTACGGAGGGTTACTGATTTAATAAAGCTTAATATAAACTATTAGTTTGCGTGTATTTTTTTCGTTTTAATATTATTTTCCGGTGATGTATACACTCAAATATATGTATATATATATACATATAGATAGATATAAATCACGGCCAGCGCTCTAAGCCGAGCAACTGTTCACTGTTGTAGATGGAAAACATTAATTTTTTAACCACAATATTAATTACAATATCTTTCGGGTTTTAAACGAATTTTATGGTTTAAATGAAATTAAAAATCTGATCATTTAGATGCATACAACTATTGTTATATTCTTTATTATAATTCTTTAAATATATTTATGAATCCAAAATAGTTTTATTCACATAAATGAAAAACATGCTAGTTTAGGTAAATACAATAGTAGTAGTCATCAGAGGCGGATTTTGGGGGGGCTGGTCCAGGAAGTCTCGACCCCTCCAAGATAATGACATAATTTCAATAAAATAGTGCCCAAAAAAAGAGACATCTACTAATATAACTTTGAAATATATATGATTTTTCATGATCCCCCAAAAAAATGTTGAGTGTCCGTCACTGGTGGTAGTATTAGTAGTAGTAGTAGGTATGGTTTTTAGTTGGTAAGTAAAATGTCGTGATTTTTACAAATTGTACCAAAACTTAAAATTTAAACGCTTAAAAACAAAAAACTGAACTACACATTTGTATATATTTGTACAACTATTAGAGAAACTTATGATTTATAATTTATACGAAACTTATGTCAAATATTCGAGCATTTTAGTGTGTTTTAAAAAAATTTAAAACAACTAATCTTTACAATCTTCAGATCTTCTTAAAAAGCAACCACCTTGACAAAGTCACACTATCAAATGAACTTTGCACAGAATCGTTTTTTCGTTAGCAATGGTTAATCGTTGATTATAGATATACATTAAATTACTTATAACACTGGCTGCACCCATCCCCATAATCCAAGGACTGTTTTTTTATTTTACTGTATGCTAATGTTTATAAATTTTGATTAGCCCTCCTCGAAATAAAATTCTGGATACGCGCCTATTCCCTCAAAGTCCCCACTCTCAATTATTGAAAAATATGACTCTCGCTTGTTTTGAATAACATTTTAAATTGTATATCCTAACAATTTACGATTTCAAAGTGTATTAAGTGTAAGTAATATCACAAAAAAATATAGAGCTTACAACTGCAATTACATAATATTACTTAGAAAAATAAAATCATAGACTAATTAATCTACTAATCAATGATGCTATTAAATATTATACATTTTGTGATAAAAAAAAAAATGAATACACCCAATAAACTGTTGCCCATAAAACTGTTAAAATTTGGCCGCCGGGACATTCACTTCCTTCGCTCCCTCTAAATGTGCCGTTACTGTCGTATTCGCTTGTTCGTAATATTATCGAACTCATTTTTCAACCGATCTCCTTTTTTTCCCCGATTTTTTCGATGAATTCCGCCTACTCCCCCTCTCCCCCACGTAACACCATATTATGTTTACAAACACTGCTGGTTATATTTGTAACATACCGGTTATTACCGATGTTGTTTAATTAACGGTATCCTGTTTATCTGGTATCTTGAAATGCCGGTGTGTACACTATGTCTCGATTAAATTACCGCAAATACCGTGCACTCCTTGGTTCTAGTTCATGACAAAAACAACTGTTTTTAAATATCGATATTATCCGACCACTACAATACCGCTTAGATGAATTTATTTAACTAAACTTTTAACCATATGGTTACCATAGAGTAATTATGATGGTTACATACAATATCGACAGAAAAGCGGTAGCAACAAAAAAAAAAAAAAAAAAAATGGTAAAATATTATCATCAGGGTACAATATGCATATATAATAATTTTTATTTTCTACTTTAACATGTAGAATGTAGGTATTGCTATCAAAATACGTTTGGAATTTTAATATTTGTAGCTGCGGAAAATTTGTATTCAAAACGCTGGTAAGGCGGAACGGAAGGGAGGGCCCCCCCACGGGTCCGTGTTAGGTGATTGTGCACTCGGAACGCAGTTTTCAAACCGTCGGGTTGAGCTCCTCTCATTTTTCTCGATTCGAGCGCTGTCTACCTACGGTACAATATCACACCCTATCTAACGACTATGAGAACAACCTGTGTCCCATTGTCTTGGGTAACCTACTGTTTTTACAGATATAGCACCGTGGATATCGGCGGTGACCGATTACCGGTTTCAAAAGACCGTCGAACGGCCGTCGCGGGCATGTGACGTACAGGACAGTACAATGATGATAATAATAATATTATCATTATTATTATTATTATTACTATTGTGGCACGGTATGCTATAGTCGACGGCGGCGGTATGTATACCGAAGACGGATACTCGGGATTGCCACCTACAATTCGCTCGTCATCAGCGTTGCCCGAATCTGACTGGTCGGTCGTCGGTAGGTACCGCAGGGTAAGTCATTAACCGCGGACGCGTACCGCAACTGCGATCGACCGCTGTTCGGTTAGGTACCTACCGTCGTCGCCGTCGGGCCGTGCGTGTACCCACGGGCAATACCGCGGGGCACACGATAATATCGCATCCGTATAAACATACACGCGCAAACGTCTTCGTCGTCGTCGTCGTTACGGTCGACGGCGGCGGCGGCGGCGGCGGCGGCGGCGACGACGACGACGATCGGACTAAAGATAACCGCGCGCGTCGACCCCGCCGCCGCCGCCGCACCGCCCGTCAACGACGACGCAACCACCCGCCGCCGCTGCGCCGCGCCGTCCGACGCGACGGTAGAACCGACACGATCGTCTGTCCGTCCGAACAACTATTTCAGGTTCATCTCTCCGCGTCGCGCGCGCCGCCGCCGTAGCTGACGACGTCCCGCACCCCGCCGCCGACGATCCGACGGTACCGCGACAGACGGCTTCCCCGGGCCGGCCACACTCTCCGTCTGCGTGCGACGACGACGATCGCCCCAATCGTTTATACTTGCATTATTATTACTGTTACTCGCATAAGATAATATTGTTATTGTATTATATTATTATTGTATTTATATATTATTGTAGCATCGTTATCGCCGTTACCGGAGACGCCATCGCCGCGGTGCCGATCGCGCGGGTGTAGCGTCGCGCGGAGGCGGTGGTGGCGGCGGCGACGGCGGCACCGTATTATTAGTCGTCGCGGTGGTGAAGATGGTGGTGGTAGCTGGCGGTGGCGGCGGTGTACGCGCGCACCGGTGTGACTAGTGTCCGCACGGACGGTGACTGGTGTGCCTGCGTTATTGTATCCGTGTACGAGAGCTGAACGTGCGTGCGTGCGTATATTATATACGTGTGAACGAGTGTGTGTGTGTGTGTGTGTGTGTGTGTGTGAGTGTGTGCCTTCTGCCTCCGCCGAAAAACCCGCGTGGCTTTTTTCTCCCCGTCCCGCGATTCATACCCGTCGAGCTTTTTTCGCCCGTTCGGGTGCGATGACCGCGTGAGTGACCGCGAACGTCCGAAAAACACACACGGACATTATGTCGTCCGGGCACGTGCTCTTCGCCGCTTCCCCAAGCTTCCGGCGGCCGCATCTCGCCGCCGTCCTGTCTCTGTTTCTGTTGGTGCGGACGACCGCGACGGCACCGCAGACCAAGAACGTCTCCGCAGGTATATAATTCAAACAAATACGAAAATAATTTACCGTAACGATTATTTTGTTATTATAATAGTGTACTAAGTACGGACAACCTGCTACGCGCCAATAACCGGCTTTTCGACGTAATAATAATTAACAATAATGTCTTTGGTCCCGGGGAAAAAGGGCCAAAGTCGATTTTTCATTGTTTCTCGATGTGTACGAATTACGTTTTGAACATTAATAAACGTTCTCCATTTTTCTAGTAGGGCACGCTTCTTTCTCATTGATCATTTCGATGTAAAATGTATAACAAGTTCACAATTGCAGGAACGTGCGTTTGGAGGGAGGGGGATAAATCCCTTCTATTGGCGTTTTTTTTCCCCATCCAGGTCGTTGACAGTTGGGTATTGGTTTTGGTTTTATTGAATGCCAAACAAGTTCACTTTCGCAAGAATTATACAAAAAGTATAATGTGTGATCGAAAAATAATGATTCGTGTGTTCTTTCTGAAATGTTTTCGTAACTCATGAAGAAATCCTGCGCGCGACGGGCCTGCACAGTTGTGTTTTTCAGGGAAGAAATATAATTTCAGACTGGAGTATACTTGAGTTCAACTCTGTATTTATTACAGTATTTACTATAATTATTACACAACCAGCACACTAAATACACTAATTTTGAAAATATACAAGAGCGACTTATTTCGAAAAAAAATACTTCGCACGATGAGTGGTCCACTGTTGTAAGTGAATAGTTGGGAAGGTAGAATACACTAAGTTATTTAATTTATATCCGCAAACAACGATAAAAATTGCTATCGAAAAACGATTCGAAGTGAAGTTCGTTCATACATGTTTTGAAAGACCGTAATATTCACGGTTTTCTTTAAAATTTGATTTTAAAACTCTTATTAAAAAAAAAAATCTATATTACACTCATTTTTTTTTTTTTTTTTTTTACTTCATATCTACTACGGCTTATAATAAATATCTTGTGAAATAATTTTCGTTTGGTCTAACACCGTTTCATCCACATAGTACATACCGATTGAAATTAAGTTGCAAAATTAAAATATCTATTAATATCTCAAAAATGACTATGATGTTTTAAAAATTTGATCGCGTCTAGAAGAAGTAAATATAAGTGTCCAGTCGGGTCTCTGCCAATATTTTTAACTGATACACAACAAAAAACAAAATTGAAAACAATACATTTCGTAAATTGTTCTGGTTTTTTCTCAGTTTTTCTCAATTATTATCAAACAAATTCTTCTCAAAAGTACCGCCCAGATGGCCTTTCAGAAAAAGTGCTACACTTGATATTTCAAAGCAAAATTGTCGATAGAAATCTGTTCGCAAAAAAAAAAATAATAATAATAAACATCATTGTAAAACGAAAACATGTCTCGGGTCCGTTCATAATCTAAAATAATGACAGAAAAAATATTACGTTGTACAAAATTGTATGGGAAAAAAAATTCCAAGAATTGACTCGAGCCCTTCTTCCCTGTGTACCAAAGTCTTACGCACTCGTATATTTTTAATTGTGGGACACGCATTTGTTGTACGCCCCTGCAGTTCTGCGTTTGGGTAGACGCTTGATTTTTTTTTTCCCCCTTTTCATAATTTATTATTTTACGACGGACCGCAATACGGCGCAAACGACGGCGTGTACGCTATAAGTGCACATAGGTACGTCGTAACGTTGTTTCGTCGTAATCGTCTTCGTCCATAATATAGTACCTATATAAGAGTACTCGCAGGTTGTGAGCCTCATCATATTGGGCCACAGTCCGATAAAATACCGCGTGCGAGACGTGTTGTAAAAAGATACATTTTGTTAGAATATCTAATTAAAGATGAATAATCAGCAACTGTTTTTAGCTACATAGAAATATCAGTTTATTAACAATACCTGTCGTAAAACTGAACAGTGCTAATGTAAAATTAAAGTACACGTCAAAATTATTGTGCATAACTAATATTTTAATATATTTATATAATATATATAACAAGATATGCATTAAATATTAATTAATAGTTAATGCCTATCTTTAACGATATCAATATAAATTACCTATTATTTCTTATTAATGTATAAATTACGATTTAAAAAGATCGATCTCGATAAATTATTAATCTAGACGATTCAATTATATACCTTATAAAACGAGTCGGGTAGCTTATTAATTCTCATTAATCTAGATAAAATAAGAGATATAAAGTGCTTATAGTGAAAACGGGTGCGCCACTGTTGTAGGTGGAAAGTTGGGAAGATAGGAGTCATAGTTATTTAATTTATATCCACAAGCCGTTGCTATACGATAAACCATTGCTAATGAAAAACGATTCGGATTCGATTTTTTTTAAAATTTGATATTAAAATTTTTATAAAAAATCTTACATTAAACACTTTTTTTTATTTTTATTTTTTGTTTTCAACAAAATACAACTTCTTTGTTATAATGACCTCTTGTTGAATTTACAAGCACTTCTATTTTGTCAAAAAAAATTGCAAAATTAAAAAAATTCAAAAATGGCTCAAATGTTCTGAACATTTTACTACATCTAGAAAAGACAAACATAAGTTATTTGTCAAAACCTCAAGTCTCTATGAGTACTTTTATCTCAATTACAACAAAAAGAACCCAAATTGATCATAATAAAAGCATTATTTTCGTACATTTTCCCGTTCTTTCTACGTTTTTTTTTATTTTGGTTTTTATTAATTATTAAAAAAATACTCTGAAATCGAAAAAAACTACTTTCTTACTCATCAACTACATTAAAAATTCAAAAAAATGTAAAATCATAAAATAGTTACGCCGTAAATATTTGTCTATTTATCCCTACGTTTTATCCCGGTTTTACTCAACATTTTTGAAAACCCAGGTGAAAACCGCTCAATCAATAAATGACAACCTTAAAGTACTAACTAGAAAATAATTTCCTTTTAGAAAAAGTGCTACACTTGATACAACGGAACGAGATTTCTGGTAGACATTTTGTATACAGTATTAAAAAAAAATAAACATTATTGTTGAAACCAATACAAATCCTCGCTACGCTCCGAATCCAAAATATACATAACTAGATAAAATTCACCACTGCAGTGATCGACTAAATTAGGTTACACATAGACAAAGGAGGAGGCTTGAGATAGCTGAGAAATCCTGAATATTTGTTTTGTTTTTTTTTTAAAAAACTATAGGTTTAAAATATTGCAGCTTGAGCATTGCCTTTTATTTATTAAAATAAAATCAATATAGAAATATATACATTGTATACAGGTTTGCAAAAGCAAATTGAAATACGGATTTTGTTGGTAAGAGAGGGAAACTATATGATGAACACTGAGCTCTCCTTTTCCCCTCTAAATAAAAAAACAAACAAAAAGAGATTAATTCCCACCCACGAAGTCACATCTACTGATGACTATAATATTATAATATAATCCCGTACACAATAATGCCTCGGTCATTTGTTGCAAACCAAACAACCAACCCTCGGTGATATTTTTCACCATAATTGAAAAATAAAAATGAAACCTAAACGACGTTGATAAATTTCCCTATTTTAATGAAAGTGTCTAACAATAATGTGTGTGTGTGTGTTTGCATCATTGAAGTTCGATTAAAGCTCACTAGACTATGTGATAGCAAATAATCATAATACAAACTCGTAAACTCCAACGATAGACAGTCATTAAAAAACAAAACAAAAGGTTACCGGTAAATTTTTTTTTTTTAAATTATTTATACGTACGTATACGTTTTTATTATTACAATTGTTTCTGGCGATTGTTTTTTTTTTTACAATCAGTCCGACCGATTAAATAACGTTTGACTATGTATATTTTGTGTCGATCCGCAGTAAACAATTTTAAAATATAATATTCTGCATATTATTGAACTTGTGCTGTTACGCATTACATTACGAATGAAAATAACCAATACTAATATTCACTCACAATGATTCGCCTTCTCATTTACCGCTTTCCCATATAGTTAACGATTAAACGCTCGATTCGCCATTAAAGTGTTCAATTCATATTTGTATTTTAAAAGAGTTCTTTCTATGAAAAACCTATACATTCGTCAATCTCGAAAAACATCTATAATTATTCACCAAATCATAATCCAGTTGTAATTGATTACAAACAGCCGAATTTGTAGCCCGAAAATAAGATACAACTTAACAAAAGTTAGAACGCTAAAGGTCGATTCCCACTGGTCCGGGTACGTGACACGAAACGACACGTCCGGGTTGACTCAGATCACGCATTCACACTCGTCCGGGTTTACAATTTTATTTTATTTACAACTTGCTATTTTAATTCAGTCATGATTGAAACAAAAACCACGTGTTTTCTCTGTGTCTATTGTTTCAAGTAAGTACTAAATATATAATATCATAAGTAACAATAAAGACCTGTGTGTCGGCGAATCAATTCGATGAAGTTTTAAGTATTCATTGTTAAAATATTTGAAGTTAAATATTGGAGTTGTAGTTGAATTTTTAAGTTAAACAATTTAAATTTAACTAACGACCGATAGCTTTTTCGAAGTTTGTACGAATGACGAATGAGAAACACGGACACGACCCGGTTCATCATTCACACTGGTCGCGACGCGTCCGCACCGGCGAAACCCGATCGGGAACTCGGAGAGCGAATTGTTTAGAACAATATTTTTCCGACCTGAATCCGACATGGACACCCGGTTTGGGCCCGGTCAGGACAAGTGTGAATTGTTAGATACAAAACCAATAAGAAAATAATTTTCTAAAACCCGGACGGACTTCGGCCCGGACGAGTGGGAATCGACCTTAAGATGGATTTGTGGTTTTCCTGGCTTGGATAGGATTAGAAATAATTATAATATCATAATCCTTATCCAGCCTTAAGTAATTCAAGTAATTAATTGCATTTTAGAGCATTCAGTTTGTGATCTGTCTATTAAAAATAGTTTCTACAGACTTCACAAAAAAATTATGTAACTACAAAATAATCCATCACCTGTTCAAAACCTTTAAAAAAAAAACTACTATATATTGAAAGAAAACGACACGGAAATAAGATACTAATTTCAAAAATAGTAACCGACAGAGAGAGAATATACCTAAGGATAATTACAAAATATACGAACATGACTCATGGTCAATTTTTATAAAAACCAAAAACTTTTATCAAACTAATTAAATCCGTAAAAGTTTTAAATAGGTACTTTATAGTTTTAATAAAATTCTTTGCTATAATAAACAACTTAAATTAAATTCTGCATAACTGAATTCGACGTTGTTAATAAAAAATAAAAAAAATTAAGAGCTTGCACACACCCTGACGGAAAATATAGAAGGTTACGTAGGTACGCTTGCTAAAAAAAAATCCACAATAAACTCCGTCTCTGGGAATTTTATATTAAGAACGCACAACAGTAAACAAATCAGCCTTGCCTACCAGACGGTAAACGAGCTCGTTTTCTTTACTGGACCTATAGGTTTTACTGTGTCAATCTGATAAAACGTATTTTTTTTTCTTCTCGAGACTTTAAACGAAAAAATAAAATCTCTTCGAATTGTTTATGTCGTATAAATTGATTTAAAATGTTCAACTCCGCGTTCGATCAAAAATTTAGGTACCTCACTACATTAACAACCATAATGTAAATAATCAGATAAATAACCGTTTGTAAATAATCAATATTTTATACACAATTATTTTCAATTTACAATGCAGTGTAATAGCGTCTCTTACCCGTCCACTTCTTATTTTCCAGTTGATTACCTATATTTATTGGTCCCCTGAAGTTTAATCACATTCATCCGAAACGTTGACGTATGAAAAATTGTAAAATCCACGAAATAACAATATATAAATATCAAAAAAAGAAATATAAGTACCTACGTGTATAGATTTTAAATACAAGTTTCCATATAGTTACATTACGCATCTACCCGTATTTGTTAATTATGATCCAACACTCATGCATTTATAAAGCATTTATACCTAATATAATTAATATGCAGAGCCGTTGGTAAAGTCAAACTTAAAATATAATAACTATTGTAATAAATAAAAGAATATAATAAATATTTATGAAATTGATTTTAATCATTATTCATAGCATTTGTTAAAAATATTATTTAACGAAATAAATTGCATAACAAATGCCTAATACTTTACGTCTTTGTGTAAAGGTAATTTAATTTACTCGAATAATCAAACTGTAGTATAGCTAGTGTAATTTATGTTATTAAATATCAATAAATTATACATAGTTGTGATCAATATATAAATCGTTTTATACAAATACTAAACGAAACCCGCATTCGTCTTACAAATACATGACGTATCAAATTTGAATTTTACGAGACAATTTTGTGCTATCAATTAATATTAGATAATATTATAATTATAATTATAATGATAATTATTGACCTAGGCTAATATTTAAGAACGGGTTTTTTGTACATATTAACATACAGTTAAGTAGACCCCTAGAGTATAAGTAAAGATCATAGAGACCAGTAGACAACGATTTTGTTTGTGTCTACTAGGAAATAAATGATTTATCATGATAAAATGATAATTGAGTTAGACATTTTTCCCGGTTTTTCCCATTTATAAGAAAACACCTGGGAAAATCAAAAAATTACCACCCTAAAACACCATCTCAGAAAAATTCCCTTTCAAAAAAGGTACTCACTTGATACTTCGAAACAAGATTCCTAGTAAAATAAAAATGAAAAAATAAAAATAATAATAACAAACAAAATAAACATCATTGTAAACTAATACATTCCTCGTTTCAATCGGAATCTAAAATGGTAGACGGAACGGTAAAACCCAAAACTCGAAACAACTGTGATAAATGGAGGAACTTAATAGAAGCTACAAAAGGTCTCGATAGCCTATAAAGCAATAAAAAAAAAATCTAGTTTTATACTTATTGGGCCGGTTATTATTATGCTCTACCCTAGCAAATATTAAAATAACTCCCCTATATAATCCACTTGATGCAAATGATGCAACTGGTTAACCCTTTATTTTACTATGGATCAGTCCACCTAAAACTCTGCTGGCCTATAATACTCTATTACTATTTCCCGCATAACATCACATTTTTTTAATTAAATAACCCGAATAAAAATGTACGTAAGTGTTATGTGCATAATAATATTATTATTATGGTCATTTTACGAACCAAATCATAAGCGATAAGAAACGAAATAATTGTTGACCGTAGTAATAATAATAATAATAATGTAATAGTGTTTATTTGACCTAGTTGTCAAAAAATATATTACCTACGGTTTTCTATAAATATTTTTTTTTTTTTATAAACCTTTTAATGGAAAATTAATCATAAAATTATAGCAGCGATATAACTTTAGATGTACTTGTTGATTATATATTTATTGAGATTCCGTCGAGATTTTATATAGAATTTCTTTAAAACATAAGCGATCCGCAAATTTCGAATTTTATCCTTCAATGCAGGCTGCTATTTTTTATAAGTTTTTTAATAGTGCTCGACAGGCCATTAAAGCGTTTCGCATGCTTTTACCGAGCTCCTCCATCTACCCCAATCCATTGAATTTCCCATCGGTTCGTTAAAATCTTCCATATTTTTCCTTATCCTAAACCTGACCCCTGCCTATCGGGGTCTACCCTTTAGCCGCATTTTCTTTGGATTTCTAACTAGGACATAGTGTATAATATATTGTCTTCCGTCGACCCGCCAAACATGATGACCAGCCCACTTCAATCGCTTTGTCCTTGGGAACATTCTATTATATAGACAACATTTCTAGTCCAGAGTTTTTTGTCATCTCGCGTCGTATTCCCCATTTTGATTTCTAACTTATATTTTCCATACAACTTTCCATTCAAACTTAATAAGTAATTTGTCTGATATCTATACATGTTCAAATTATCTTTTTACAAATTTATAAATATATTAAACATACGCGTTATATTAGTATACCTACCAATATAATATAATTTATAGAATATTTTCGTCAGATCTGTTAAAATATGAATAGATTTCGTACATTTTAAACGGTTTCATCCGTTTACAAAGGATATGAAATTGATAATTATTGATTTAATGTCCGTTAACGCCTCCGATATAGTTCGTCAACACTAATACAGCGTATACTGAGACGAGTAGAATAAGAAAGAATGAAATACGTTACTATTGCATAGTAGTGTAGTATAGTATAGGTTTGTAAGTAGGTAGGTACGCGGTAATCCATTTTGTTTCGTACCGGTTATTGTAAGTGCACTGTTCGTGGTATGCAGTTGGAAAGTGGCGACGGAGGAAGAGGCATAAACCATATGGTTTAAAAAAAAAACTTTATATTATCGTTTAAGTTTTATAACTCGAAAAGAGAATTTAATATTATCATCGAACTGTTTACAAAAAAAAAAAAAAACAAACAAACGGATATACATCACACGATGGGTGGGCCACTGTTGTAAATGAGAAGTTGGAAAGATTAATGGGAAAATGGGGGGGAAATGTTTAATATATATCTGTACGAAACGATTAATCATTACTAACGAAAAACGATTCTGAGGGGGGTTCGGTTATACATGTTAAGAAAATCCGTAATATTTACGATTTTAAATGTCGTAAATTTTTCCGTTTTTCCTATATTTTTTCCAGGTTTTTTCCCATTTATTATGAAAACCCCAGGGAAAATCAAATATGACTTTTTGCGTTCTAAATTATTGCTGTAGTATGTACAGCCATTAGCAATATAAGATAGTATAATACATAATATACTTAAAACAAATATTATTGGTTTGAATGCCGTTAGCTCTACATAATACTATAAAATTGTTAAAATGTAATTTTCAAATTTTCGCTTTCAATTTATACAACGAATTTACAAACTAATAAATATTAATTTATATTAAGAATGCAGTATATTATATATAATATGTATTAGGCATTTATTCAATTTTTGTCTTAAAATCACTTAAAATATTGAAGGGCGCAGGAAAAGAAGGATATCAATCCATTTTTTCGATTTTAAAGTACCTAATAGTACTATTTAATGGTGCTTTGAGATTTTTAATGCGTATATTAATCGAATGTATTAAGTAAAGAAAGGTACCAGTCGGATAATATCGAAGGTAAAATATTATATGAATGTGGTTAGAAAAAAAGAATTTAGTTATAAAGAAGTTTTTTACTGCGGAACAATTTTCAAAAATGGACTTTTTCTTTCGTTCCTTTAATTATAATCGCGTTCTAATAAGAATAATAATAATAAAAAAAAAAAAAATGAATCGAATAAATATACGGGGATTTTTTATGATTTTTCATACAGAATACAATAAGATTACTAAGATATAAAATATTAATTAAAAAATGCATTAAGTTATAAATAAATATTTTTTACAATTTAATGTAAAGTAAATTCGAGTTTTTATAATTAGATACAGATTTATTTTAACCGATTTTGGCGTTCCTTGCACTTTTTATTAAGTAAAATTATTATTTTCAGATAATATAATAGATTTTTGCAGAATCCGGTCAACATTAATCTATATCAAATAATATTTTTATTTTTTATTTTACATAACGGGTCTTAAGTACAAGGTATTTCACAATTGCAATATCTCCTGAGATAATAAAAATAATTAAATTATATTATTTTTTCTTATATTAGTCATAGACATAAGGACTACAAATATATATATTTTGATTAAATTTTTGTATTTTAATAAAACAAATTTCAGCTAATTGACTACAGAGCTTTTCGATAAAATCACTTTATAAAATTACGTACGTATAGCCAGTGGCGCATTTACATGATAAGTGGGTAACTGCTTCTCAACCTCTTCTTAAAAACTACCTTTTTATTTTTTTGCTACTTGCATTAACACCTAATTGTAATTTGTTTATTTAACATTAATTGTAAAAGATAGATTTTGTTTTTATCAATGACATAAACAAATTGATAACTGAAAAATGTTATCCGCAATCGAATTCTTATCTCTCGAAAACTTGCAATATTACTAGAAAATGTTTTCATTATATAAGTATTTATTAAAGGATCTTCCTGCTCAACTATAAAATCTTAGGTGACAATATCATGTGTATTTTAAAATTACCTAGATGTATGTGTACTGCATATTTTTCTAAGTGAAATTTTAAAGTATATGTTTATCGAAAAAAATTTGTTGTAAAAAAAATTATATGCATCACCGTCATTTGAAAAACGAATAGTTAACCCGATTCGACGATCACAATCTGAAAATTCTAAAATATAATATATGAGTACCGCGCCTGTACGCTGTATATTATTATACACGTAAATAATAAATAAATTGTAAATAAAAATTATAACCTGAAAACTGCTTACGGTTCCTTTATAATGTATTATTGTCACATAAGTTTTATATTACAGTGTCGGAGTTTTATATAGTAGGTATATGTAAAAGAAAACTAAATCTGTGTGAATTCATAGTGAACCGTATACATCTTAAGTGCATTTCGGAAAATTTTCATTACGTTGATTTGTCGATCTGACGATACGTATACGTCGAAATATTTTTTTCCATCGTATACCTACCGTCCATACATCCGTTTTTATTATCGATTTTATCCGAGTTTCGATGTATTTTATTGTAAGAGCGTTTTTTTTATATACACATTATATATATTTTTCGCGTGAATAGCGTCTGCTTGCCGCAGTGTAGCCGAGTTGATAAAATACAATATCAATTTAATTGTATATTATACGGCTATAGGTTATTGTTTATTATTATCATATTATATACATATACTTATATTATCCGTTTTAAAATAATGAGATGCGCGGTAGGTAATAGCGAATTCGAGTATATCGAGTGCGCGGCATCCGCACAGCGACGCGGTTACGACTTGTGCTATAGTAGAAAAGCGATAAAACGGCAAATTACAGCTGGGGTGGGGAAATAAGGCATTGGGATCGTTTTGAGGTTTACTATAAGGGATAATTTTATTCGCGCGGTGCACAGCAAGTTCGTTTTAACTCTAAACATATTTCGTAATACTATCATACGCGGGTCTTGTAGAATTTTCTCGTCTCTATAAAGCCAGTGAAACGAAGAAAAAAATAATGACGGTGCGCTTTACAATTCGGTCTGTGAAACGCCGTATATATTACAATATATAATACAGGTACATTGTATATTATACGAATATATAATATATGAACGATATATTCGTAAAGCTATACATACAAATATACACGTGTGAACGTGTACGACCTATTTGAGTATGACTATATGTAAATTTTGAAAAAAAAAACTACCTTTTTTAACAAAAAAAAAAAAAAAAACCTCGTATAAGTATTAGTAGTAAAACGAGAGTTCTGCGGTTATACGTCGTATTATAATAAGCACTATAATATATTAAATGTACGAAAATATATCACGTGACAATAATATTACGTATAGGTGTAAATGCGAAACATCGTGCGCGCAGAAATATTGTGTTCGACAATCGTAAACATTTTAATACGCGATATGTAATATTATTATAATAAATATTCGACCGTATATTATTATATTACATATAGACATTATATGGGTACGTGACTTTTAGCGTGTAACACGTGCAATAATAATATTACAACACGGGATACGTATTATTGGTTTCGGGGGCGGGGGAATGGGGCAAAAGAGAGAGAGAGAAAGAGATAAAAAAAAAAAGTAAGTACTTATAAGTGCGTATATATAATATACGTGGTTTAAACCGACGCATTCGCCTTGAGAACCCCACGGAGCAACAGCATCAGCCGCCTTCCACTGCAGTCTATAATAATGTACACACGCACTATATAATAATATGTGAAGTACAATAGACGATAATATTATTATGTACAACACGGGAACATTTGAAAGGCGCGGGGTTCGATTTCGACTTTACCGGACGTGTTTTAAACGTATAAATTATTTGTATGTGTTGTGGCGGTTTTCAAATATCAAACGCCCGGGCCAAAACGTCCGTGTCCCCGACCGTGAGAGGCGTGCGGTCCGACGAACTATACTATATAACACAATAACATTATACACAGGTATATAATGACAATATCGTCCGGACAAAACTCGAGGGTGGCCCGTTTGTCGCACACCAGGACGAACACGAACGTTTTAAATATTATATGGATTTACAGGATGTTTCACCGTGTTTTCGCGATATTAAAATTGTTTAGATTCTGACCGGAACGATGAATGTATTGGTTTTACAAAGATGTTTTTTTTTTTTTTGTACAAAAATTCTAACAGAAATCTTGCTCCGGAGTATCAAGTATTAAACAATAAAAGATGCAAGACAATATACAATCAACGTGTAAAGCCGTGGACGGTTGAAAGTTTAAAATTTAATCTCGCTACTCAATGATATTTTGTATAACCTAGCAAAAAATGTCTGATGCGCAGCAAGAGGAACTAATTTTCTCCCCCACAAAATTCTATTTTAGTTAATCAGCGTTGATCGTGTAGATTATTGTAGATACACAATTTTTTTTTTTTCTATTATTTCGTTAAGTACGGCGCTGACGATAAATATTATTTTTATTCGCGGTATAATTATATATTTTTATCATATTATTGCAATGTCGTGATTCCGTATAGCATAACTTAGCGATGACGTAGTAATAATGTATATGATATTTTTGGTACCGCATGCACCTTCTCTTGATATTAAAACGATTATCACTAAGAAACTATTCATCAAACATAAGTATGTACTCGTATAAATGTATTATAGATTATTAACATGTTAAGAACAATAATAATGGCCATTTTGGAAAATTTCGAAAAACGAACAACTAAAAAGTTATCGAGTTATCAAGCAAAGAAAATAAAATATAACTTCATTTTTCCCCGAATATACGTCCGCCTCGCACTAAATCCTATTGAAAAAAAAAAAAAAAACATTTGCACACCCACGAAGATATCGCCATCAAGGTAATACGGTGAGACACCCTGTATATGTATATATATATATGTTACCGTTGTGGTGCCTATAATATCGTATCCCAAACATGCAGAAGGCCGTTTACGCACGTGCGGTTAAATGGCAGGGAGACGGACGTGGTACCCACTGTATATATATATATATATATATGTGTGTGTAGGTAGATACGTGTTGTTACCTTTTATAATACATAAAGGTGGTCCTTTCTACGCACGATGCATCCCGACAAAACCGTAAAAATCCTATCTGCTTGCGTTTTTATCATTCGGTTCTGATCCAATAATTTCCGTATAGCGTACTGCACCTATACCTACCGTATATAATATGACAATAATAATAACTATATAATATTATATAGGTTATGGAAATGGTGACGTCATAACAACAACAATAATAATAAGGTTTAGATCGATTTGATCGCATACGGTCAAAATATTAATGTTCATATTTAACTCGCGATAGGAGAACGGGTGGGGTAAGTCGATAATAACGGCCGAATCAAAAATATACCGAAATAGTCAGAGGAAAAAATAATGGACGGATGAAAAATATGATGGCTATTTTTCCCATTGCCATTTTTGATTTGCCCGTTGTTATGTTCACCTACGATCGTCGACATAAGTTATTACCGTCATAAATAATTATGTTCAACGCACAATAAATAATAACTCGAAATACAATTTAAAATAGGTGATTGAATAAGTACCTTATTATAATATGTAGCCACGGCGAAACATTTCCGATTTTTTCCACAGTCAGTTTTTCCTCCGGTAATTTTTGTATTTGGCCATATTTTCATTCGGTCATTTGTTCCACAGCAATTTTTGATTTGTACATTACTGAAATGTTTCACAGAATTGTAAAAAAAATAATGCTTGAAACATAGACTTCCCCGTGCTATAAATACAATTTTAAATTACATCAATGAATAAAATCCGTTAGACTGAAAAAACTCGCGCACGCAGTTCAATAGTGCGTGTTTTTAAGTGATAATTATTAAAGCTTGATTTATTTGACTTGTATCTGTATGTAAAGATGAATCATTACTAATTAAATACGATTCTAAGTCGAAGTTCGATTATATATTATGTTTTGAAATTCCGTAATTTTTAAGATTTTTGTTAACATTTTAACTTAAAAGCTAATAAAAAAACCTACTACAAAACGCTCAATTTTTTTTATTTTAGCACTGAGTACAACTGTCAATTTATAATGAACTTCGTTTAAAATTGCCAAACATTCATATTAACCCACAATAATTTTATCCACATAAACCATACTAAAACTAAAAAATATTCGAGAATATCAAATGCTTATAAAGTTATAAATATTTCAAAGATGGTCAGAATGTTTTGAAAATTTTACCGCATCTAGAAAAGACTGATATTATAAGTATTTCATAAAATATTTGGGTCTCGTAAGATTTTAACCGAATTAAAACAAAAAAAAAAAAACAAATCGAAAATAACGGAACAATTATTATTGCCGTAAACTTTTCCTTTTTGCCTTCATTTAGTCCCCGACTATTTAGAGAACTATAAAGAAAATCGAAAGATGACTTCCCAATGCACTGACTAGATCAAAAATACAGCAAAAGAACTCTCTTGTCATTATTTGATTTTTTTTTTTTTTTTTTATTTTACAAAAATGGTTTATAGACAGAAAAAATTATAATAATAAAGAAATAACCCACACCATAGTAAAACCAATTCATCTTTCGCTAAACTCAAAATCTTAAAACACTTTTAAAAGTATCCCATACAAGTATTTATAACCAACCCATGAGGTATGTGTAAAAAAATTAGGAGTTTCCCGAATTGGCCCAAATTATTTAATGTCCCGAGTGCGACTGGAATGGGGTTAAGGCTATACGATAACGCACTCGAGCCATGAAACAGGTAAAAATTAAAAACGGGACGCACTCGGGATATCCGCGAAAAACGATTACGGAGGAAGAAAACCTACGACTCGACCCAGCTTTTCGCCTGTTCTGAGAGTATTATATTTTATTCCTTCGAACGGTACCTGTTTTATGTTATACTTTACGTGTAACACTGCGGAGCGAGAATACGGGATTGCACGTTTCACGATGCGAAAATTAAGCCTCTGGGTGGTCGTCGTTTCCTATATACTGTATAATAATATATTATGTAGCGGGCAAACGATGAAATGCCCCGAATTCTTAAGTCCTCGGGTCTGAATATCATTATTCATTTAGATACCTATACATTATATATATATACACACGATACTATGATCATCAATTCCGGGGTGGTCCGTCGTAACAACTGCTGCTGATAGCTGACAAACGCGAATGACGTTTTCAGATATAGTTTATATTGTTTAATATCGTTTAATGGGAAATTCGTCGTTCCGAAGACGAACGTCTAAATAGAAATTCTATGTACCTGCGCGTTTCGGAGACGACGAGGGACAGAAACACGACAAAATTATTAACGACCGGTTCGCCGCCGGTGCCGAGATGATACGATAACCGATCGTATAAAATATATTATAATAGGGTTCACTTGAATATTTTTTTTTTTTTTTTTAATGATGATGTATATAATGATACAGCTTAACTTACGGAACCGATTAGACATAAACCGTATAAAACCGAATACTGTTTCCACAACTATATTGTATACGTAGGTATAATGTGTATTGCAGATGCTAACTAACGATATCGACAAAACAACACTGCAGGTACGTAACGTTGTATAATGATTATTATTCCGTGGCTACAAAAATATATCTTTAAAAAACATCTTATATGTTTGGTTTCTCCGGGATGAAGAGCTTAAATCTTTTAAAATTGTTGATATTTTTTTTTTTTTTCAATTTTGTTCTATGCAATTGATTAACATTTATTTTTCGGTATAAATGGCATTTATATAGAATAGCAGTTCTAAACATTGATATATATATATATATGACTTACATTAACTTAAGACTTTTATTTGAATGTTAATTATATTCTGTATGAAATTCAGTGTCCCAATTATCGGGAGTGTTGGGTGTGCGATTCACGTGAACCGCCGGTTTTGGGGGGCCCCGAGACCTCATATTCGATTTTTCAACTGTTCTTCCTATAGACCTATCTCATTATTTTTTTTTTCGTTTCGATAACAAAATTGCAGAAAATATTATAAAACCCATAACCTACCACTTGGTGCGAACCTGATACAGCACCTACATAGAGTTATTAGTGAAGCCTTGAGTGACTTTTACAGGGCTTCTCAACATACTTTCGTCCGCTAATTTACCATTTTAGGTGTGTGTGTGTGTGTATGTGGGGGGGGAGAATTGAAAAACTACGTCGGTAGGTCACAGGAATAGGACAATAATAATTTTCGTTTTGTTTTTGCCTTGTCTGCGAGTCATTGAAATCGCGTTCGTGACCTACACGTCCTGCACGGTGGTAAACCGAAACGGCGACAGACTCACATTTTATATTATTTATAGATATCACAGCTATCATTATGTGTATCGTGTATACGTTTTATATTATTATAACCACGCGAAACATCAAACAGCTCCGCCCGAAAAGACCGGCGTCTCCCGGTCCGCGCGCGGCCATCGAACACGCGTTGCTCATAGGTGTATTTTTTTTTTCCCCATCGTCATTGCTATTATTATTTTACACGCCTTCTCCTCCCTTGTACGATAAGCAATGATACACCCTGAACGCATACCTTTGTTGTACAATGCGTACAGGTGTATAATAGGCATACGAGTTTGGACGCGCAATAAAAATCCGACAATAACGTGTTCACACGGACCAAAAACGAACGCCGAGCGCGTGTAAATAATATTAAACGGGATATAATATATACGCGCGGCAGTAGATATGTATAATAATATTTTACTCTTTTTCTTTTTCTTTTTGTTTTTTTTTTTTTTTGTATTTCGACGGTTCCAACGATCTCTCTCTCTCACTGTACTCACAATGGACGACTCCACAATAACACCTACGACGGGACGCGCACTTACAGACCCTGTCCGAGTACACGGTCCGGGCGAATCGTAATCGGGTCGGTTTCAGTGGTTTTTGAAAAGAAAAAAAACCATAACCCGTAGGCCTATTATCATGGTCCAGGGAAGCGTTTAAACCTAAAACCCGTGACGAGTCACGTATTTCAGTATATTATAGCACCGGCCGAACACGGACAGGGTTTCGCAGAAGATAAGCGGTCGGGGACGGCGGTGCGCGCGGCAAAAAAAAAGTTACGGACATTACTTCACACGATGGGTGGGCTACTGTTGCGTATAGACGAGAAGTTGGGATGGTATACAGGGGAATTTAACGTATATTTGTACCCGACGATTGATTTTTGTCGACGAAAAATGATTTTGAGCGGAGATCAATTTGAAAATAATACATTACGTACCTACATGTTCCCGTTTATTACGGAAACAGCTGGGAACATCAAAAAATGACCTCCCTAATGGGCCATACCCCAGTCAGATTTCCTTTCCAAAAAAATGCTGCACTTGAAAATCAGAAGAATTTAAGGAATTTTAATTTTTGGAAGTTTTTGCTTTAATTCGGTTACAAATACATATAGAGACTATAAACTTGGTAATAGTGCTTATATTTGACTTACATAGCCGTGGTAAAATTTTAAAATTTGTCGGTTGACCTTTTTTCTTTTTTTTAATTTTTTTACAAGAGTACTTTATTTTTTATTTTTTTTATACTGTAGACCACTTTTATTCTAGAAGACTTGCTCCAATGTATAAGTGTAGCATCTTTTCTGAAAATAAATTTTATTTACTTAGTAAATAGATAGGTATTTTTTTGATTTTCGAAACTGTATTTAAAATAAAAACGATTAACCAGGAAAAAAATTACGATTTTATCACGATTTCGTTATTTTAAATAAGTACCTACCACGTTTTCTAGCACAAAATATATGGCTCCAATTGATAAACGACAAGTAACCTTTTTTATTAAATTATTAATCTTGTTTTTAATGATGTGAGTCGTTTTTTGATTTTCAAATTGGTTTTCATAATAATCGAGAAAAAACGTAGGAAGGTTAGGTTTAAAAAAATGACCGCACTTCAAATTAGGTATTACCGAACTGCGTTCGGAATCGTCTTTCATCAACACTGGTTTATCGTTGTTTACAGATATAAATGAAATAACCTTATGCATACTACCATCCCAACTTCTCACCTACACCAGTGACCGCTTCCATCCCCAGTATCATCTCTTTTTTTAATATTTATTTTGATATTATTACTGATATCGATATAATGTCACAAGCCCACAAATGACTAATCTAAGCAATATCGCCTTATTTTAATGAATCCTTATCTTTACCTAACCCGTATACGGCTTGTGTGTTATATTATTATTTTATAAAATATAAATTTGACGTTATTGCGGCCCGTGTAAGACAAAAACTGTGCGTGAAAAGGGGTTAAATGTTAATTAACGGAATTCGATTAAAAACACTGGGAAATGAACTGAAATGGAATATATGATTTAAAAAGTCCAAAGAATTACCTTGAAAATTGAAACGTGAACAATAAAAGTTTCCTGAATGAATTTGTTGTTACATAACTAAAATTATGTACTTATACAGCTACGCATTACAATCGGCTGATAAAAAAAAAAACCGCGCTTTCCTACAAATCCACGGCCCTGATAATTATTATTATATTTACACCGACCGCGACGGCGCGCGCCGCCGGTGGCGTATACGCGTACCCGCGACTTGGGTATCCGTTGCGCGAGTATTGTTGACACAAATCGCCCTCAAACCCGTCGTTTACCCGGCCGGCAATCGAGCGCGCACGGCCGTAACACAACACGTGTCTTCGGCACATTCCACGGACGGTTTCCATTTTTGGACGGGACCGCTTCTCGTATAATATAACGTACGTGTGTGCACGTGTGCGCGTGTGCGCGTGCGCGCGCGCGAGCGTATACCTAATGTACCTGTATACCCGGACCACTTAACGGAATGACCGCGGCCATACGTACACGTATGTGCACACAATGCTCGTCGTGAGGCGGCGCGCGTCGCGATCGTGAGAAAAGCGCACGCACGCACGTACGCGGGGCCCCGGAGAAAACGGGAAGACGAGCGGGTACGGGCGCAGCCGCGCTGCGGTGAAACGCTGAAACGCGTTATTGCACTGCGCGTTCCTTCGTAGTATTATAGTGTTCCGAGCGCTGCGGCGGGAGCCGCGCGCCAGACCCGGGCAAAGTACTGTTCGAGAGTACGGGGAACGGAAAACGCCGTTATTATAATACGATCGGGGTACGGTTCATAATGCGAATTGCATTTATGTCCTGAAGCAGTGTTGGTGGCCTGCAATTACGGCCCGCCAAAGCATTAAATGAAAATTGAAAAACTAATCGACTTCAAATTTCAAAAAATTATTAACACTCGCCTTAAAAAACGACACGTTTATACGATCAGTTTAAATTCTTAGCCCCGATAAGAATTATCAACTGTTTTTATTATTTTTTTTTTTTTTTACGGCCCTCTGTAAAAAACAGCATATAATCACCACTGTCCTAAAGCAATACCTTTCGAGCACGAAATTCAATTTATATATCAAAGACTAAAACAATATGAAACTTTTATCTTGGAATTGTTGACATTTTAAGTGCATTTTCAGGTTTTTAAAGAATTTTTTCTTCTTTTCACAATCTTCCTTAGTATTAACGAAAAATCTGACAAAATTTCTTTTGATTTCCTCTTAAAAGAAAAACAATTTTATCTCTTTTAGATTTCGAACGTAGCAAAGGAGCTGCGTTCTATTAAGATATTGGATATATTGGTTCTATTAAGATGTTTATTTTTGTTTTCTTCTTTTAATCCGTTGACACGTTTTTTCCTAGTAAAGTTATTCCGATTTTTACACGTAGCAACTTTTCTGATTTTTGACGCCATTTTTTAAATAAAAGCACTTAAGTAGAAAAAAACGGAGGAAAACGTACAATTTCATTATTTTATAATAACACAAACGACGTTTTTTACCAGAAAAAATGATTTAATCGCAAAATCACAAGATACATTCTTTGTTGCCTTTTTGATTTAATTTCTTACGGTATCATCGCCAAAATTGTTGAACCAATTTGAGCTTTTAAGGAATTTTAATTTTTGGGAGTTTTTTTGTTGTAATTTGGTTATAAATACACGTAGAGAATCGAAACTTGATAATAATAGTTATATTGAACTTACCTAGACGTGATAAAATTTCCAAAATCATCGAACGACTTTTTTTTTTTTAAATCAAATTTAAACGAAAATCGCAAAAAAAAAAGCACTTCAAATTATGTATTACCGAACTGCGCTCAGAATGGTTTTTCGTCAAGCAATGATGTATCGTTGCATACAGATATTAATGAAATAACCTTATGTATCCTACCTTCCCAACTCTCACCTACAATAGTGGCCGTTCCCATCCCCAGTATCTCTCTTTTTTTTTTTTTTTTAATGTATTAGACACAAATTTACGAACTTTATCAGATAAATACGATGCCAGCTGTAATGTAGAAAACGATAAGCTATTTATCGATTTGTAAAGTAGTCGTATTGCAATACTTGCCCTATATTGGGTTTAGCGAATTAATAAACCTAATAAAAAAACGGGTTTTTTTTTTCAAAATTTAAAATAATTTTTAGAGCATTATTTTTTTTTGCCTTTTTTTAAAAATTAAAGTATATTATGTTGTATTTTTTTAAGGAATTTGTCTTGCATTTTAGAGTATTTAAATCCGTACTCTATAATTATTATGTTCGAACGCCGAAATATCGATATTCAGAATGCTTTCGCGTTAATAGCTTTTTGGGTATACGCGTTAAAACAATAACAAAAAAATGCATAAGGTTAATTACCGCGAGCAGTAAGGAAGAAAACTGTTACGGATTTTATGTAACAATATGCATTATATTTCAACTATTGGAAATTATTGGAAAATGTTTTAAATCGAGTACCACCGGGTGAAAAATTACGCGTCTTTTGAAGTAAATGAGTGATTAAATCAAACAATATAAACGACCGAAAAAGTTTCTTTTTTTTTTTTTAAACTACCGAAAATAAATATTTTTAAAAATATTCAGAATGTTCCCCATGTCTGGTGTATGCTTTTTTTTTCTGTCTGTAAGACTTTTCTACTCGAAATTGTATTTATTTTTTTTGTAGTTTTATTAATAAGTTTAAAAACTTAGAAATGGGGAAATGGAAAAAAACGGAAAAGATTACGGAGTTAACGGTTTCATACATTTTTGTTGTCATTCGGTGAGCAATAATCTTAGAGACTTGAAATCATTATAGTATGTAGTATGAAAGTATTTTACAGAATACTTATATTACTGCATTTTCTAAACGCGGTTCAAAATATTCCGGTTATTTTGAGTTGTTCATAGGTATTTGACTTTTTCAAGTTTTTATTTTTTATTTGGTTTTTTATGAGTGAAATTGTTTTGGTCAAGTAGACATTTTTGAAAATTGTATACGAGGTTTACTGTAAATTGCAATTATTAGTCAAAAGTTTCAATCGGAGCATCTTTTCTGAAAGCAAATTTTGTCTTGAGTCTTATTGAGAAGGTGATCTTTTAGATTTTTTATTTTTTGTTTTTTTAATCATTATTTACGCATTAACGGTTCCTGTTATTTTCGATTTAATTGTTTGAAATGTGGTCAAAAATGTTTTACCATTCCACTTTGTTATCATTGTTTTATTGTTATTATACGCCACGTGATAATAACATTCAACAACAAGATTAGGTCTGTCAACACTTGTATATTATGATAGTGATGTTATATCATAATCATTAATCCGCCCATAGAATACTCTCTTATTATCTTACATTATCGTTCGCCACGTGTGTGTATATACCACCGTCTTGCGTTTTTCTCTGCCGGTCGCATTCAATAGAGACTTGTAAAAAACGCGCGAGTACAAAACGCAGTTTCCACGTCGGCGATGATGGCCAAAAGACAAATCGTTTCTGCTTTCCGCGTTGTTTTTTTTAACGCCCCACCAGTTAACCGTCGCATCCGCGTGATCCGTACACGCATGATACTGACGATTATAATGGTAAAAAATGAGGTTCTGACCGTTAACAACGGATCGCATTCCGGGAACCCCGTGAGACCATTATTGCTGCTGCATGGCTGATATACTGCGCCAGGTATATAAAAAAAAAAGTCTATATATATATATAATAATAGTAATAATAATAATAATAAATAGCCGTAAACGGAAATGCATTGGGCTTTGTTTTCGCCCCCTACACCCCGACAGAAGCTTTTACGTTTGAAAAAAAATAAATTAATATTCATTTGTAATGCAAAACGACACGGCGATATCGTTATGTATATCTACGGCCGTTATTATACTCTGCGGCATATTATTATGGTAAACCTATACCTATTATTCCATAGTATAAAGTATAATAGTTGTAGTTGTATTGCACGTGTTGTCGTATGACCTCAACAAACTTTGTTTTTGGTTTTTTTTCTTACACCGAAAATACAATATTATTTAGCCTTTAATATTGGCCTTGGTTACACACGTGAACAATCGAACCTGTTCGTATTTATAGTATAACGATATGGTCTTACAGCCGAAATTGCAGCCTATATTATCCAACCACCACTTTTAATTTTCAAACTGACGGCGGAAGAAACTCGTCTGATCGTAGCTCGGAATGTATTGGTTTTACTCTAAGGCGAGTATGTTTTTTTTTATTTCTGTCTGTAAACGACTTTTCCACGCCAGATATCTTGCACTGATTTTCAACCGTAGCATATTTTCCGAAAGTAAATTTTGTCATTTTTCTATTTTCCTCGTAATTTTCCTTATAATTCGATTAAAACATGTAGGAAAAACAGGATAATTGACGGTGATGACGGTTTGTTAATTTTCGATTTTATTGCGATCTAAATTGTAATCGGATTAAACAATAATCGTAAAGACGGTTTCAAAGAATACTTATATTAGTCTTTTTTAATACTTAGTCAAATTTACAAAATATTCCGGGGCCATTTTATTTTTATTTTTTTTACTAAACCTCAGTTGTTTGACTCGAGTGTGTGGAGAACCAACGGCAACGGTATACATAATATTGTAATATTCTGAGAAGATAATTTTACATATTATTATACTTTGTACTTACCTAGATGCTTGGAGATTTAACATCGACATTATTGTATTTAGTTACGCACATTTTAACCGTAAAAAGACGTGATATTATATTTAAACGTATACGTTTAGTGTATAGTGTACAAAAATTGTTTTTTTTTTCATGAATATTGTGGCCCCTTTTTAGTCAGGTACAAAGAGTACAAAGAGGTTGAAAAGTGATGGGATTGATTCTTATATCTATGTATATTAGTAAACCATAATATTATGTCCACTTGTATTGTACTTAATGTATTTTGACATTTTGAACACTGACCGTAAATACACGCGTTTCGAAGCACTTAAACTATAAGAGGCACTATATGATAAATGCTGCATGTCTAAGTAGGTACATATAAAAATGTGTGTGTGTGTGTGATTGCTTACGCATAGATATATGTATGAACGCGGAATCCGGTGGAGCTGGTTCGGACCGTTAAAATAACTCAGGAGCGTAAGTGCCCGACAACAGAAACATTCTAGTCACGGAAATGGTAATTCCTCGACATTTGCTCCCGCCTACACCGCACTTTTACGTCCCACCCCCGCCCCGGGTTCAATTATATACACGGCTTTGACGTGAAAACATCAACATCTTATAACATAATATTATATTTACTCTGACAAATGCTCTCGCCTGCACTCGAATAGACGTATTGTACGGTAGTTGATTGTTCACATTTCCCTTTTTTTTCTTTATATTTTTTCTCTCTCTCACTTTTCATCCGTAAAAATACCGCTGAGTGATGCGTGCACTTATAAAACTTGTTCTTAATCAATATTGACTTTTCCGGTGGACACGCCGAAATACAGAAATTTGAACGAAAATTATTTTTTATTTTTTCATATTTATTTCCATCAATCGCACATGAACCCAATCGCAAAATTACGTATCTTATATAAATTGAATATATGTATTATATTATATAGTATCAGCTGTTTGACTTATATTGGTTTAACGTTTTCTATTACGCCGTACGCGACTGCTGATATGAATACATTTTGATTTTAGAGACAGAAATTTATACTCGTTTTCGTTTGAATGCACCAACGACGACACGAACATTTTGTATTCGTTCTCGTACCCTAAAGGAATAAATTCCGTTTTTCATCATACACTCCAGTGTTTTTAAAACGTATTCAATTTACTGAACGTTTTATTTTTATATTTGTTTTTATCTTTACGCTAGTGGAATTATTAAATAATAATAGAAAAATATTGTTCAATAAAGAAATTGAATTTGAACTCCATTTACAATGATTTTTTTTTTCTTTTGTTTTCAATTATTTAATAGTTAAGAGAAACTAGTATATTGAAAGTTTTTTTTATAACGATAGGTATCTACCGTTTTATAAATCAAAATCGATATTACAATGCTACAATATTAAGTGCTATTGTAATTTATTAATATTATTTACACTTTTACTTTTAAAATTTGACTAACTCGGGTACAATGACCCTTTCCGTGAATATTGTTTAACATACAACATTCTAGAACATATCAAAATAGTTGGAGTGACACGAGCAACAGATACGACCGTTATATAAATATAGGTGTATGGCCTTGTGGTGGGTAGGATTAAAAGGTAAAGGTTGTCAGAGGTAGATGAAAAAAACACAAACACCTATAAACATACCATTACCATTCCGAAACACTTCCAATACCAAAATCTCATAAAACATCATTAAATATCACACTTTTGGACTTTTGGAGCATAAATGCCACAATATTAAATTTGTTATTTGAGAAAAAGAAATTTTAAATTAAAAATATTCACCAGAATATCAATTATTAAGTTTTATCGTTAATTTTTGAATTTTATGAACTTTAAAATTATGTACAACATAATATTTAAGTTATCTTTCATTTCTGAGAATTTATAGTTATAGCTGCTGTGTTAAATTACATCAAAATTAACACCAGTACAAAAAAAAAAAATAATTGTAAACCTCCATAAATAGAAATTATGGTTTTCAATTTTCAAAACATTATTAAAAAATATGATTTATCACAAAATACAACGGTTAATATATCGGTATCTAAAAATGTCGTAGTGTTGCTTTCGTTAGAAAGAGAAAATGAAAAGTCTAATACCGACACAATTTTATGATGCCGATAATAATAATATTATACGTTATGACGGTTTACGATTTCTTAGAGATAATGTTTGCAATTCTGTCGATATTTATATGTTAAAGGTGCTAAAGGTTCTTCTAAGGGTGTGATATTATAAGTCAATATTAACCGGGATCCGAAAATATAAACACCATGTGTGCAAAAAAGACGGCTGCATATCCAACCACTTCAAACGTTTGTAGCACTCCGCTACTGAAATTCACTCCTACCAAACTCTCTTATTCTTAATGAAAAATGCTAAGCTACCCGCACACATAATATATGTTCAAATTTTAAACCTTGAGCGCAGCAAGAAATGTATTGGTTTTACTATGACTTTATGTCTACTAATAACTTTCCTGCCATAAATCTTGCTCTAATCAAAAAACCACAGTTGAATTTTTTCAGTTAGTGCATTTCAAAAAGGTTATATTTGACCTTCTGAACAGTTTCCATAATAATGAGGAAAAACTAGAAAACCCCATAAATAAAAAAGGCGGACATACTTAAAACAAATTAGATCACTGTTTTAGGTGAGAAGATGTGAAGGTAGGATATAGAGGGGAATTAAATGTGTATCTATACCCAACGATTAATCATTATTAACAAAAAAATAATTCTGAATGGAGTTCGGTTACATAATGATTTAAAAGGCTGCATAATATTTACGATTTTTGTCAAAATTTGATATTAATATTCTTACAAACAAATTCAACATTGTACTCAAAGTTTTTTTTTACCACAAAGTACGACTTATAATGAACCTCTTGTTAAATTATCAAGCATATTACTGTTTGGTCTAACAATTTTATCTACAAAGTGCCTACTAAAAAAAAATTACGTAAAAAGCTTGCGAAATTTAAATGTCTATAAATAGCTCATAAATGGCTCGAATGTTTTAAAAATTTTACTACATTTAAAAAAGGCAGTTATAAGTTTTCTATCTAAATTACAAGTAAATTTAACACAAGATTTATTATAAATTGTTTTTAATAATATCTAAACAAAGAACGTATATTGAGCGTGATAAAGTAATTTTTTTACGTTTTTTAAGTTCTAATTTTGATGAAAATCGTGGCATTTCAAAATATAGTTACCAAATTATATTTCTGAACGGAATACGACCGAACCATATTACGTTAATAATGATTTATCGTTGTTTACTTGTTTACAGATATAAATTGAATAACTTTATGTACCCTATCTCCCGACTTGAAGTCAGTGATTTCCTACCTACAGTGGCACATCCATTACTATCATCAACTAACATCATTACTAGTTTTTTATTTCTTATAGTTAATTTAAATGTTAAATACGTTTATTTTGTACGTGATGTACTTTTAATTATTGAATTAAATATTGAAAAATAACCGATACCTATTTACCAAATTAAATATTTTTTTTTTTTTTTTTCGTAAACATTTTTACATACCTAACAACTAACAATAATATTATGTCTCTATATATTACGTGCGTGGTTGGAAAAAAATAATATCTATTAATACAATCCCGCTGTGAATGAATACGGGTGACTTGTATATTAACACGTTGCGAAAACTTTACGATCCATCTGTATTTTTAAAACTCGCAGTAATGAGGTTGTAAATTTAATTTTTATGCTTTCCGTACGAAACATAATAACATTAATAACGAATCTCGAAACGCATTGTGATGTTGGTGGTCGTCATATATTTAAAGTTCTTGCGTTAACCATTACGAATATCAAGTGAAACCTCGGAGAAACGCTCCAAGAGTTTATAAGATATAATAATGGTATCAAGTTTTATTTTAATATTATGTGGTCGGGACGTGCGAGTATTAACGTTTAATCCTACGTTTGAAATGTTGTAACGCGTTTGTCGATCTTAAACAAATCTCCCGCAAATGATAGACGTAACTGACAAATTTACGATCAGCAGGCCCGTGCATAAGAGAGGGGGGTTGTATCCCTCCCGTTCCCTTGTTGGTGAAAAACAATATCCATAGGTATTGCAGATTTCATCGAAATCAAATAAAAGCAAATTACTTCAGCATGACTGAATAGTGAATCTCACTAAGTACTTTTCATTAGATCTCTTGGTTTATCTACCATATATCACTGGTGGCGTAAAAACAGCTTTTTATTGTTTTCTCCGAATTACCTTTCATTAACTTACGTCATTTCTCAAATAGGTGGTTCAAGTGTAATTTGTATATCTTACTAATAATAATATTACAATGATAATACTATGATATTACTAATAATAAATGTATATATTTAATAAAATAATAAAATAAAAACAAAATTATTAAAACGGTTAATACTCGTAAACAAATATATAAATAAAAAATGTATTTACAAAAATAAAAATAAATAAATTTTAATGGAGTCGCGTTTTACATTTTGACTGTGATATACCTGATAATGAATTTTTAATTCGAAACCGGTCGTATAATACACTTATCATAATACTACGCATTCATTCATTTATTTATTTTGTTTATTTACCTTATTGATGTATTTATTTCTTTAATTTTTTTTTTTTTTTTTATTTATAATCCTTCCCCGTGAAGAAATCTTACGTACGGGTTTGTCGATCAGAAACAATATTGTTTCGATTTACATGCAATACAAGATATGTAGGTATTTATATTGTATTCACGGGAATATATTATAGATATATACTATAATACATAGATACAAAAAATAACAAATGGAACGTTTTGATTTTCGACGCCTATAGTATTGAAACGATTTATTCGAGAGGCATGCGAACACCAGACACCCGGTCGAATAATAAAACGAAAAACATGTATATAAAAAAAAGGTAGATAGGTAGGTACGTGGGTACTTGTACCTATATATATATATGCTTATACCTCCTGCGTAAAACATAAAAGACTCATTCGTTTTATTGACTTGTTCGACTGAGTTATTAACGATTTGCTCCATTGGTTCCACAGAGAAGATATTAAATAAACGCTATATTATATTCGTTCTAGGTATATAAGGTTTGTTTTTTTTTTTTATTGTTGTTGCTGTAGGTAAGAAAAAAAAAACCAAAACCATATAAATGTCAAAATTCTTTTGAAAACACATAAAACCCACTATCGAAATCCTCCGTGTAAACGCTCACGGTGTGAAGTGAAGAATCTGAAAACTATACTCGTACATTTTACATGGGGTAACGATGATTTCCAAATAGATACTGTAACATGTGACTCTATAATATATAGCATATATACATTTAAAACTGAAAACATTTCTACTGGTTTTCGGATTTTTGTCATTTCTATATTATCAGTTACAGGGATCGGGAACTATTGCACTTATAATCCACAAGAAAGTGCTTAAAAACTTCAAAAATGTCTGAAAAAACAGTTGAAAAATATTTTTAAAAAGCAAAAATTGTAAAAAGATTTAAAAGTCGTCCTCTAACGTATTAAATATAATTTTCTAACACTACACCTAGTAGTTAAACATAGTAAAATAACACAAAGTAACTTCATTTAAATAAAATTGTACGTATTAGAAAATTATGTACCATAGAGGGGATTTTCAAACCCTTCAACCATTTTTGATTTTTTTCAAAATTTTTAAACAATATTTTTCAGTTCTTTTTTGACATTTTAAGCGTGTTTCCGTAGATTTTAAGTGCAATAAATTCCTTGTCTCCTATTATTTAATATTCTTCTGTACAATGTGGAATAATTTATACGATGTTTATTAGACAAATACCTATATATATTTCCACAGCGTTTGCAAAACCGATTTTATAATATTTACCACTAGATACATTTTAAAATGATTTTAAAAATATAAATTATAAAGTCTTGAAAGCCTATTACTATATTTTCGTATTTTAACTTATTCGATATTCAAACCCGTGTATACGAATAACATCATAAGTACGTACTTTATATTTTTATTTACGATTATTATTACCATTTTCCTGGACGAACCCATAAAACGATTTATATTTATTATGTTTATGTTAAGAATTTAAATTACAGATCCGATTTATTAGGTGTTTATTTAGTGTTCATTATATAAAATGCGTTAAAGTAATAATATATATTAATGTACACGTACCTACATAAATAAAAAAAACCATTCTAATAAATCTAATTCAATCTGAGCTAAGTCGATTGTACATATTATGTTTTGAAACGTGATAAAAATTTAATTTTAAAACGTTTATGAAAAAAATGTTTGTTTCCGATAGTAAATAAAAATGTGTGGAAAATCATCATAAAATCACTTCTTCAATACACCGACTAAACACGGTTTACTACTAAAAAACTTGCTATAAATAATGAATGGACATAGGTTTCTAGTAGAAAATTAGTATACAATAAAAAAAAAAAAAAACTGACACTGCTGATGGGAGCGCCACTGTTATAGGCGGAAAGTTGAGACGATAGGATACATACATTTATTTACTTTATATCTATACATAATTTATAAAACGATTTTGAATGATTTTCGTTTATACATGATTTGTAATGCCGTAATATTTACCATTTTCATCGATATTTTTTTCTTCATTATTTGATCTTAAAACAGTTATATCCGCATATAAAATACCAACCAAATAAAAACTACGTAAAAAATACGAAAACATAAAATTCCTATAAATAACTCAAAATTATAAAATGTTCTTGAAATTGTTGAAATGAAATGTTTTAAAAATTTTACTGCATCTAGAAAACGGAAATATAAATTTTATTAGAGCAAGTTTTGTGTTCGAAAATTTTCTCACAGACATAAAAAATACAAAAAAAAAAAAACATATACACGTCATCATATTAAAACCAATATATAACCTCGCTCAGAATCAAAAAATAGAATGGTTTTTTTTTTATCATGGTTCAGCGATCGTCAACTACAAGTAAAATTATTTATTTTCGTTTTTTTTTTCACTATATAATCGTTTCACAATAGTAGGTAGGTATATTTATAATATTTTTACAATTTTATCTTTGTTCTGTACACCATAAACCCAAAATATATTATCAACTTTTGATTTACAAATATTAAGGATACACAGGAAAGTGTATTATACCTTTCATATCAATTTTTAAATGTTATCTTTTTCCTGCTCTTCCGATCAAAATGTTAAACTATTATGACTCATAAACTGTACATACAATATTGGTTTTATACGTGTATCAAAATGTTTATAAACCTATTCTAGAGGGAAAATGATTGAAAGTGAAAGGTTGATATAAGTTTAAGGTATGCAGAACAAGGGTGAAATTTTTTTAAATATTGTAAAATATAAGATTTTTATTAATATAAATAGATATTAATTTGAAGACTAATATTTTATTCATATACTATATTATGAATAAATAAATAAAATTTAGGCAATGGAAAAATCGGCTATTATTAACAACGTCAACATGAAAACCAAATTATTACTATTATTATTCATTATTCACATTTATTATGATTAAACAGTTTTTTTTTGTTTAATATAATATAAAATTTAAAATAATTTATTATTTATGTGAAATTTATTAATACGACCTACCTAATAAAATTAAGAAATTCGAATTAAATTGAGTATAAACAATATACGTTTCTAAATTATAGGGACGATTATATCGTATAGTCTGTCGTGTAATTTTAAAAATATGTCCGTTTTTATATTAATAGGCATTTTTAATACACGACGTTAACCCTAATACGCATTATATGAAGATTACACTTTGTCCGTAAAATAATCTGACATCTGTTACCAGATGCATAGTATTTTTTTGCTTATAAAATGATATGGTATGAAAAAGAAAACAAAAAATAGCCAACGTTTAGTTTCAATCACAATTACTTAGCAACGAAAGAAATGTTGGCCATTTTGGATTTTTTTTTTTTTTATCCGTAAAATGGGTCGCTAAAAGTAATACATATTTTTGATTTATACTTCAATATAAATTGGTTTTTACACTACTCTAAAAATAAAATAAAAAAAAATAAATAATAATATAATGGCATTATTTATACTTATTCAAAAACTATCATATTAAAATATACTAGAAAATCGCTGATAGGGTTAGCTAATAAGGTTATTTACTGAGATTTTTGGCAACTAAATTTATATTATTATTAGTTATTACTTTATTAACTATTTTATATGTTAAATTATTTCATCAAAAATTTTTTTTTAAATAACATTATTTCAAAAAAAAGTTACTATTTATTTAGTCTACTTATTTATATGCAAATATTGTTTACTTATAAACTGCAATCAGTTCTTTATGCAATTTAATGGAACAAAAAAATGAAATTATTATTTTTTTATAAATATCTAGTTTCAACGTTTTCAGATGTTTTTTATTTTCAGTAATATATCATTTTAATTTATTCTTGAAAAATGCTGTGTAAACTCTGAACAAGTGACCGTATTTATTGAATTATGTAATGTTAAACATTAAAATGTACTTATATATTATATTATAGTTTAAGGCGACAAAAATCGATAATTTATAAATATTATATGGTTTTTCGGAAAAATTATATTTAACGTGTGCAGTGTTTTATAAAACGTCGGATGAAAGGAATTTATTAAAAATACATGATATCTATCATAGAATCGACAGCGCGTAAAATGAACTGTCAGCAGTATACGAGCTTATTTTAAATGTACAAATTTTAATACACTATTATAATTTTAATATTGTATAGTACTGGGGTGTCCGTTATTTATATAGAAAGAAAATGTATTTCTTAATTTTAAAGATAACCGTCAGGAAATTTGTTCTAATACATCTAAAAATAAGGTCCTTAAAATTTGAGTTCGATTGAACTTAATTAACAGGGCGCGCTTCAAGCCTAAAGTTTTAATAAATTATGATTTTTTTTTGTTTTTACGTCGTATATGTGTAACCTGCAAGTACCTACTATATAGACCTGCAAGAGCCATACATTTTCGATCAAGTCCGGTCCAAAAAAAAAACCTAAGCCCGACTCAAAAATAATGTTTAACTTTTTAAAAATCCCGGTCCGGCCCAAGGACATTTTTTTTAAGCCCAATCTGATCCGGTCCAAAATATTTTGTGTGAAAAAAGCCCGTGCCCGGCCCTTAATAAAATTCCATGGTTTAAATATGCCCGGTCCATGTTGAGTACACTTTTATAAGCCAGTCTTATCCGGTCCAAAAAATTGAACAAAAAAAAAAGTCCAGGCCCGGTCCAATTTATTACGAGCCGGGCTTTTTCAGGTCTTTAGTACCTACCTATATTATGATCCATACAATATATAATGTATTATTTTACAATTGCGTGCCGATAATTATTATTATTGTTAGCAGTTTTGTACGTTCGAAAGTTTCAGAAATCAGAATTAATACATTATTCTTATGTACGAATTAGGTATATATTTTTTAGTAATATTACACTCAGAATATTGCATTTTTTACTTCCGTGCAAATTCACAACAATTTAAACGGCATATTAATATGTATTTGACAAATGACTAATGACCGGTTATTTTTTTAGAAACACTAAACCCACGACTTGTAATTTAATTTAACTCTGATTTAGTTTTTTTTTTATCTAAAGGCTTCGCCTTGTCACTACAACCTGACCTATCATTGTTGAACTAATCTCATTTATTTTTCCCTCCATAATGTTTAAAAAAAATCCACTGTGCCATATAATGTGTCCAATAAATTTCGTTCTTTTTGTTGTTTTAATCACCTTGATGATCTGTCTTGGCTCATTGTACCATGTTAAAAAATTCTACATTAGTTTTCCTTTCCGTCCAACCTATCTTCATCCTTCTTCCCTTTTTTTAATGCAACTTATTTAAATATCCTAACTCAATTAAAACTAATATTACTAAAATATTTAAGATTATGTAATATTTTTAAATTGAATTACACAAAATTACACAAAATTACTACACAAAATATTTGATATTTGTGTTATGTATTATGCATTATTCTATATAAGTGCATAACACACATGCATATTTGATGTATAATATATGCATATGTATATTAGTATACATAATATATATGTTTAATGCAAAATTATATATCATGGTAAATATTTCACAATGGTCGGCAGTCACTTTAATATTGGTTATCTCATTCGTGCAGCTCCAAACTTTTAAAATGTAGAGGTCGCTTAATTTAATAATTATATTTTATCTTTTAGTTTTGTTCCTAGGCGGCACCTATAATACTGTTCAATTTCATTTACTACTCCACAAGTTTAAAAGTCAATTATGCGTTAAAAGTTAATGCGTAATCATAAAACAAAAACCTATATAATATACACATTCACATTATTACACGAGTATAAAATAACTACCTGATATCAATAAAATAAAAACTGTAAAAGAAAAAAACGATTATTATATTATTAATGTTATTATATAGTCTTTTTAATGATATTATTAAAAAGTCTTCGTAATGTTTGATCATTTATTAAGCCTATATATAACTGATCTTTTTAACGTCTGTTTAATGTTCACCGACAGACGAGGTTTCTTAATTTTGCCCCCTTTCTTTGTAAGAATAAACAACAAGACGATGAAAAGTACATCCTTTTTTGGTAATAAATTGTATGTATGTAATTATAATACAAACAAAAAAAATGATTTTATAAAAAAATAAATATTTTTAAGCGTATAAAAATGTAATTTTAAATTCTTTAATAATATTTATAATTAATTGAAATGATACATGAAACTATATATACAAATAAAAAACAAATGATGTACCTGCTGGATCTTTGCTGAACTCAGAATTGAAATTTTAAAATGTTAAATAATTTTTAATTATTAGTATTTTCATAATGGCCTTAAACAACGATCAGCAGCTGTATATATATTCATATGTTCAATTAGGTACTTATCCACACAAGTGTAACGCTACACAAAATCTAAACTCCACAATAGTTTTTCCTCGAATGCTCTCTAAATAACATTTTCTTATGTTATTCTTTCCAGGGGCGTATGTAATTTGTACCAAAAAAATATATGTATGTAATTTGTTTCACATCTAAAAATTAATTTTGTTAAAATTTAACTTTTTAAGATTGCTGTTTGCGCCACATAAAACTAAACGAAAGGGCATTATGTAATCTGCCTCATCTTGTACCTACACAAATTGTAATTTGCACCAATTCAAAATAACTAAACAATTTCTTTTAACAGAACAATATATCGTATTTTTAATCATTGATCAATCAAGTTCATTTTAATAGTTAGTACTTTATGTTTATTAAACAGGCAATACAATTTCGGTTAGTAATAAAACAAAAATATCAGTAATATTATAATTATAATTAAATGTATATAATTATACGTACTTTATGTATATTAAATAACCCAAATTTCGGTGTTTTCATGTTTATTCATGTTATTCATGGTGCATATTATATATTCTATTTCGTTTTCTGTCCTGGCACAAATTATCAAAATTAATTTTTAGATGTGACGCAAAATACATGTTACATTTAAATGTACCAATTGGGGGTGCAAATTACAAGTGATAAAATTGGTGTAAAATACCATTTTCTTTTTCCAAAAACACTTTTCACGTTTTTTTTTTTATTTTTATTAATATTTTCCCTAAAATACCATTCCTCAATACCAATTTTCTATGTACAATATATTATTATCTTTCTTGTGCTTGTTTACTATCGTATCCTGAAATTGTCTGGTTCTTTATTATTATAATTATTATGTTTAATACTATTTATACGTGCGTGTTCTCGTAAGATTGTTTCCATATTTAAATCATATAGAACGTAATACTTGATCCGTGTTCGGTGTTCAAAATAAATAACCATGCAGTGCATCGATTTTACGCCAACATCATACAATAATTCAAGTATAAACAATTTCTACATTTCTATAACATGTGGCAAAAATACATGAAACCGTATATTGTTATTCCTGCGCTTCGTGAAGAAGATATTGGAATGTGGTCAAACACGCAAACATCAATAATGGAAATTTAACATTTATTATTGACTCTGCGGACAGATTCTATCAGGGAGGAAAAAAATAAACCTATTTGCTATACACTATTTTATACCTCGCGCGAATAATAGATTTTACTTATGCAAAGCACTATATATGGTATAGTTTATAATCGAATGTTAACCCGAATGTACAGGATTACGGATGTTCGAAGTACGAGTACCTACTTATACCGAAAATCACATAAACTTAAAACTGTGGTATTACAAAATTGAATTCGTTGTTTTACATCACAAGACGATTGATTATCTAAATTCGAATAAAAAAACAAGAAAGAAAAAAATCTATAAAATAATAATAAAAATAACCATATAAAACCGTTCGGGTAATAATACGAATAATTTGACGGCGTTTTATTGGCTATTTATTTATTATTATTATTATTTTTTTTTATTGGAATTTCTAGCAAACGATACACGTATTATAGGTATCGTCGTAAAAATATGTAAACGTATTATATACTAAAGTAAGTGGTTTGGTTTTTTTTTTTTTTTTTGCACAGACGGCATCGGAAAAGCGGCGCACCCGCAGATATTCAACCTGGCGAGTAGGGCTGAGGTGACGGCGAACGCGACCTGCGGCGAATCAGAGACCGGGCCGGAGGTGTACTGCAAGTTCGGCGGTGGCGGCGCCCAACAATGCGGCGTGTGCGACAGCAGGTCCGGTGACCCGGCCAAGAACCACGGGCCGGCCGCGGCGGTGGACAACGGGACCGGCACGTGGTGGCAGAGCCCGTCCCTGCAGAACGGTGACCGTTACCAGTACGTGACGTTCACCATCGACCTGAAACAGGTGAGTTCACGCAGTTACTGGTCACGCGGTGATGTATATTAAAGCTCGGGTACATACGCATAACGCATTTAGATACCTCATCGATGTACACCTGCAGTGGTTCCCGACTTTGGTTATTTTACGCCCCATTTGCAGCTTTTTAAAAATCTCTCATCCCCACCCCCTTTTAACAAATATTCAACAAAAAAGGTCATCTGGGAAACACTGATGTATACAAATACCACAAATAGTTGAAAATTATGATACGATAATATTGAAATCTCGATCAAGATGTTGCAAAATATTTATTCCCAGTTGGTGAAAATATTAAATAACCGTATCAAAATAATGTTAACTAATATCTTAAAATATAAAAATCATGTAAATATCAGAGAAAAAAATTAAATCGAATGACAAGTAAATTAAACGTTCGAAAATATTTTTGAGAGACTAAAATGAGCCTACCTCCTCGTGGTGTCTCCTAGTTAACTCTAATATGGTCTAAATAATTTTAAAATTAATGTTAAAAAATATTGTATCAATATAATATTCACTATTAACGTGTATATGTGACCAAACGTTATTTTAATTTGTACCCAAATGTGTTATGTTTCTAGTGGTATGTGTACCAAAACGACATATTCATTAGTTATACCCAAACGTATTGCATCCCGGATTCGAAAATCAAAAAATAATCAAAGCATTATTTTCGCACATTTTACGTTTTCCTTATGTTTTATCCTGGATTTTCTTAGATATTATAAAAACCGCTTGGAAAATCAAAAAAACACTTCTTAAAAGTACCATCTGGACAACATTCTCTTTCAGAAATGATGCCGCGCGCATATACCATAGCAAAATTCCTGGTAGAATTTTTGTACACAGTATATAAAAAAAAAAAATAAATAAATATCTTAGTATAACCAAGCTACACTCAGAATCTAAAACGGAAACCGAATTCACTGAGGAGAAAAATGCTGATTCATAAAAAAAAAAATCATCATGTATTATAGGTACCTAATTTAAATGTCTCATATTATGTTGCCGGCTATGAATCACGAGTGTGTAATATGCTTTGGCATCCAATAATGACTAGAAATTCATGCATAAAAAGACGACTGTCTGTACAACTTTGCCAAAACTATTTACAGCCTTGACCCTTGTCTACACTACGTATCTGATTAAGTATAGGTAATATAAATAAGTACATAAAAACAAAATCAAGTTATTCATAGAAACTCGTATTTGATTTATTTTCCAAATAAATGGATCTCAAGAAAGTTGGCATATTTTTTTTATTTTACAATGCACTTTATACGATAATAAGTCATTAAATCGTACTTTAAAAAAATTCTAAAATAATTCATTATTTTATAATTATATACTGCATTAATGTAAGTATATATCACTGAATTACATAATTAGGTACCTAATTAATTAATTTTCAGTTTTAATATAATATTCTAACTTTCAATATAGTATTATATGGCAAATATTATTACAAAAAAGTACAAACTAAAGTGAAGTTTTAATTTAACCATTATTTATAGATAGGTAGGTATGTTGTGTCTTATTTTTTGTAATATAATTATGTATTATACTAAATACTACACATCATAAACATTTACGGAATACTGAAACATACGAGTGATGTGCAAAATGTAGTATTGAAAATTGTTTACCGAATTCAGTAGAAATGGTGTAAAATTCGCCATTAGCAAGATTGCGTATTATCTATTTTCTAGAAATTAAATTTTAACAACATGTATTGTTTATAAGAAAAATGTACTAGAATATCAGCCCAAATGGACTATGGTGGTACCTACTCGTATATAGTTTTATCTTATATTGGCTAGTGCCCAAAAGTATTCGAACGACCATATCAGATTTCATGCTGAGATGAATTAAACACAATTAGAAGGCTATGATTTTGTCAAAAAGAAACTATTTATCCCATCTTAATTATCATATTTCCACTTGCTTGGGGGCATAAATGTAAAATCGAGTATACATACTTAAACAATGTTTTATATACACAGATTCAAAAAATCAATAATATTGATTTTCAGGATTAATCGAACTATGAAAATCGATTAAATACCAAAGGTAAAACATTTAATGAAACTAACTGAAGAACTTGGTATAGAACACGGGTTTGAATCCATGTACCTACAATTTGTGGAATTTTAATTGTATTAATCGTATTATTATATCGGAACAAATTTATGAAACACAATATACTCGTATATATATTTAAAAAAATAAATATATCCAATTCACTATAAATCCGAACAAATGCGGTCTATAAGTTGGGTATGAGCCAGAACACAGTATGAGTTAATGGCTATAGTAACCCAAAGTGTTCAACAAATAAATGCAATCCCCGACGATTTAATTGTAAAACTTTTACCCCTGCGTAATTTTAACTTTCAGGCTATAGAAAACCAATTGAATGGCATAAATACATAAGATATTAGTTTTTTTTTTTCCAATTTATTACTAATCGCCCGATAAGAATATTTACATACCTATTAAATATTCGCATTCTGTTTTATCTTCTATAAAATTTATTATGGCAGTAAAATAATAAATTATATATAGTATATACCATATATACTCATATATAAAATATAGTATATAAATAAAAAAAAGAAGAATGTTTACCAAAATATGTTATTAAGTTATACTATAACAAAATATAAGAATTACAAAATTAAAATGAAATATATCTGAACCTTGAGTCAATAAGGACACAACAAAGTCACTTTTAATCACTTTTCATAAATTAACTTTTTAAAAAGCATTATAGAAAATAGCAATCCTATCTATTTCTTGTAATAATTGTAGTGATCAATATACGCTTATGTATTAGGCTATTTATCTCATTTCACCAAAAAGTGGCTTTAGCCATTCTAGGTCAGATATATATATATATATATAATATTATATTCTATACTTGCAATACTTATAATAAGTTTTACAATTGTTTTATTGTTAACATTTGTGTAATTAATTTTACAAATTCAACGATAAATAACTAAAAATAAATCAATACGAGATGAAACTCGGTTTAACTACATTTTAGATTCGAAGCGTAACAAGGGATCTATTGATTTTACTATGATGTGTGTGTTTTTATTATTTTTTATGGCAGTGAACAAATTTTCTACCGGAAAACTTGCTCTGGAGTATCAAGTGATAAGTGTAGCACCTTTTCTGAAAGGTAATTTGGTGCATTGGCAAGGTAATTTTTGTTAAGGGATTTTCAAAATGATTGGGAAAACCACGAAAGAAAATTATAGGTAAAATGGCAAATATTTACGGTGCTTTGCGTCGTGAAGTTAACGTTTTCATTGTTTTTCATTTTAAGAACTTATGTTTTGTACCAGAAATATTGCTCCATTTGAAAAATAACAAAATATATATTTTGTTCCTTTTAATATAAAACTTTCAAAGAAAGTTGTTTTTTGATATCTAAAGTATTGTTCATAATAATTGGGAAAAACTAAAAAAGACGAAAATGAAAACTAATAAATTTACGACGCTAGGATTTCTTTATTTTAAATTTGTACGACTTATGTTTTCTACAAAAAATATTTCTTCAAAAGAAAAACAACAGGAGACCTATTTTGTTGTATTTATAATTTAGTTTGTTTTAATTTTTTTTAAGCGTTTTTTATAATAATTGGGAAAAATTGGAAGAAACAAAATTTAGGAAATTATATTTTTCAATATTTTTTTTTTTTTTTGTAATTCAGTTAAAAATATTCTTAGCGACTTGAAATGTTGACAGAAAACTTATATTTGGTTTTTTAGACGTGGTACAACTTTAAAAACATTTAAGCTATTTATAGATATTTTAATTTTGAAAGTTTTTATTAATTCTTATTTGATACTTATTTGTACTATATGTAAAAAATCGTTAGACTAAACAGAAATGCTCGTCAATTTGATAGGATAGGTAAATTATAAGTCGTATTTAGTGATTAAAAAAAAAATTGAGTGTTATGTAGTATATTTTCTTTTATTTAAGTTTTAAAATAATATTTTGTCGAAAATCGGAACTATAATATGGCCTTTCAAAATATGTATAACCAAACTTCGCTTCGATCGTTTTTTCGTTAGCAATGGTTTATCGTAGGTTACAGTTTTAAATTAAATAACTCTATTGATGTATTCCACCTTCCTAACTACCCATATGTGACCGCACCCGTTCACAGCTTCAGCTCATTTTTATTTTGTTTCTGCTTAATTAAGTTAATTTTTTTTACCCTTTTACGAGATTCGTCGAGAGTTGAAATTCAAAATGTTAAAAAGAAAATATGAGACATTACGCTCAATTTACTCGAACATAATTCTATATTTTAATATATGTTTGACAGACGGTAGCATTTATTAAATTATTTCGTATAATACGAGTTCATTTTCAACAGGGAAAATATCTCAAGTAATATTAATAATAAATTATACTGTGCGTTACTAAAATATACAGTTAGAGTCCATACTATTAGCTCTCAATAATTCAAAATTTAAGTGACCAAGCTTAAATGTACAAGTTATAAAGATTTTCGAATTAGTGAAAATTTGTATTTATTGAAAATATAAATTAGGAGACAAATTCGAATTACAGAGGGATCACAATTAAAGTGCATGCAGAGAATGTGAAAAAAAAATTAAGTTATAATTAATAATCAGCAATACAAATATGCCGGAATGTTTTGAAAATTCTATTCTATTCCTATATAATGCTAATATTATGTATCTTTATATGTATATATAAGTATTTTATCAATTAATTTATTCTGAATATTACTTTAAAAAAAAAACAAATTTCGTCCAAAACCAGTGTTGTGTAAATATTCCTGTTTTTCGTCAATTTCCCTACACTATTAAAAAAAGTATAACTGCAAGAAATTTTACCTTATCAACTAAATAATAAACAAAAAATAATACTACTAGAAACCATCCCTAATGAGTGAAGGTGGTTGATTAATGATGCGAGTCTTTTGAGTGAAATATTGTGTTAATAGCAGACATATAAAAAAAACAACAACATATTATTTATTATAAAATATACCATTTGGGCCCTTTGAACAATTAGTAGAATAACATTCATGGTAACATAAAACAATAGAATTACTATAACAGAACGATATATAAAAATAGAAAAATATATGTAAAAACATATTTGTTTAATAAAGTGTTTCAAAAAAATTTAAATTAAAAGTGGAATCCGTGTTGGCATGCGACATGGAACACCCTATGAGTTCATTACTCGTATTATTAGTAGAACTGAAGAGTATGTGGAACGTAGAAATAAAGCGTGAGGGTCGTAGAGGCACTTTAAATATAATTATAGAGCAAGTAAGATTGGAGAATCGATAACACCTGTCAAAAGATCTTTTAAGAATTTTTTTCCAAAGTAACGTCTGCGCTCAGCTAATGTAACTAAACCTATAGATGAGTAGCAACAGAATAATAATCGTGTGGAGGATAATTAATACCCAGAAAGTAGCTGGCAAATCGGAAAACCCTTCACTTTCAAGCTAGCAAGTAACAGCAGTATAGGATTCCTAAATTGCTGTACCATATTCCAGTATAGGCCGAACTATAGAACAATAGAAAACCTTAAAAAAATATTTAAGCCTAAAACAAAGCCCATCGTTTTTAATGTATTACAATAAATCATCTCAATATGAAAACTCAGGTCAAGATTATTAGTTTAAAACCAAAATCCATATAACAAAATTATCATTGACATATATTATTATCATAATAACACAATAACTTTCTTACAGTTAAATTATCTAATTATGAGACTAAATTAATAGTTTTAATTAACCATAAACGTGTACAAGTTATAATACGTACCATCACATATTTATTTATTTTACTCTATTTGGTAAGAAAAATATTTTGATGAAAAGGTTGCATGAAACATAGTACGATATTCAAATTATTCAATCGACATCGTATAAAGTTTTATTTTGTATTTTTATGTGAATCTTTGTCATGCGAGTATATATAAAAATACCTACGTAACAAAGAGTTTTTATTATTCATTTGGTATTAGTATTGCATTGACAGAACGAACATTGTGCTACTTTTTTTACATAATATTACTTTTCAACACTGTAATACTGTATTATAATGTAAAAAACTTAAAAACATATACTTAGCTAACATTTATTATTCATAGTATTTCAAAAGAGGTACTGCCACTGCGGAACAATAGACTAGATTACGACTTTGTTGAACCGGAAAAGAAAAATTATTGTTTAAACGTGATCTTCCGAATCATACATGTTTTTAAACGAATACCTAGACGAACACATTTGTATTCTGTTTGCATTGTGACAAATTTAAAATTAAATTTTGTGTTTTTAAATGTATACAATTATTTTTGTCGACAAAAAAACCATATAAATAAAAACGATAATTTACATTTTCGTTCACAATATTGTATACTTAGGTATTATAATAATATTATTATAAAAACAAAGATTCAATTGATACCATATAAAATATATTAACAACTATATTTTAAATATAGAACCTGCATCAAATCAATTTAACAATTTCTTTATTAACGTTCGCGAAAAACTAGCCGAGAACTTTAATAATTTTCCAAAATAGGATTTAGAAATGTCTAACTATAAAAAATGTTTGTATTCATTTCACGATATTTTTCTAAAAGAATTTGATGTTCTAAAAGTATAAAAAATTATAGAGATGATAAAGCTACTGGATACGATAGGGTTACTGTAAATATTCCAAAAAATATTTCTAAATTAATCATTACTCTTTTATTGTTTACCTATAATTTGAGTATTCAAAACAGTATTTTTCCAGATAATTTTAAAACTGCAATTATTAAGCTCTTATTTAAGGAAGGTGATCGTAGACCAATATTGACCTATAGATATATAAGTATATATATACCTATAGACCAATATCTTTATTGACTAACTTTTCTAAAATATTTGAAAAAGTTATCAAAACGAAACTTATTTTAGGTGCCTAGAGCACAAGGGGTATAAGTGAAATTTTATTGATTTCGAGAAAACCAAGTTCAAAGTTATTTGTATTTAATAATATAATTATTATATCATATTATCATATCATCAGTGCATGTACAGCTGTTGTGGACCCTTGCGCCTATTTACCTCTAATATGTTACGACATTTTCATTTGAAGACTATTTTAGTGAGATCTAGTATTTGATACTAGATTTCAGCACATGAAGAATAATTTTCTCTTATATTTCTTTACCACAAAATAAAATGGAATATTTTTAGGTCAGCTGTGCTCTTAACTCAGATTATTTAAAAATATTATTTATACCCCTTGTGCAGGCACCTCATTTCATATTTGGAAAAATATAACTTCTAGATCTAAAACTCAATTCGGTTTTAGACCAGAGCTATTCACTAAAAATGCTTTATTTCAAGTAACTCAGTTTTTGTTGACGCACTCGATAATGGTTTGAAACTAATTGCTATTTTCCTAGACCTTACGAAGACGTTTGACACTATATACCGCATGATTCTATCTCAAATCCATTTTTTTTTTTAAATTAATTATTTTTCAGTAAGAATCCGCAGTTTTATGATGTTTATCATAGTTTATAAACAAAAATATGTTAGTTATAGGTATGTTTTTATTTTACATTTTTAATTAATATTTTTTGATGTTCTTTTTCATGATTGTATATATTTTTATCTTTTCTTAATATAATATATAATGTACGATTGTATGATAATTCTCTACTCAGTCACAAGTCAAGGCTTAAAGGAGTAGGTGTATTCTTCGTCTGTATATATTATATTTTTATTTGTATATATCTGTAGTATATTATGAAGAAATTTTAAAATAAAAAAATAATAATAATAAACCTTTACAAAAAACACAAACCTCATCGACAATACTAAAAAATACTTTTTACTTGATAATTCTTGTTATTGTATTAATTAATGTAATTATGTGGTGCGCGGACAATATAGGATTTCAATTGCCGTTATTCGTCTGTGTCACGCATCGCGTATAGAGTCCCGCTGTGGCCCCAACAAAAATACAAACGAAACAAATCACCTATCTCCCGAAGCAATAAAGTCGAAATTGAAAAATTTTGTTAACGTTGACTGTGCACAAAAAAGGATTTGCCATTTATCAATCTCGCGGCGAACGTTTCTTTTTTCCCACAAGTATAATTTTTACATTATTTGTCCGTCGCGATATACAATCGGTGGTATGTAGGTAGTTAGGTATATAAAATATATACGCCATCCAAGTTCCTCTATAAGTACGAGTCCTCAAATAGATACCTATTGACTGTGTAGTGCATATATATTTTGGTGGCATTCGTAAAATTATACGCTATCACTGTCAAACAGTATTAAAAAATTAGAGACATTTTATTTTCAAAATATTTCTGAAAATGATTAAATTAATTTTATAAAATATTTATTAAAAATATGACCTTAATGTTTTAACTGTATTTGTATACACTTACCTACATTGATCATACCAAAATTAAACATTTACCATAAATGTATAATTTGTGGCCGATATTAAGTATTACTTAATAAATTGCATATCTATTTTTAAATGATAAATTGATAACTTTCACCTACTCCTCTAGTCTAAACTTTAAACTGTTATAACTCATAAACGACAAAATCTGATATAAGTGTTACGCATACCAAAATTTCTAAAATTTAAGGGGGAGTTTCTACTTAAAAAACAAAAGTATATACGAATTTAAGGTGTATAGAGTAAGAGTTAAAAATAGTTTTAAAATAATGCTTAACCGATTCCACAATAATTTTAAAAAAAAATCAGAAATGAAATTCACTTAAAATCCTCCGAGATAATAGCTGGTTTATGATAAAAAAAAAAAAATTCACTCTGTATAGCATGTTATAGATAGGTATTTGGAAAATAGTTTAAACACAAAAACCACAGTTACGAATCACGATTAATGGCCTCCGGTAAATTCGAATTCGAATCCAAACTCAGCGGACACAGTCGTAAACTCTTATTCATTATACGTATTAAACATTATGAGGTATGTATAATACGTTTATATATTATCTATACTAATGCAATAATAACGTTACATTGTGTAATCGTATCATATCGTAGCAAATATGAATGTATGGCAAGCCAATAAAGTACAGAACAAAACGTACACCATGCCACACTGAACCCCCAAATAGTGCCTTTGCTAATTCTGGTATATTATGCTCACGGCGTAATATACACGCGTATATATTGTATTTATAAGTTAAATTAATCGTCGGCGTTTAATCTTCTACGAATCTTTAAAATGTTTATAGCCGCAATATTCGGCGAAATCAATGACACAGAGTACACAGCCGATCGTTCGAGTTATTACCGTTAACATATACGTGCTATTTATTGTCTCGTTTCAATAAGGCATTTTTTTGAAGTGCCTATACTAAGGAGTAGAGTAAAATAAGATATAAAACACTCTCTACCTGTCCGTGGTCCATGAATGAAAAACACCGAACCTTTTAAATAAACAGAATTAATTACTAATTTTCTAGTAAAATATTTTTTTTCCAAATTTTTTGTTTTTATCTAGAACAACTCGGACATTTGTCTTAATTTATATTTTTCGTTCCGCGACAAAACATATGCCAAAACGTAACTGGAACGCCTATTTTTCTAGATCGCGATGTAAGTAATATTATAAGTGCATCGTTAGTGGATCGGCTGTATTATTTACTCGATTCAATAATCCGAATAATCCGCGTATTGCATAACTCATGGTAAAATTTAGATTTTCATTTTTCTTTTTTTATTTCGTCGGTCTTCCTATAATATTATCTTCAAAATCTGTCATATTATTCAGGCTACAAACATTCAATGGATTCATAAAATGCTTTTATAACGGCTTCAAGTGATACAAAAGCTAATACAGCCAGTATTTTAACTTAAACTTCGAATTTTACATGTTCTCTTGATAAACTGTTTTTAGTATTTCTTGTTGGCCTATATACACATTGGGACATCCGGGTATATGTGAAAAACAAACAGTTGTTTTATCATTTGCGTAGAAAAAAATAAATGCATTTAATAGTTCTTAATCTAACATGATCTGTACTGTTTGTATTAATATTATAAAAAAAAAAAAAAACGATTTGTTAGTATGTTTGTAATGAATTTGCTTAAAAACCAATTAACCGATTTTAAAACTTCTTTTACATCTAATAAGCTACATTATCAGCGAGTGGCGTGGGCTGTATTTTATTTAAAAAAAAAAAAATTAGAGATCCCTACGAAATTTGTAATTATTAGGTTTTTAAATATTCTCGGTACGAATATTTAATTATTTATTTATTTATGTTTGTTTATTCATGGGTTACCTTGTTGACTTGGACGATAATTAGGTAAGGGACAAAAAAACTATTTTTAATATTACCACTATTATTTACACTATTATCTATTAGCAATAGCAAAGCATTACCGGGTCATCTTGTGTTTTATACAGAACAATATAATCGTTATGATCCGTACGCCGAGATATCATTTCGTCGAAAACGATTCACTGGAATTACTGGTTACCATAATAACTTTGTACGCGCGTATTGTATTAGCTATACCGTTTACGCAACAACGGACTGTTTTGTGTTTATCGAGATTTTCCCATGGGAGCAGTGCGTCTAATAATAATAATATTTCTTGGAACAGACGTATTTCATTGGGAAATCATACAGGAGCACGAAACCTTTAGGATGGATACGTCTTGTTTTATTCGGCATTGTTTATATTCACCTATATACGGAGGCTATGTAAACATTTTTAACAAACTGTAAAAACAAATAAAAAAGTCATGTATATTTTACCCGATGTATATTATTGTACGAGAATATATATGAACAATAAATTAAAATACTGCAAAACAGTACTTTTTAACTCTGGCACTCCGGTTTATATTTTTATTATTATTAAAATTATTATTGAAAAACTGCTTTGGAAATATTTTCAAAATAATGACTCCTAGAATGGAGCTAGGAATTTATTGGTTTAACAATAATGTTTATTCTATTCTTTTTTCTGCGAACAATTTTTCTACAGCAATTTTGCTCCGATTCACAATGATTGCACTTTTTCTGAAAGTAGATCTGACTGGCGTGATACTTTAAAATGGTCATTTTTTTGATTTTTCCAGGAATTTTCCCAAAAAATGGGAAAAAACTTAGGCAAAACGGGAAAATAGATGAAATTTTAAACAAATATTATTAAAGAAAATATATATTGCTAATATAATTATTTACCATAATGTGACAAATATATTGTGTACAACACTTTTAACCAAACTCCGCTCAGAATCGTTATTCGTTGGCAATAATTAATCGTTGCATACAGATATACATTAAATTTCTACTCTACTTTCCCAGCTTCTCACCTAAAATAGTGGCCCACCCACGTGCGAAGTATGTTCTTTTGTATATAATGCAGTAAAATATAGAATAAATAATAGATACACGTAAACATTTATTTTTGAAAGATTAATAATACAAACAGTGTTATTATAATGTATGAAATACTAAAGTTTTGTACAGTGTGATATTCAATTTTATAAACCAGTTTCTTTTTTTTCAAAATCAAACTAAAATAGTAATAAATAGTTTAAGGCAGGCCTGTATGAGCGCGGGGCTTGGTGAGGTCGCATATTTCGCACCGTCTTTCCGCCAGCTCTGATTTCAAGTTATTCTTCACGAAGTCGTGCCGTTCAGATCATTTTCATTCAGAAAGTCACGACTGTTGCCGCATTTTTATTTGCCAGGTATAAGTTATCTTTAACGAAAGTGGTCCTTATTAGACATTAGTGGATTATAGTAATATGTGTTTCACCATACGAGGTGTGTTCAATAAATACCCAGACAAAATGTATTAAAAATTATAATTAAAACTTAAATTATTTAAATGGAAACCATCAAAATAGTGTCCTTTAGCTTCAATACAATGCTTCCAACGGTCTTGCCACTTTTTGAAACACCTTTCAATTTCCTCCATAGGTATAGCCTTTAGCTTTTGTGTCGCGTTATGGATAGATAGAAGAAAAAAAGCCATTTAGTTAATATAATGAACCTATTTCAAGCATGAGTATTTAATCAAACCATATTATATATGCCTACAAAAAAAATAACGTACAAAAATCTCGCAAATAAAATATTTTAAAAATATCTGGTTCAAAAATCAGCCGATTTGTTTTGAAAATTGTACCACGTCTAGAAAAGTCCAATATAAGTATTCTGTGCTTTTCATCTCTCTACAATAATTTATAGCCGATTTACGATAAAAAAAAACCGAAATCGAAAAAATCGAAACCATTAATACCGTAAACTTTCATCTATTCCCTAGATTAATTTCTTCTTTTCTCAATTATTATGAAAACTGCTGAGAAATTAGAAAAACTACTTATTTTGAGAGTAATTAAATCTGAGATTCGAAGAGATAGGTCTCTTATCATTAAACGTTTAAAATAATATTTCTAGTAGAAAAGTTACTTACAGGTAAAAAAAAAATAGATTGTTCACAACCAAAATCTAAAACAAAAACGACGTCCCAGGATAATGGATGTAGGTGCAGCCATTGTTATAGGTAATTTAATGTATATCTGTAAGCAATGGCTTATGCTAACAAAAAAATGATTCTGAGCGCAGGTTAGTTGAAAGTGAACCTTTGTCAAAAATACATATGTCATATTATGGTAAAATACCTAATTAAATAGACAATATGTATTTTCTTTAATAATATTTGTTTAATATTGTACCGATTTTCCCGTTTTTCCTACGTTTTTCCCGGTTTTCCCGTGTTTTTTCCCGGGTTATCACATTTGCTATTCAACTCTTGGATAAATCGAAAAATGACCTCCTAAAGTATCTCTCCAGTCAGGTTTTCTTATTGAAAAAGTGCTATCAATGTAAATCGGAGTATAATTTCTAGATACCTGAAACATGGCTTACATTTTTTGAATATTTGACCACGTTTAGAATAGGCAAATATTAGTTTCCTGTCTAAATTTTAAGTCCATAGAATTGATACGAATATTTTTAACTGAGTTTCAAAAAAAGTATTAACATTTTTATAAAAAGTCTTTAAATGGCTCAAATATGTTTTAAAATTTGACCACGTTTAGAAAAGACAAATAAATGTTTTCTTTCCAAATTTCAAATCTCTACGAATATTATTAACTAAATTACAACAAATAACAAAATTGAAAAATAATAATAGCATTTTTTTCGTAAATTTCCCGTTTTTGTTACGTTTTATTCTAGTTTTTCCCAGATATTATGAAAACTGCTTTGAAAATCAAAAAAATTCCTTTTTATTGTACCATCTGGACAACATTCCCTTTCAGAAATAGTGCCACGCATATATATCAGAGGAAGATTTCTGGTAGAATGTTTGTACACAAGATAAAAAAAAAATATACATACATCTTAGTAATACTAATACATTCTTCGCTATACACAGAATCTTAAAGTATAACTGTATTATTTAATGATATAGACTGTTATTTTTTTATAATAATAGAATAAATAAAAAACATTGTTAAATGCTGTGCTTATAAAGTTATAATACTGACTAAAAAATAAATAATAATAGAAAATGTTAATACAAAATTAGATAATGCAGAAAAAAGCCTTATCTTCCATACCTATAGTAGTCTCAACAAAATTTCTTAATATTTTTAAAGCACGTTTAGCTTGTTGAATTGTAACCTAAAAAATGACTTCCTCCTCATTTTGTGGTTCGTCTTCACTCTCGCTGATATTTTCGATGGTTTCTGATAAAATTTCGTTATCTGTCCATGTTCCACATATGTGTACATTATTGTCCATTTCCACATAATGTGAAAAACTTCTGTCGTCTAAATTAAGATGATCAGCAACAAAATTCCATTTATGCGCTCTTTATTGTATTTTCCACCCGAACATTCTTTACCTTTTAACATTAATGTTTTATCTGATAATCATTTGAAAAATAAGCCCGTTTCATCGACATTAAATATATCATTAGAAGAATAACCTGCTAAGACGTCAGGAAGATATTTAATCCAATTTGAACAACTATGTGTGTCTACTGAAGCTTTTTCTCCACAAACAGTTCGAAAAACTACATCATGTCTTTTTTCCAATTTGTAAGCCATCCACTACTAGCTTTAAAATTAGTGTGTCTTAGTTATTGTGAATATTCGTTTGCTTTATCAAGTAAAATTGCTCCATTTAATGGGATGTTTTTATCTTGATACTGAGTAAACAATTTTAGCAAACATTTATCAATGTCCAAATAAGGAATCATCCTCATTATTTTCATGTTTCCAATGTTTACAATTGAACTTCATTATTCTCTCTTTCTGTTTAATAATTGACGATAATGTATTTGGTAGAATTTTTTTGGCGATTTTACAGTTTTTATGGTCACCTTTTTCAAATAACTGTATTAAACGAACTTTGTCCGAAATTGAAAGAACATTTAATTTACGCTTCTTTTCCATTTCACTACAAAACGAACAAACGAACTACGAAAGATTACAAACGTGACTACCAGCGCGCTAAATCGCAATCGCTACATTGAATGTACTCCACAATTCCTGTTTTAACCGTAATAAAAATATTATTCGTGAACTCGAGATAACGAAAAACGATTCATTTTATATCGAGTTATCGAGAGCAAAACACTATTAAGTGCAATAGTAGTTTCAAGGGGAATTCAATGTATTTCAAGATAACGAAAAATTTGAGATAGCGACGTTCGACATATTAAGAATCTACAAATATTTTTTTACGTAACTATCATCGAAATGAAATAAGAGTATAGTAAATTCAACCATGCATACATTTAGCATGAGACACTTTCCGCTTCTTGAAGGAGTATCATACATTTAATTGTGGTAAAGCGCCACACGCGATTGTGGTACTTGTTTTACATTTCATACTTGTATGTTATCTTATTAATTTTCAATGTCATCATGATATATATACAAGAGATAATTTTTATTATTAACCTTAAGGTTTTTCTATTATCATTCATTTTTTAGTTTATTTTATTTTATTGGATTTTAAAAATGCCATTATTAAAAGAGTTTTAGTCATATTAGGTAAAAATCATTTGTCCACCACTTCGGGAAAATATGAAAACTGATCATGGATTATTTATATTTAAAGATATATGAACAAAAGTCGTATGACATGTTTTTTTGATATTTAAATATTTTTTTCTCAAAAAGGTTCACGCGTCCCCATCACCCCATCCTTTGATTCCACACCTGCATTATCAATGATTCACCTAAATTATTGACATTTCGTAATTATCTACAGATTAAATTGTGTAGCTATACTAATGATTATATATTTTTTCTAGATCTATCAAGTGTCATACATCATAATCAAATTTGGCATTTCGTCCAGACCCGGTAATTGGATTTTAGAAAGATCAACAGATGGTGGTGTTCAGTACAAGCCATGGCAGTATTTTGCCATCAATGGCGAGGAATGCGTACAAGCATATAACGTTCAACCAATATTACACAAGGATAAAATGTTGCAAATACATCCGAATATTACCTGCATTACGTCTTTTTCCCGTTTTAAACCCTACGAAAATGGAGAAGTAAATCATAACAAAATACATTATGATAAATATTGTAATTTATATATAAATGTATTTATTTTTTTTAATAATAATTTATTATCCGATAGATTCATATAAATATTTTCAAAGGACTCAACAACGTAAACTTATCATCAGCGGACCTTTTAGATTTTTCTACGGCACAAATCATTCGGCTGAGAATGCAAAAAATTATTTTTCCCAATGACAAAATGACTATTCAAAATGATAATTCGTTTAAACGAAAACTATTTTATTCGATCAAAGATATATTCATTGGTGGTAGGTGCATTTGCAATGGTCATGCGAAAAAATGTAAACAAATGTTGGAAAATACGGTATGTTTTATTTATATTTATATCTAAACTATGTATTATCGAAAAATCACAAATTAAACTTTAATTTCAAAAATCATTAAACACACAAGTCATTTTAACTCATACCTTATTTTTATTTAATTATATTTTGTTTAAAAAATGTTTATTTAAAAGTTTACTTATAATGTAATAATCTAGTTGAACTTTGTGTCGCTTGAACCTTATTAAAATAAATAAAAAGATTATTTGTATTTTTATGAATCAACATTTTCCTTTAAATATAACCTTCTCCTATTTAAATATATTATAGGAGCCTAGTTGCGATTGTCTACACAACACATGCGGCTCAAGGTGTGACAGATGTTGTCCACTATACAACCAGCGTCCATGGAAGTCAGGTCCAGTTATTTGTGAAAAATGTCAATGCCATGGTCACGCAACCGAATGTCAATACGATCCCATAGTTGACGAAGAAAAATCGAGCCTAGATATTTATGGAACTTATTCAGGTGGTGGAATTTGTATCAATTGTTCAGTAAGTAGCTGTTTTTAAATTGATTGGAGATAATGGTTACCTTTCTTTCTTTCTTCTTTTCGTTTTAACTTTTTTTGAAAATACAATAAACAAAACTAATACAAATTTCTAGAAGCACACTACTGGCACGAATTGCGAGATGTGTGAAATCGGATGGTATCGACCAATAAATGTAGAACCCGATGATCCAGAACCGTGTATACCATGTAACTGCTATCCTGAGGGATCTGATGGAAGTTTATGTATTCCCGACAAAGAAACCGTATGCGTGTTTATCCGAGTTTTGACGTAACAGAATTTTATTTTTATTTTTCTTCTAGGGTGTTGGAATTTGCAACTGTCTGAAGGGATACTTTGGTGCCAAATGTAACGAATGTGCACCTGGGTATAATGGGTTTCCTAATTGTAAACCATGCGCATGTGATGAAAGAGGAGTCAGAACAGCTCCTTTATCCTGTGAAGATCAATGCGATTGCAAAGTAAAATAATACACTTTAACCTTAAATAAAAAATGTAAATATAATTGATGTACATTATAATATAATTTTTTAGAAACATGTAACAGGAGAAGGCTGCAACGAATGTAAGGTGGGATATTTTAATTTACAGGCCACAAATCCAAATGGTTGTGAAAAATGCTTTTGTTCGGGAGTTTCACTATTATGTTCATCTGCTACCAATTTAAAAGAAACTAGGGTGTGTAATTATATACTTTGATATTTACCCACATCATTATTCATTATATGTTTTATGGTGAACATCACCAAGTATTACTAATTCTCTTGACGTTATTCTTGCAACAAATTATTAACCTTTAGATAAACGAAACAGAAGGATGGTTAATAACAGACTTAACACTTTCAAAAACTATATTTCCATCAACGGATCCAGATACAGGATATGCGTTAATAAGCAGTTTTGATGTACCCATTGACGTTGATAATTTTTATTGGCTATCTCCTAGTCAATTTTCTGGTAATAAACTGTCTGCTTACGGTTCTAGTTTACACTTTACCATTTCGTGGGTCATAATGCGAGGAGATTCTAGCGGTCGAAAAATGCTCGATCCAGATGTCATTATTATTGTAAGTTCTAAAAATATATAAATTAAATATATTACGGTAAATACATTATATATAAATACATTAAAAATTATATTATATTTAAAATACACAAATACCTTTCTAATGTTTTTATACCAATTTGATTTATATATTATCTATATATGTATATATATATTAAATATAAATTGTATGCAGGCAAAGGAAAATATTCTCATCGCATATGGTGGAGAAAACTTAAGGACTTTTAACAGAATTACGGGTGACGTTAAACTGATAGAAGATGATTGGTTTTACGTGACCAGTGATTTGAAAAACTTCGAAACACCCATTGGTAACAACGATGTGTCACGTGACGAATTTTTATCGATTTTGTCTGATATAAAACACATATTAATTAAAGCAAAGTACCACACGAATCAAGTAGAATCAAAGTATGTTTATATATTATACTTACTATATAATATATATTGTATTTTGTATTTATACTCAGTCTGAGACATAAATGAACTATGATTGTATTAGGTAATATAAAAAAAAAATTAAATGTTTATTTGATTTAGTTTGATAGATGCATTTATGGATGTGGGCGATATAAATGGAAAAGGGCGAAATGTCAATGGTGTAGAAAATTGTACGTGTCCATTAGGATATTCAGGACTATCTTGTGAATCTTGTGACTATGGATATGTAAAACAAATTGATCCGTTTTCTAAAAATATTATTTGTAAAAAATGCAACTGTCACAATCATTCTCCAGAATGCGATCAAGTTTCTAGTCATTGTTCGGTATGGTTTATTACACATACTCACTATATAAAAAAAATTCTGAACCTATTTTTAATATATGATATAGATATGTGAACATAATACAACTGGGTCACAATGTAATGAATGTGTAATCGGTTTCTACGGTAATGCAATGGAAGGTACGCCAAATGATTGTAAAAAGTGTGCATGCCCTTTAAATGAAAGTACGAACAACTTTAGTCCCACTTGCAAGTCAAATAATGCAGGAGATTATGTTTGTACTGAGTGTCCCGAAGGATACACTGGTGACCACTGTGAAATGTAAATTTCAATTTAAAAGCAATTATTATTATCCTAAGACATATTTTAAATGTGAACATATTTTCATCTAGGTGTGCACCTTCGTTTTATGGAAATCCATTAATAATTGGCTCTACGTGTAAACCTTGCGATTGCAATGAAGCACCTTGTGATAACCTTACAGGACAATGTATTAACTGTTTAGGAAATACAGTTGGGTGGAATTGTAAGGAATGTAAACCCGGGCATTTTGGAAATCCTATTGTTTCTGATTGCAGACGTAAGTAATTAAAGCGTAGCTCAAAATATCAAATCAATATTACATAGTTTGTTAGTCATTGGTGTTCGGTAGTATTTGAAGCGTAAAAGTAAAACTTAAATTACTTTTATATTTTACAATATGTCTATATTTAAAGATAAATTCCATCCTATGCTTTGTATCCATGTACAACAATAATAACACATTATTATATTATGTTTAACAAAAAAAATCCCCGATTATTAAACTTAGGGTATTAAAAAATGTTTCTAAAAGTATTTATAATCATCAATGTAGAATTTCGAATTGTTGAGTAAAATTGTAGTCGGAGTGACTACAGGGGTGGTTGGGTGGGGTACCCAACCACATCTGGCTGTGCCTACTATAATGACAAGAACTTGGTAATTAAATTTCTTTTGTTAATGTATAACCTATCAGTAGCTGTTTTACGGGTAAAGAGACGAAGATTCCAGGGGATCTTAGTTTTTAAATTAAATTTAAACTTTATTTTTTATTGAAACATAGGTACATTCATGTAGATAAATAAAAAAATAATATGTAAGTTAGTTAAAATAAATTAATAAATATTGGGAAAATATTTTTTTGTATGTTAATATCAAAGGACTCTCCCCAAAAAAAGTTCAATAATCACCACTGTTACTTAAACACCTAAAATAAAAATGTAATTTCTTAATTTTTTCTAATTAATAATTTAATATAATATAGATAATTGAGGGTCAACTAGGGGGAGGATACGTAGTACGTAGTTGTATGATTTATATAACAATTTGAAACATGTTATAACATGTTACGTGTATAAATAAGTGATAACAGCTACAGTATGATTTCGGTTATAACTACAAAGGAAACGCATACAAATCTGGACCGTACAATTTATTTTGTAATCAAGACAAATTAAATAACAAGTATAACATTTATTTATTTATTTTTTATATATATATAGCCTGTGATTGTAATACAATTGGATCAATTGTAACTGACTCTTGTAATGTGGACACTGGACAATGTCAGTGCAAAGAAAATTTCACAGGAAGAACATGTGATCGATGTGTAGTTAGTATTCGATTTTTATTATATAATATTATTAAATCAAATTAAAATACCAAAAAATAATGATTGCTTACAGGATGGTTTAGGCAACACCACTGCAGAATGTGTAGAATGTAACTGTAATCATATTGGTTCTATATCTGATTTATGTGATCCCAGATCAGGACTATGTCCATGTAAAAAAGGTATTACTGGAATAAACTGTGATACATGTGATGACGGCTTTTATTCGTTTTCAAGTCAAGGGTGTATTGGTTAGTGAATATTAAAATTTAATAAATGTAATTTTTTAATTAATTTGTCTTTCATAGAATGTCAGTGTAACACTACAGGAAGCAATAATAATATATGTGATCATAGTACTGGCAAATGTAATTGCCGAGAAAATGTAGATGGCAGTCAATGTGATTCTTGTTATGTAAGTTCTGAAAACTGATGAAAATCTTTAATAATATTTTTTTAAGACTTAGTGCAAGAAGCATTGAACCATTTAAATCTAGCAAGAAACTATTTTAATTTTAAATGTTAAGTCCATAATTATTGTTATACATTTTTTTTTTTTGCATTGGCCATTCTTACACCAAACCATAGATTTATTTTATGTAATAGTACCTATTACTAAACAAATTTTATTAACTTAGGGTGGATTCTGGAATTTCTCTGAAACGGGTTGCCAGAAATGTAGTTGTGATAAAATAGGTGCGCTAAACGATATATGTGATTCTGTTACTGGCTATTGTACTTGTAAACCTGGCATTGGAGGTCAGTACTGTGATCAGTGTCTACCAAACTATTATGGATTTTCTTTATTAGGCTGCTCAGGTAATTAAAATAAATGATTAAGTTAATTGACTTTTACTCGCGGAGTACACAATTTTATTTTATTTTAGAATGTGAACTATGTGAAAAACCGGGACACACTTGTGATTTAGATACAGGGAGATGTGTGTGCCCTCAAATGACAGAAGGACCAAATTGCAGTCAATGTACAGCTAATGCTTTTAGATGGGAAATAAATAAAGGATGTCAAGTGAGTTTTGGCAAAATTATCAAATAAAAATATATAAATATATATAATATATATAAAAATACAAGTAATACCAACAAAATATTATATTCAGGAGTGTGGTTGTGATTCATTTGGATCATTCAATGGACTTTGCAACAACGAAACTGGAACATGTGTATGTCGAATTGGATACGATGGTTTAAAATGTGATAAATGTGCATTTGGCTACTATGGATATCCTAGGTGCCGGCCTTGTGCATGCAACTATGCTGGAAGTGAACCAAACAACTGCAATGACACATTGTGTGGTTGTGATGAATTCGGACAGTGTGAATGCAAGGTAATAAAGTGATGTTTAGTTAATACACCTATTAAACTATAATGTAGTATACTTACCTAATATATATATATATATATTTATTTTGTTGTTGTTCATCTAGATGAATGTTTATGGTAAGCGATGTGATCAATGTAAAGAAGGAACCTTTGGTCTTCATCATATAAATGCAGACGGATGTATACCTTGCTTTTGTTTTGGAAGAAGTAACTCATGCTCAACAGCTGGTCTAACTTGGAATCAAATAAGATTAACACAAACTCGTATACTATCCATACACTATGATACTAATTACAATACACTATATCGAGAAGGCGATTATCCAGTAAATACTCAAGAAATCTGTTATATTAATGTAAGACTGCAATTATTGTTGGTTTACAAACAACCATAATTTATGTATTTATCATAAGATTTATATTAATATCATATTTTAATTTATATTTGTAGTTAGCAAATCCAGAAAGTACAGGACAAAACCCTAACAAAGATGAAAAGAACCAACTTAATGTAACTAATAATCTTAGGGTTATTCCTGGTACTATTGGCAATGTTGAAATAGGAGTGAAATATTTGTTTGATACGCCAGTTTATTGGCAACTCCCTCAACGTTTTTCTGGAGACAAAGTTAGTATAAAAACACAATTATTTTAAGAACCCTAAGTTCTGATTTGTTTTAATTAGGTACTTTCATATGGTGGTTTTATACGATTCACCATTGACGCTGAAGGAGGAAACACACTTTTCCCTCAATTTATTCTTACTTCATACCCATTGATTCAAATTCAAGGAAATGATCACATAATATTAGAACATTTTCCACAAAGTATCAATGCGGGAACAAGCCATCAAGTAAGGTAGAGTAAATATAAAATTATAAAATATCTATCAACCAAAATACCACTAAAATAAAAAAAATAAATAGGTTACACGAGTCTTTATGGCAAGTTAAAAATAATCCAAGTGCCAAAGTAGATCGAGAAACACTTATGCTTGCTTTACAAAATATAAAATATATACTCATCAGGGCCACCGATTCAGTTGATTTTACCCGGGCAATGTAAGTAATATAATATCTAAAATCACTTGTTCACTTACATAATTTATTTTTCCAGTTTAAAAGATGTTACTTTGGATACTGCTACAATGGCTCCGAAAAAAACAAACCACTTAACCACTTCACAGATAGTTGAAGTATGCGATTGTCCACCAGAGTATAATTCTTCTTCCTGTCAAGATCCAAGTTTGGGATATTTCCGTTACTACAACAGTTCAGTTAGTGCTACGATAATAATACAGACTGTTGGGGAAGCTCGTCAATGTGAGTGCAATGGAAGATCAACTATCTGTAACATAGACACTGGAGATTGTGAAGTAAGTCTAATACACAATTATTTTTTCCGAGTATTAACAAATAAAAAATATGAATTGTTCAGGACTGCTCACATAATACTGGTGGTGCTCATTGTGAAAAGTGTGCAGAAGGGTATTATGGAGACCCGACTACTGATGGTTGTAAAGCATGTTCCTGTCCATCAGTTACAAAAAATTTTGCCCAATCATGTGAAACCGATTTTGATGGAAAACTAATTTGTCATTGCAAACAAGGCTATAAAGGATTAATGTGTGATCAGTAAGTGTCCATTGTATTTATAAATAATATCTGTAGTTTAAATAAGTTATAATATGTTAAATTGCAGATGTGAATATGGCTGGTTTGGATATCCCCGAGAAGAAGGAGGCAAATGTGAACCATGCCATTGTAACAAATTTGGCATAGTAAGTGATGAATGTGATGAAGAGACTGGCCAATGTAACTGTATGCCAAATATAACTGGTAGAGATTGTTCAGTTTGTCAAGATAAACATGTTTTAACTAGTAAAGGATGTACTTGTAAGTTAATACCTATAGTACTATTTGTACTATTTATAGAAATTAAAAAATTCCAATTTATTTATTTTTTTGTTTATCTTGTTTTAAAAAAAATTTAGCTTGCGAAGATAAATGCATTGACACAATATTGAATCATGTTTCTGAGCAAATTAAAATATTAAATGAAACCACTCTTCATCTTACTGAAGGAATGATATCTCCTCCGTGGTCTCAGTTAACATTAATTAAAAACAATGTGTCATTTTTAAACAGCATGTTAAATATTTCAACCCTAGCAAATCTAAAACTAATTAATATTTCTGATGAAGTAGAACAAAATCTTAAAAAAAAATTTAAATATGCTTATGTTAAGGTAAGTCAAACATAAGACTTTAAGTAACCTATGCATATATTATAAAACAAACTTTGTTTATTTTATAGGCTAAAAAACTGTTAAAATCATCTCAAATTAATGAAAATGAAGTGAACCCTCTTCGAGAATCAGCTGAAAACGAATTAGCCAAGAGTGTAACTCTAGAAAGAGAAGTTGATGGTATGTATACTTACTACTGAAAATAAAATAATAATTAACCAAAATAATAAAATATAAAAACATAAGCAATACCTATATTCGTATTATAATAATGATTTATAAAAAGATAGAAATAAATGTAACAATACAAGTGTAATAAATTTTACTTACAAATAAACTATTATATATATTTTGTATGTTACCCTAAAAGTAAGAATATCAATAAAATCTCAGTTTTCTGACTACTATTAGTAAATATTCGGGTTATCGGACATTTACCAATTGATTTCAGTAAAACCTATGATATACATATACAAAATGGTTTGGTCGAATCTCCGATGATTTTTGTCGTCAGAACTTTTACAAATAAGATTAGGAAATCTTAGGATAAACAACATCTATGTTGGTAAAAGCACTACATTTCATTTTTTTTTCTACTCATCATGTGGATTTTTCCTTGCTTTATATAAGTACTCAAATATTATTACAATATTATATAATATTTATAAGTTTATATTACTATTAAATATTACTACACAAATTGATAATTTTATTACCTATTGGTATATTATTACAATATTAAACATAATATATTTATTACAAAAATTATTATTTATTTATACAGCCTTTACTACTGTAGACTCTTAAATTACATACCAAATACATTTTTCGATGGATATTTTCATCAACCAAACTATTTTATGTAAGTTTAAGTTTCACTGAAATTAATTGCCTAAAATTCGAACATTCGAAATTCGGATTTCGGACATTTAACGAACAACAATAGGATCGACTAGTAAATCCTGAGTTTGACCGGTATTCTTACTTTCTTTTGTAACACAATACAGAAAACGATAATGAATACATTATCTAAATAAGATGAACACTATCCAGACCTACTTATCGGATAAAGGAAAACAATTATTTATAAAACTTTTATTTTGTAAATTATCAAGGTTATTTATACATTCTCTACCTCTGAGTGTGTAAGGTGCATAAGTAATTTGATAAAATGTAGGTACCTACGATAAAATAACGATTGTAGATTATTATTATTATTGTTTTTTTTTGATGAACCATACGCAATAATATTTAGTTTAGTCCGTCTCAATCCACTTGTAGTATGTAGGAACATATTTTTAAAATGTACAAGTTATTTGTTTACTAATGTTTCTATACATTTTTTAAAAGATAAAAATCATAATTCAGTATATATATATATATCATCAGTTAAAGCAATGACGTATTTGTGAGGAGGGATGGGCGTATCGCCTCCTCCTTGTAATTTTTTAGCCATGATTTTTTAATCACCTATAGGTTATAAAATAATATAGTATTTATACTCATGATATTTATTAGTTCTCGGCTATTTTATTAGCGTTGCCAGTAGTGATTATGATATAGGACAATTTTTGTCTATAACACATAGGGGTAGGTATCGATGTAGAATCTAGATGTCCAAGCAGTAGACATAGATCTCAAAACACGAATTGTCAGCGATACTTGATCAAACATGTTGACTCGAAATGTCATAAATCATATGTCAGCTTTGCCCGAACAAACCTAACAGTGACCAACTTCAATATTACATATCATTCATTAAGTATCTACAAGGACAAAATTATATTTGTTTGTTTGTTACTAAATATACACATACACTTATTGGAACTATGGCATTTGGAACAACAAATAATATTTGTTATTTACATTTACGTTTATATTGTAATAATATTATTATGTTAGAGTATTGTCGTATTATTAAAATAATTAATATATATTTCTTTTTAATTTTGAATAAATTTTGTCAGTATAATGCCAAATATGTTTTTAGATTATTAGAATAAAATTCTTAAAATCAACATTATACCTAATATCTATAATAGTTCAAAAATGGCACAAATGTTTTTATATTATTATTATAATTTTTATTTTTATAAATTAACTCAAAACAATTTTAAAAATACATTACTAATACAATCTACTCATCATGAATATAAGAAATATTAATTGCACATAGATATTACCCTCATATTATGATCAGTTTTGATTTTTTATTTAATTGTGTATTAAATACATATGAATTAAACATCGATAATAAAAATTAGTACCTAGGTACTAGGTAGGTGGTTTAATGCTTTCTTTATCTTTAAAATAATATGCGATAACTGTCAATTTTTCGAGTCAACTTGTTGTTACCTATTTAAAATTTTAAAAAAGATATATTACAGTATTTTTTTTCCTGCAATAATTATTAAAATTGCAAAAAATGTAGGCCATTAAAAACGAATGCAAATATCATAATATAACCGATACACGCTTTATAATTTCGTACTGCACTCCTAGCATTTTATATACACAAAGTGTGTCTACATATAAGTAATTAACATAAAATTAAGAAATAAGAAGTTTGGTCGTACCACACAAAATTTTAACCCCTGGTTCAAATAATAATAATATTTGTCGACATCTAATATCTTGCCTATAAACGGATTACAAAAATGCGTTGCACCATCTAACAGATAAATTAGGCACTAATGTTTATAGCACTATATTTTCATATTATGCAAACGTTATCAATTCCCGTTTTGTATCGTGTTTCAAACTTGATAACTTGACAGTATCTCTCTCATATATATTTTTGATTTTCTTGATTTATAAAATGTGTTTTGAGTGAGAATATTATTTTAAATCATTGTCGCACATACGAGTATTTGTATGATATAACCGAACAAAAGTCGCAATCATTAAGTTGATTGTTTTTTTTTTTGAATTCAAATTAAAATTTTTGAATTTGGTTGAATTAAAATTTCCCAAACCCGCTTAATCAATCATAATCTAGTAACTATACAAATCACGAGTAGGTAATTGGTTTTCTGGATTTTCATTTATATACATTAAAATTAGTTCCATTTTTTTTTTGTTATGTTCAAGGTTGGAACAAAAACTTACTATAATTGATGTAGAAGACACGTATTTTATTTATAACAAAAATTAATTGATTTCCTATTTATTATATTATGTGTTTACGAACTATGTAAATTAATTCTATTTCGGGTGTGTACTATAAATTTTAATCTAAAATTATCAGATAATACTATTGTAGGTGCAGAGTTTGAACGATAGGGATGATATAGCACTTTCCCGTAAAATAATAATATGTATAGATACTAGTTATTTTATAAATTTAAATTATACATTTTAAGAATTTGTTTTATTATTAATATCATTTTTGTTGTTCTACTTTTTTTCTGTCATTCATATACCTTTTTCTTTCTTGTTTTTATTTTTATCAATGCATTACTCTATATCTCAACATAAGCTTAGAGAAATAGATAATCGTGTAAATTATGTATGTATTGTCTTATTATGTAACGTATGATGATTAAAGGAATTGATAAAGCAATTCAGCTAAACATGTTTTAAAATAATTTGTGTAAAAATTTTAACATAAAACTCTTAAAAAAAAACTACATTACATTCAATGTTTTTTTTTTCAACAACTCATATCTAACCTTTTTTTGGGTGGGGAGAATTTTAAAGTTTAAACTAATTTTAACCCCCCCCCCCCTTAAAATTAAAATTTTAACCTCCATTCGGGCAGTTCTTACAACTTTCTATTGCCAATAAATATTTTTCAATATTTGTTCATTATAATTTATTGATTTTAAGTTTTTTTTTTAGAACTAGTTAATAGTTTACAAAGCTATAGTTTTGAAGATAGATCTCATTTAAATATAATAAGTACTATGCGAGAAGCCAAAAATTATTTGAACAAAATAAACAACATTGAATTTGGACCTTCAGTTGAACCCAAAGCAATATTGAAGTACTTATTTAAATTAAATACGCATTTGTATTACTTTATAATTATACAACTATATATGTTTATATTTGTTTACTAGAATTTGCTCAGATGCAATGAAAAATCTACAGCTAAATAATGTAAGCCAAGCCCAAACCATAAGTTTGCGACATAAATTTGAAATCTTATTAAATCAAGTGAAGGATTTTGATACAATATTATTGAATATTTCTGATACTTCAGAAATTGTAAGTATAGTAAAATTAAATTTTAAATGTATTTTATTTATTTTATAACTCAATTATTAATTAGGCATTGCAGTTAAAACAGAAAAATTTGAAATCATTATATGGCATTAATAAAAAGATAGAAAACATAAATAACCTCGATTTAACATTCAACACAGTTCAAGGTGAAATAGAATCAATTGTGAAAGAAGTTAAAGAAAATTATTTGTCAACTTTAAATAATTTTGAGGTATCTACTACAAAAGATAAGTTTTTGAAATTATAATTGACCATTTAATGTATTTCTTTTTAGGAATTATTATTAATTAAACCAAAAGTTGATAATATCAAAAGAAATTTTAATAAAGGAAAAGATATTGACCATCAAATTGATGAAAATCAACTTTTGGTAAATTCAGCTGAATCACATGCTAATTTTCTTCTACAAAGTGCTCAAAAATATGCAGAGTAAGAATTGTTTTATATTTTTGTTACTGTGACAGGTACATTAATTATTTATTATAATTATTTAGGTTATTTAAGCCAGTAAGACACGATGCAAATGTTGCACTTGAAGCAAGTAATGCTTATTTAAATATTGTCGATTCTCTTCAATTAGCTAGGAATGCAGCAATTAATGCCAGTATACTAGCTGATGCATCATTCCAAATAGTAAGTTTTAAATAATAATTTATTAATAAATTTAAGCTCAGGTTAATTTGATAAATAATAACAAGTTGTATTTACCTACTCAAATACTTTAAATTTTGGATTTACTAGATCAAATAAGTGCTCTAAGCAATTGTTTTAATTTCATGTGGATTATGTTATACTTGAATTTAAAAATAAATTGGTTTTTATCTTTATTTAATTTTAGGCATACCCCGGAGTATATCAAGAATCATTAATTGATAAAGCAAAAACTGCTGAAGAGTTATCTAAACTTACATATAAAAGTACAATGGATACTAAAAATATTGTTGATTCACTACAGTCAGATTATGACATACAAATAGAGGATACTGAAACCATAAAAAATGAAATGAAACAAATTGTAAAAAATGATAATATAATTTCAAAACAAATAACAGAACTTGAACAGTCTGAAGGTATAATTAAATTTACAATTATGAAGCATATTAATAATTTTTATTATCATTATGAATAAAACTTTTCTAATAAAGTGTTTTCATAAATGCTAATTTTTGAAATTATATTTAACAATTAAACATACCCTTGGGACTTGTAAAATTTCCAAATTATTAGTTTAGGTACCTACTTCACAAGTCTATTATGCATTATTATTAATTTCAATGTAATTTTCTGTTTTCAATTGAATTAAAATCTGTAGATCAAAACCAGTGTGGGACAATATCACCTGAATGGGACCTAACCATTTTGCTACTTCTGAAACTTATTGACATACATATTTATTCATGATATTAAATAAATATCAATTTTCATAGTTACTTTTCAATATTTAAATTTTATTGTTATTTAATTGTTATTACTATCTTTTTTTTATAATTTACTGATTCAACTTAGTTGTAATTAATGTAAATAACATAATTTTTTTTTATAGACATTAATAAAACACTTTTCTAAAGTATTCTGAATAAATATTTAAATAGGAACAAAAAAATATCTATTTTCTGCTTGAGTAACTAATTATGCCTTCAATGTTGCTTACAGTCATTTTCATCTGCACTGTTCTAAGAATACACACTGAGCTTCCACAATTTCTTTATTTTATGAGGGTCTCTCACTGTTTTCTTCCTCCATCAGTGTCAGCCTGTTCTTTGAGGATTCAAAATCACATTACAGATAACCTCTTGTTTCAAATAATCCAATTGATTTGTATTGTTTTAATTTACTGCTGGACCATAATGGGACATTTTGTTTCAATTATGGGATTGTATTAATTATCTGTGTTTCTAATAAGTGGCTTCTATTGAACTTTTCAAAACTATTCAGAATACAGTATTAAATAGAAACACAGTATTTCTAGAAAAAAGTATATTTAAAATATTTACTTTATTCAGAATAAGACTAATATCTATCCTTTCCGAACAAATATTATGTGTTTTTCATTCAATCAACATATCAAAAATGTAGATTACAGTAGGTAAATTTGTATAATATAATAGTATTTATATAAATTTATTTTTATGTAAAGGAATGAACATGGAATTAAATAACAAAGAAGATATTGATCCCTTAGTGATATCATCAATTAATACCGAGACTAAAATTAATAACATTCGAAATAATATTGTAAAGAAATTACGCCCAACTTTAATTCAATTAAATGAAGAAGGAGAACCTAGTTTAGCGATAGCACAAGATAGAAGTATAATGCTACCAACAAACTTTTTAAATTTAATTATTAAAATATTAATTTATTATATCATAGTCGAAGAAAGTGAAGAAAATGGAAAAAAAGCCATTGATATGTTGGGCAAAGTTATTAAATCTTCTGAAGATTTTAGCAAAAAAGTAACTGCTTGGAATCATTCTATGATTAACAAACTAGAATCTCTAAGGAATAAAATAACAAAAGCACATCAAATTGCAGATGGGGTAAGTTTTATTCAAATAATGGTTTTAATTAAAATTTCAATAAATTATTTTTATTTTTAGATCCGAATATCCATATCAGGTCAAGAAAATGATACCAACAATGCTTGTATACGTACATATCAACCAAAATTTTTAGAACCTAGCACCAGAACTACAATTGTATTGTCATATGCTATAAGTTCAAATGAAAGGGATGCTTTGCTATTTTATCTATCAAGCAAAACAACAGTATGTCAACCTTAGTCAACTAATATTAATTATTTTTTCTTACTATAAAATAATTGTTATATATCAGGGAGATTTTGTTGCAATTGAAATGGTTAACAGAAAAATACGGTTTGTTTGGGATGTGGGTGGCGGAATTGGTGAAATAACGCACCCAATGCATATTCAAACCGCTAGTGATCTGAACAATGACCAGCACTGGTATAGAATTGAAGTAGAAAGAGTTCACAACCTAGGTAAATTATTGATCAGACCTGAAGTTGTGCCTAGTGGATCATCTCTGGCCATGGGCTCCCCACACACAAACATGTCCAGCACAGGAATGGGCCGTTTGGATATAAATTCTGATGATCAGATATGGATTGGAGGAATAGACAAGGCACCCCTACCTCCCTACTTACATTCTAGACAACATGGATTAATAGGTTGTTTACATCAAGTATGGCTTGATGGTCGACCAGTCGGTCTGTGGAATTTCAAATCTCAACCATCCGGAAATTGCTCTGCTTGTATTGAAGGGTATATTTAAATTTATTTTTTAATATTATATAGACGTTTTAATTTATCTAACTATTGGCTACATTATTTATTTATAAATATTAATAATTTAGGGCAGAAGAGTTGATCAATGATGGTTCCTATAGATTTTTAGGGGATGGCTACGCTGTGTTACATTATGACACTACAACTACATACAATAAGTATTTATTCAGTGTTTCACTGAATTTCAAAACATTTGATGAAAGATCTCTTATATTTCTTGTTGAAGGTTCACAGCCTGTAAGTAGAATAATTTCTTGTAAAATACATAATATTATTTATTTATATTATAAAACTAATTTTGGTATAGGACCAATATATTGAAATAAGACTACATGATGGCAAAGTTGTGTTCAGAGTTAGTTATTCTGGTTACTCTCTTCTTGAAATATCAACAACAAGTAGATACAATACTGGAAGTTGGACTAAATTAGAAGCCACTAGATACTTTGATAGAAAAAAAAAATTAGAAAAAGGTAATTAAAATGAAGCTTTTGGAGTTTATAGAAGCATGCAATTTTATTAGTACACACATTTAACTAGTCTTAGTTATAATATAATATAAATAGTCCTAACTATAATTTCAAGTTTAAATTTAATAGAACTATTAATATATTTTCCCCTTTTTATTATAGCTTTATTTATAATCTGTATTTAGGTAATAAAAAAGGCAAATGTGATATACCATACAATTACAGTAAAAGGTCCATTGGTGGCACCTCTAAACAAATTCAATACTAATAATATTTTATTTGGCTATAGGAGTTTTAAAAGTAGGAGGAGAATCAAAAGAAGGTGTCCCATCTCCACCGCCAAATCAAAATGATATCCCAGATTTATCAGAATCAGAATATATGATTGGTGGTATTACTCCTGGCTTTAAATCAATAAATAGTTTGCCCAAATCTTTTTTGGGCTGTATGTCAGATATCCAAATAGCTCAACAAGGATATGATCCAATGAAAGGAATCTCTTGGGGTGTTCAACCTACTTGTTCAGATAAAGTATATTTATCCTTTATTTAAATTGTTGCTTTAATTTACTGATAAATACTTTAATCAATATTATAGCCATTAACTGTAGTGGGATTTTATGGAAATGGTTATATAGAACTAGTATCACACACACTAAAAAAGAAAGCATCATTTGGGTTCATGTTTGCTACATTACAACAAGATGTACTTTTAATGTTATCTATTACAGAATCAGTTAATGTAAGTATTTGTGGAACTTATAAATCTTATATATTTCTTATTATTACAAAATAACTAATATTTTAGTCTGGAGTTACCAATACAAGTGACAATCCTGAAGAAATAAATAATAATATAGACCAAGAAGTAATTATTATTATACTGCTTAAAAATTATGAAATGAATCCTAAATGTGATTATTTTTTTCAGAACAAGCAAAATTACTATTCTGTCAGTTTAAGACGTGGTCAAGTAGATATCCGAATAAATGCAGGTCGTGGAGAAGTTAGGCTTGCTAGTGAAGGTTTTGAATTTGGGGATGGCAAGTATCACTCTATCATGGTGACCAAAAATGGAAAGAAATTAGAGCTGCGTATTGACGATGTTCTACATTCATTCTCCTCCCTGCCTGAAGGATCAAATATTGTCAAGGCACCTGGCACAGCTGGTGGGCTCTTCTTAGGAGGGTTGCCAATTGAAATAAATACTACTGGAAAAGCGGTATCTAGTATTCCATTAATTGGTACTATTAAAGATGCCATATTCAATGACCAGTAAGTATAAAATGTATAATGATATCTATTAAGGATTAGGATGAATAATAATGTTCAAAAAAATAACCATGTTTTAGACTTTTGTATTTTGATTCACCTATTGAATTTGAACATACAGCTATTGGTCAAGTAGGACCAGTGCCAAAAACTGACAACAATGTATTCAGTGAAATTGCTTCGATGACATCTGCTGAAAAATCAGTTGGTTGTGTAAAAGAAGGAAGTTTTTCACTCGAACCTGGTGCAGTGAAATTCGGAGATAATTTGCACAGTTATGTACATGTTACATTCCTTAAACGTCACAATATGCAAAAAAATTTCAAAATGGACTTTAGATTCAGAAGCTTCTTTCCGAATGGGCTGATATTTATGATGATAGTAAAATAACAACTATTTTATATTATAATTTGTATTAGGTAAATAAAATTTAAACTGTATTTTATATTATATATGGTCTTTAGGGAACCAGAGGGAAACAGACAAATTATATGATGATGCATTTGTACAATGGTCGTATACAGTTAGTTCTGAAAACACGAAAAAGACTTGAAATTTCAACTCAAGCTGTTTTTAATGATGGAATATGGCATAAGGTAAGTAACACATATAATCAAATATTTCTTATTAATTACTATTGATGTTTAATGTGATTTATATATAATAGGTTCAAGTGATAAAAGAGAACAAGACATTGAATTTTTTGGTCGATTCGATTCCTCAAGAAAAATTTAATTTAACAAAAAAATTAAGCTTAGGCAATACTATGTATGTGGGTGGTATTCCAGAAAAAGATATCCAGATACCCGAATCGTTGGTATGAAAATTCTAAATTAATTGTATACATTCTCTTTTTATTAAACAACTTTTTCAATAGAATGTCCAAGCATTCAGAGGATGCATGCAAGGTTTTTCGATAAATCATCAAGAAGAAGAACTGATAAGTGAAAAAGCAATACGTCATAAAGTTGGGCAATGTTTTCCTCAAGTCGAAAAAGGTTCATTTTTCCCTGGTGATGCATACGCTATTTACAGTGAGTAATTCAAGTCAAATAAATTATCATAAAATGTTAGAAAATGGATAAAACAAACCAGACCATATTACTACTAAAAGTCAAAGGCCTAAGGCCTAAGGTTCTTAAATAACCTCAGTAGTATATTAATATACTGTACTCTGTTCTGCTTGTTATACTCCATCAATATGTATAAACAAGTGTATCAAAAAATCTACCTCCATTCCATTGCTTGGTTTGCTCATGTTGAAATTGTAATAAAAAATAAACCCATTATGCAAATCCACATCAAGTATATTATAGGAGAAAAAACAAAAAAAAAGTGTACCAATCAAACCCAGTACCTAGGCAGTAGATATCGTTGAACAGTCACTGTGATTATCCACTAAGACACCATTAATGTTCTGTTAATAGGCCACGGATAATTAATAAAAAAAAAAGAATGTATACTAGAGGTAGTCAACTTTAATAGACATGTGCTCAACCTCTGAATTTTCCCAGGTTGTGGCAATCTACAAAAAAAGAAGCGATAAACAAAAATATATTATAAAAATAAATGCGTGTTACACTTCTTTTATAACTTTTATTTAGAATATAAATTAGGTACCTATTAATAACATTTAATTTCACAGTTTTACACAAAATATATTTTAATATATTTAATTTCAACTTCTTAATTTTAGCTTATTATTATTGTGTTTATTTAATTATTCATTGCTTGCATTTGATTTGATAATTTCACAAAATCTGGGTTGCATGGTGACAAAGATAATCACAAGTTATCAGTCAACGACTGTCACGACAGTCAACCACGCTAGTCAACTTTCGTTCATGACACTCACGAAAGTGTGAATTGATGAAACGTTCGCAAGGTTTTGGGTTCGTGCCGTTCACACCTCGTGTTACGACTTAGTCACTATCGAAACATCGATCATGAATGATTGCTGGTTGTTGAAAGTTGTGCTGTTTTAAATTCGTTTTTTGCTACTATCTTAACAAAAAAGATGGAGCACTTTTAGGTCACAATTACAAGAAAACGAAATAAAGACCGTTTTAGGTTAGATAATGGATATAGCGAAGAAACATGTTAGGAGCTTCTTAAATTTTTGAATTTTGATATAACTTCTTTTGGTCCAAGTTCAGGAATATTTAATTCATGAATTATTCTCTTAGCTGTGGCTGCACGTAAATCTCTATCACGGTATTCCTCTAAAGTTGGGTAATATAACACCTTTTCCATCGAATACAACTGCAAAAAACGCGTAGTTTCACTGTCGCTAAACTTAATAATTCCGCGTTGTCGTGACGACATCTTGGCTTCACAAATGGTATATCACGACTGAAAATCAAACACGTTTGATCTATTCACGCTTGGGTCATGCGCCGTTCCTCACGAAAGAAAGTTTTTTTTAAAGACTATGCGTTCACACAGAAGTGTATTTCAGGAAAGTGTGGTTGACTGTCGTGATTAACGCCTCGTGGGAACGCCCCATTAATGTGATGATATATACTCTCGTTTTTCATATAAAATAATTATTTTATGTGTATGACCAAAACTCCGTGAAGTGTTATCATATTTTAGTATCAATAAATATCTCACCGTCGAATATTATATATTTTGTATATAGGTATTATATTCTCATCATACTTGTAAATTTAACAAAGAAACAGAATTCATTATACATTTTACTATTGCCTATTTATTTGTGGTTAGCACAAAAAGTTGTAGTCACTATAATAGTTCTTTTTATAAGCGTTTTAAGTCAAAACATGTATAACTGAACATTGCTCAGATTCTTAATTTTTCAGCAATGATTTATAATTGTGTACAAATATACATTAACTTACTTTAATTATCCTACCTTCCTAACTTCCTACCCATAATATTGGTTCACCTTTCAGTTATATCATCTTGTTTTTTTTTAATTGGTAAAATAAACAACACTCTACAGACCACACCCAATTTTCATTTGATTTCAAATAATGATTAAAAAAAAAAGTTAATAATTGACCTTTAAAGGTGTAAGTATTTGATATCAAAATAATGAAAAACAGTCTAATGTGGTCTGGTTAGATTAGGTTTGAGGTCTGTAGGGAACTTCCAAGTTATAATAATAATCACAATTGGACCACTATTCGTGGCATGTGAGTTTTTATTATAAGACATGTTTTTGAGTCAATAAATCAATAAAATTATAATAATAACAATTTTCAAATTTTATCAAATTTGTGGAATATTATCTGTGAAAATTGATATGACAGTGAAATCTAAGTATTGATTTTTATTGAAAAGTCAATGTTAATTTGTATTTTTACAGAAAACAAATTTTACGTGGGTGCATTATTAGAGTTGTCATTAGAGTTAAGGACAACACAAACCACTGCGGTTCTATTATCAGTTTCCGAACCAGAAGGCTACCCAGCATTATCACTGGAACTGAACCAAGGTAAAGTCATAATATCTGGAGATATGGGTGACCGCAGACCATTCCGGGTCGAACAGAGTTTCCAATCAGAATTTGCGATTTGTGACAACAAGTGGCATCAGATTCAAGCTTTCTATGTTGAGGATAAACTTACCTTGAAGGTTGATCAATTTGAACAGAAATATTGGCTGCTTGACAATGGGCACATTACCGGTGCGCGTACACATAGTCCTCTTTACATTGGTGGACTACCAGGTAAATATGCACACACAGTTAAATAATATAACTTTAGTCGAAGCCGGAATCATAAAATTTCTTAACTCTGATTATAATATTAATCATGTCGATCTATAAGAACAAAATTAATAAATATTTCTTAACACTTCTTAGTCAATGCAGTCTACTTTAATGAGGTATTATTTGATGAAATCTCATATAAGGTACGTGCTTGAAGGTACTTCCTATTGTAAAACTATGATTTTTTTCGGAAAGCAAACTTTAAGCAACAAAGATTATCCAAAATGTTCATAAAAATGCATAAAAATACCTAAAAGTAATGCTTAATTGATTAGACACATGTTTTATCAACCATGTTTAATATGTATATAATGAAATAGGTATAAAGGTGTATTTAGGTATATAGGTGGATTATCTATAGCTACTATGATAGTACATTAAGGTATCTCAATTAAAATACTTTACTTACTACTAATATACTACATTTCCACTGTATTTAAATATATTTACTTATTATTTAGACACAGCTTCTAGTGGTACTTTGGGAACAAGAGAAAACTTCAAAGGATGCATAAGAAATCTCATCATTGGGGGTGAACGCACAGACTGGACTGACATGGCGGGTCTTCACAACATACTGTTAGGTTCATGTCCATTGATAGTCCACTAAAACTACCTACCTAAATAATAGTATATTTAAGTATTTTCGTTATTATCATAGATCATTGTCTTAAAGTATAATGATGCAATTATTTTACCTATTTTATATAATATATTATAAGATAAATCATGTCTATCCTATTTTTACATTGTTGTACCTTCAAGGTACCTAATTTCCGGAGACTGTGCTTTCCCATTTTGTATGACAGATTTGACTAACATAATATTATAATTATTTATTTTTTGTACTGTAAATAATTTTACCATTTTTAAATCAAAAATATTATAATAATAGTATTTATATAAGTATGTTTATGTTAAAGATACATAGTATATATTTTTTTACTCGGCATATCCACCCTTACATATTGTTTATAATATTCCTTTATTGTATTTTTACTGTTTCGACCATTGGTATACTCACAGAGGGTATATTTTTTTAATTTGTATATGATAATTGATAATTATACTTACTTAAGTAATGAACAAATTAATTCATTTTTTGTATGTATAAGTACTACCTATCCACTGTGTATATATTGTATATTTTACTAAAACTGCAGAAAGCATTGACATTTGCTTATTTTATCAAATCATAATAAATAATATGGTACCTGTTTATATACCTTTTTTTAAAAAACAATGTAAAAATAAGTTTAAACTTAGAAAAACTGACTTTAAATAGATATTTCAAAATAAGTAAATCAATGTTTTTAACAAAATTAATTAAATTATGTAAATTTTAATAATATAAATGGAACCAATTGCATTTAATTTTACAATAATTATTGTTAATTAAAATTAAACTTACAACTAGCTTTTATTATTGATAACAATTATATAATTCCTTTTTAAACTAATTACTTTTAAAACAATTTTAACTGTGTTTTTTATTTAAATACTATTGATACATTTAAACATTATAAACTATAATTGTATAATAAATACTTAGATACTTATATCAATAGAAGTTCATAGTTTCAATTTTGTATTAAATCATAATTTTTTATATACATAGGTATTTATTTTTCTGTTTAATAATATCCTTTATATCTAACCTTGGGACACAAATACATATGATAAATTATTCTTTGCCTTAAATCATGTTAACTTAACATTGAACTAATTAACATGTACATTATGCTTTACTTGTTTTTAATGATATAATTTTATAATAGTAATCAATATATATTTTGATATTTGAATAGAGTTAACAAACCAAATTCAATTTTTATATTTTCGGAATTTAAATGAAAAATTGTATTTTAAATTTTTAGAGACTTTGGGCAAAATAACAATCTATATAAAAATTCTTATTATTTTTGCACCTACCTATTTATTTAATAATATAAATTAATTAAAAAACAGTTTCATAATTGTTTTATTAAAATTATTTCATAAATCTACTACTAGGCATTTTAAATGTATTCACAACACCAGAGTTGGAAATAAAAACATTGCATACATTTAATAGGTACATATAAATAACTGTTCAATAACCTACTTGCCTGTCTGCTTTTAACAAACAATATAAATTATACTAATCTTAAAATAGAAAAAAGAGTATCAAATACCTTTAAATTGGTTTATTAACATAACATTATTAATGTTTTACCTATATTTGACTAGGTATATATAACCAAACAAACTAATATTAATATTATATATCTATTTTATTATTGAAACTTGTTTTAACTAAACTATTTAATAATATGTATACGTTTGAGAATAATAGGTTTTTGATCTTAAAATTATCTATATTATTTAAACACATTTTTCTCAATCAAATTTACAATTTTAGATTCTAAGATTCTTGCTTATTTTTTTTTTTCTGTCTGAATAGTAGTTCTACCAAAAATCTTGCTCCAATCAAAAAATAGCAATTAATCTATTCATTGATGTTATCTTCATCAATATCCTCTCATCCAGTAATGAAGTTTGCAAATTTAGTCAAATCAAAAGCAGAAGTTTTTTTTTCTTCCTCTGCAGACTGTAGAATTATTTTCTATGATTAGTAAAATTTGTATTTCTTATACTATAGTTAAAAGACCACAGATAATTTACCCAAGTAAAGTGAAGAGTTTATAACACATACATTAGCAATTAATGTAGTTTCAGTATAAGTTAGTGAATGAAACAAATATGGGTTTATGGAGAAGATTAAATATATTAATTGAAAGAACTTCATTCTATGATAAATAAAAATATAGATGCATGTATTTGCGAATGTACCACATTTAATTAAATTAGAAAGAAATTATTGAATTGATCAATAAGTAAATTTCTTATCTTATCATACCCCATAAATATTAAATGCATGGGTTAGGTTAGGTTAGGTTAGGTTAGGTTAGGTTAGGTTAATTCCTTTAGAGGTTTTATTCTTTTCTATAGAACCTACCTACCAAAAACTGTTTTCAATCATTAATAAATTTAAATATAGTACATTTTAGAATGACTAACAAACTAACATGAAGATATATTTTGGTCAAATAATAGAATAAACATTATTCTGCTAATATTGTCTGTTTAATTGTTTTCTTATACATAAGGAAAAATGTAATTCATCCATTGATTAGAAAAAAAAAAATTAAAATTACGTATACTTATTTTCAACTATAGAATGAATTCTATATCAGTTTAAACATTTTATCTAATATTTATAAGTTAACAGTTCTATTTCTAATGAAGATAACACATTGTTTAATCATTAATGTTTGCAATTACAAGTTTTTATGATAATTATTGGTTACTTACAAAATACCTGACATTTATTTGAAGAAATTAAAATTATTTAGTGACAAATTTGGTAATGTTTAAAAGTTTAGAAGATAAAGAAAATCAATTAACTAAAATTTACATTTTTATTTATCTAGAATATAGTTAGGGTAATTAAGTAACTAGTTATAGAAAAATACATGGTTTTTTTTAATAAATATTAAATTTCGTCATAGTTTATAAAAATGTGGTGCACAGTAGCATAACCAATTTATGTTAAATAGGATTCTGTAACTTCTCCTAAATACAATTTCCAGCTGTGCATATTTTTGAGTTTTTATTTTTTAAATAAATAAATTTAATTTTTTTTTGTGTAACCTGAAAGTGGCTTAGACCAAAATTAGTAGATACCTTTATTATTTTATTACTTTATTATACTTCTTGGATTTAAAAATAATTCTATAATTTGTAAACAAATCAATTTTAGTTTTTAGCCCGTAAATAGGTACCTACCTGCATCAATGGGTCGTCACGCAGCTAATATAATATTGTAATTTATTATAACACGAGCAATATTCATAGATTCGGACTATAAAACAATTTGTTATTAGGATATGAAAGAAACATATGAAACAGATAAAAAAAAAAAAGTAGGGCTCTATTAAAAGTTACAGATACGCATATATTTCCGAACTCATTTCAAAAAATGCGAGTTGAGTTCGCTGTTCAAGCTTTTAGCAATACCATGGCACCAACTATTCGTACTTATATTTCAACAAATGAACTATAGTCTGTCCCAGGAGAGAAAGGTCCGCTTCTGCGCATATTTTCCCCCTCCACATAGCCGATTGTCATTTCTTCCGTCGTCGGTTTATGACTATACACCGCTAGGATATTTTGTAGAAATTCAATTGTTATTATTATCAGACATCGCGCATCGCACGTTTATTTACCTTTGCTGTTTTATAACCTCTTGATAATTTTTCAAATCGTAAACTATCGTATATACAAGCACCTTCTATAATAATCCAGACTTTGTTTTTTTTGTATACATATTNACATTTCATTTTTTATTCGTTAAAATTACAATTTATCATTTTTGTCATATTGGCGATATACAGTGGACTATCGACAGACAACAGTGCATTATTTGAAACGCAGTGTACAAAACCTGTCGATAGATCCGGGAGGGAATAAATGGATAGTGTTGCGGCGTGGGGATGCGCAGTAGCGCTTCGATTTGGTCGGAGAGCGGACCGTTCTCTCCTGGGACAGACTATAGATTAAAAATCCAACAAAAAAGGTCTCTCGTTATTTTTCAATTGGAACAATATGTTTGGTAGAAAACATTAACTGTAAAAAGTTAAAATAATGGAATCAATATGCCGTAAATTTACAGTTTTAAATTTTTATCTTTTTCCCAGTTTTTTCAATTATAATGAAACTCCTAGGAAAACCAAACAAATATTTACTTTTTGAGTAACTAGATCTAAAATTCATTAAAAAAGTTTTCAGGCGTTTTAGGATTAAAAAAATATTTCTAGTGGAAAACGTATAATCTATTTAATAATCTATAAAATATCTAACGTATAATTTATCTATAATTTTTTTTCAATTATTATAAAAAAACACTTGGAAAATTAAAAGAAGACCTCCCCAATACACAAACAAGTTAAAATTTCCTCTTTATATACATATTTTAGATTCCGATTGGAGCAAAGAAGCTTATGGCTTTACAAAAATGTTAATTTTTTTTTTTCTGTGGACAACTTTTCTACCAGAAGACTTTTTTGATAGGAAATCGGCGTGGAGAGGTATCCTAAAAAGGTCATTTTCGATTTTCTTAACAAATGTGAATAACCGGAAAAAAGGAATAATTAGGAAAACCAGAGAAATCGGTCCAATTGTTCAAAATCTACAACATTAAACAAAATACTGTTAATTTCTGTTACTGATATTAACTGTGTTCTACAAGAATTGCAATTAAACTTTTTAAAACTAATATGTGCTAAATATCCGGCAAATTAAGCTACATAGCAGTCCTTTAATGATACTTTGAGATTATTTTTTCTCTTTTGAAACATTCAAATTATATGAATTGTTTGGCGAAAAAGAAGATTCTAGGTTAAATGATGTTTCTGTTTCGTCTGTACATGTATTACTAGACATTTGCTTACCAATGACAATTGATTCTTCTATTTTTTTTTATTTTTCTTCTACTTCTTAAATTTGCTCACAGTTAGTACCTTTTAAAGTACAAACCAGTAAATAAATGGCAGAGCTTCGAAATGAAAAAAGCTTTTTTCAATAACATCTTAATTCAATCGATTAATTAATAAAAAAACCAATATTATCTGTTTTTTCATCCTCAAAAAACTATAATTTTCCATTTATGGTTGAAGTAAATCCATTAAAACAAGGAGGCCGAGTAGTTTTTCCGTTCTTAGAAAATATGTACAAATTAACAAAATATGAAGATGCATTAACTAAAAACTATTTTACGCATTTGGTATCAAACAACGCACAGTTGTAAATATTTGTATTGTAAAGAGATCTGCTGTTTAGACAATCAAAACGTGTATTTATAAATTTGACGAAATTTGCTGTATCACTAACTATAGTCTGTCCCAGGAGAGAACGGTCCGCTCTCCGACCAAATCGAAGCGCTACTGCGCATCCCCACGCCGCAACACAATCCATTTATTCCCTCCCGGATCTATCGACAGGTTTTGTACACTGCGTTTCAAATAATGCACTGTTGTCTGTCGATAGTCCACTGTTTATCGCCAATATGACAAAAATGATAAATTGTAATTTTAACGAATAAAAAATGAAATGTTTTNCTACTGAATTATACCTACAGTGTTCAATAAGATATTAAGTAAATAAATATGTATACAAAAAAAACAAAGTCTGGATTATTATAGAAGGTGCTTGTATATACGATAGTTTACGATTTGAAAAATTATCAAGAGGTTATAAAACAGCAAAGGTAAATAAACGTGCGATGCGCGATGTCTGATAATAATAACAATTGAATTTCTACAAAATATCCTAGCGGTGTATAGTCATAAACCGACGACGGAAGAAATGACAATCGGCTATGTGGAGGGGGGAAACATGCGCAGAAGCGGACCTTTCTCTCCTGGGACAGACTATAGTTGATGAATAAGAATATTGTTTTATATTCTGAGCGGAGCGAGAAATGTATTGGTTTTATGTTTTTTTTCTGTGGGCTACTTTTTTACCATACATTTTTCTCAGATTTTCAGTTAGATAGGTATAGCACTTTTTCTGAAAGGAAATCTGACTGGGGTCGTATTTTAGGGAGGTCGTTTAAATCAAGATTTTCTCAGAAATTTTTCCAATAAATGGGAATAAATCAGAATCGTTTTTCGAAATTGAAGATTCAGGTCGGCCGCACACCAGAAGAGCGAAACTGTGTTAGACAATATTAGTCATTTTCTTGTTAAGGCTTGGTTTTTAACAATTTGACATAATTACGACGATGTGGATCATAATCTCAGCTATGATATTCTGCTACAAAAATAGTAGTTTTTAAGCACTTAATTATGTGGCAGAATATCAGTATTTTATAGTAATAGCCACGGTTATGGTATTATTCTGTAGTGTTATCGCGTAATATATTATCATTTCTTGTTAGTTTTTCAAAAATTCACAATTAAAATCTTAATTGATGTTTTATATTATGATACTTTCTTTTTTAGCTTTTGGTTTATTTATTACTTCAAAATTATTTACCTACTTACTTTGTGCGAAAAAATTAAACTTAATTTTTAATAGACTAGTAGGTACATATTTTTAGGATCATGGCTGTAGTTGATATTTGATAGAAGGCAAAGAAGATGATGATCTAATTCTTGATTGAACTATCGTCTAATAATGATAATATTTCACCAATTTTCAATAATAAAAACACCGAAGTAACTTAAAGTACGCTAATAATAAGACATTTGGTTGATAATGAAACAAAATTTAAAGAATATTTTCGATTTACTCAGTCATTGTTTAATGATGTTGTAAATTGTATAAAGCATGATATAAAGAATAAACCTTGCAATTAATATTTTAATCCTTATCAGTGAATGAGACATTAAGTACCTATTACGTTAGGTAAATAAATTTCTTAATAATAATTTTAATGTTTAAACTATGTATACTTTTTTTGTATCAAAGAAAAATGTACAATAAATTCATAGAGAAATTTAAATATTTTGGTGATCTTTTAAAAGTTTCAACTCAATATCTGATATAACTTAGAATAGTTTGGCTTGTTAGATAGGAAGAAATGATTTTACAGTACCCACTATACCACCAAAACGTAGATCAATAGGATCTTCAAATGCAACAGTTGTATTTTTATTAATAAGTGTTTGAGGCATTTACATTCTTTCTTTACATACTTCGTGAAAGGGTTAAACCAACATTTAACTATATTACATTCAAATTGTATTTTTATTAATACACCTACTATTAAAAGCAGCTATATTTTATGATATTATAGTTATTTTTTAATGAAATATATAATGTTTCATGTTTGAAATAGTGAATTTTTAATGTAGAATCAATATGTCTATTATAGTACGATTGGTCTTACCCCACCATAGGGTAAAATAAATCGAATGCACTTTTAAAAAAAAATTGTTCCAATTTATTCTTTTGATTTTTGAAGACAACAAGTTTAGCTTTAAAATGGTGTATGTACTTTTAAAGTTTTATTTTTAGCCAAGATATTTATAGTTGTGCTTAGGTGATCAGGCCTAACCCATTCTCTATACTAATATTTTCACTAAATTAGTAGATAGAGCAGGTACTACAATATTTGTTTTTATGTTAAGCACCCACTCATACCTTAATCTTAAATAAAATCAGGAAATAGTGGTTCTTAAATACTTTCGCCCTTGCAACAGACAATACTAATTTTTAATGCTATGATTAATTGACTGGTGCGAGATGGGTTATAGAAATAATTTGATTAGTCTACTTAAATAATTAAATTTTTGCCAATAGTCAACCTGGTAGGTGACTCACAACAAATAAAATATGCAAACAACAAAAACTAATTCCAAATTGGTTCAGTAAATAATCTGCAATATACAGATCAATAATAATAAAAATAATTTATTTACATGGAGTATAGACAAGCCAGTTGCTAATACCTAATCTAGAATATAAAAATAATCAATAAAAATTAACAATATAATAAATAATAAAATAGGAACAATGATATAATAAACAATGATGATAATAATAGGTAATTATTTAACACATGTACACATAAATAAATGGTTTAAAAACAACTAAAAAAAGTAGAATGGTGGAGTGCATCATGGTCACATAGTACTATAATAGATACTTGATATTAACTTAAAATAACTTTATCTTAATAAATGTGTATGCATATGTGTGTGTATCCAAACTATTCAAAATAATTAGCCTCCCATATAATTATCACATAGAACATCTGACAGTTCTCTCCATTTGATCCTATATTGCACATATTAGTCAAAGCCACCATTATTTTATACAAAAGATCCTAAGTACACACTCGATCTCTTTTTTTAATTAGTCAGGCCATTATTTTTCAAATTTGACAACACTGGACAAAAAAAAACATTTAAATTATTAAACAGTTTGTAAAATGAAAAATAAAATGTATAATGTATATTTCTTTTTTTGGTTTAATTTCTATGGGATAGAATTTACTATAAGTACCAATAACATATAACATAAAATTAATTATTTTTGAGTTAATGTTGGATGCAGTAAGATTTTTATTTTATTATTTAATTATTATTATATTGAAAATTGTTAACAGTACAATAAATGAAAATAATAATTTAAAAAAATAAATATAATTATAATTAAACTTAAATTTTTAACCGATTTTTTTAAAAGAAGAAAAAAAAGAAGTACAATTTTTATTCATTGATTATTTTAGAAACTTCTGAGCAATAAAATTAACTATGAATATTAATGACAAATAATGAAAATAAATTATTCTTGAGGCTTTCTTGGATACATGAAGATTTTTATTTTTTTAATTTAAAATGTGTCCATAAAAAAAAATTTATCTTAACTATAATTATATTAAAAATGATTCACTGTTCAATTAATAAAGATAATAACTTTAAAAAAAAAAAGAAAACCATTAAAAACATCGATTCTTGGGTGGAGGGATTATTGGTATGTAGTCAGTAAAACTATCTTCAGCAAATGCATCACAATCCATTTTACCATACACATCAGTTTGCATCAATATTTTTAACTGTGGGATATTTTGATTACTAGATTTTTCTTTTACTTTTGTGGAAAAACTGAAGGACTCAAGTTCTGATTTATTAGCTTCAGGTGTGTTTAAACGCTTAATAGACATATCCCAGTAACTGTTTTTATCTGGTAGTATGTAATTCTGAAATAATAATTCTGTTGTCGATTGTTCACATTTTTCAAATGTTTCTAACTGAAACTCATCAAAGGTAATATGATTAGCAAAGTAAAATTAAAAGTCATTAATATTCAAATGTATACACTCACTATGTCATCTTGTACTTGGCTATTTAATGATAAAATGTCTTTTTTCTGATTCCATGCTTTTAACTTTAATTCTTGGAAAACTTGTCCCTAATTGATTAACACAAATTGTTTATAGATGATAATATAAATATGATTAAATATACAATAGGATAAAAAATAAGTTGATATTAAAAAAGATGTGTCTCTATTGTAGGTGAGAAGTTGGAAAGGATATATTAATAGCTCAAAAGTTTTAAAATTTAAGTTTTCTGTTAAAATTTTAAGTTTGTGAATACTTTTAACACAATTAAAACAAAAAATGATTTGTTTTATTTGAAAGTATCTAGACCCCTTAGAAAATAATGACCCTTGCTTTTACAGATAGTCTAATCTTAAATTTAAATTATTACCATTGATCAATATAAAAGTTGTTATACTGTTTAATAAAGCTTTAATTTTACATGGTTATTTTATATCAAATTTCTTTTATATAAGTTAACTAGATATGTCTATATATTTATACAGGAGAATAAAACATTAATTATCTAATAAAATAATATAGTAAAAACAAAATTATTAAAATGGTTAATAAATATATAAATACAAATTGTATGTATACAATTTGTTTACTTATATATTTACTTACTATATTAATCATTTGACCAACTTGTATCTATTTAGATTAAAATATTTTTAGTAAAAGAAATTTTTATTTACCTTATTAATAATAATAAAAATAGTAAATATAAAGATAAATTTTTTACTAACATTGCTATATTATCCTATTATTATATAACATTAGTTTTCTCTTACATGAATTAACTGAGGATTGGCACACATAGTTTTAATGAGATAATAATCACATCTTAGTTCTTCAAATGATATTTCAATAAAATTCAAACTACCAATTGGTTGAATTGGGAAGACTTTTCCAATGGGATGAAAACATGTAAATGGCCAAAGGTTGCTTTTCAACTGTTCCTTTATATGTGATTGATAAACTTTGCTGAATATTAAAAAAAATGTTACTTATTGTGTTATAAAATTGTAGAATACAAATTAAAGTATACTTACATTTCCTTTTGATAAACCTTTAACAATTTTTCTTTCTTCCTAATATTATCATTACATCTAAAACATTTATAAACATTTAGTAATTATATAAATTAGTTACTAATTAATATGATAAGTATATACAAATATTTACCAACAAAAATTAAATTAATTATACATTGATAGGTAATTAATAGAACTGACACTGAAATATATTAAAAATAGTTTAATAAAAGTGATGCAAATTTATAAACCTAACATCATAATTTATTATGATTCATTATCATAGTCTAAACCTCAATTTCCAATGTCAAGTATTACTAAAACCTTATATAAATATAAATTTGATATATTATTAAAAATAAAATAATACAAATTTGTTTCCCAATGTCTCTCAATTTTTATCTTTCTTTAATTTTTTTTTCATTTTTAACTTTTCTTAAATATCTAAGTATAACAGAAAGAAGTCATAAATGTAAACTGTTTAATGAACTAATATGTAGGGTTACTTGAAAAATAAATTATAATATAAATTGAAAGTGTAGGTATTTTTCTTATGGATTCACATAAATAAAAGATTTGCTCTACTATTTATGAAAAGAAATACAAATTAAATTATTAGCAAAAAATAGCATTAAAAATCTAAAATACTTCAAATATGCAAAAAATAACAAAATAAAATTTCATAGTTGGTTTCCCTGATGGATAAAACAAATGTTAAGCTTACTCTTCTATTTTTATTTGTATCTTATAATAATTAGCAAATGCTATAAAATTGGAGCCCTGATTACAATTTATTAAAAAACAATAAATTACAGAATTACTTTAATACATTGTCATTACTGTCTAGAATATTAAGATCAGTTTTACATTTTTAACAATAATATACAACATATATTACTATAATCTTATTTTTGTTTCAATTTACCCATTTGAATTAAAATCAGTTTTGAAATTGGTTAAAAATTCCTGAATACTTCCACTACTTGGCTGATTGCTAAATTCAGAGTTTAATCCATTATTATCCCGAAAATTTTTTCTAATGTACTTAATATTATAATCATGAGACGATTCATTATCAATTTTCACATTATATTCATTTTTTGAATAATAGTCATATGCATTAGAATCCTTGTGTTGTCTTCTAGTATGGTTAATGTTTCCCGTATTACTATAATGGTATTCTTTATTTTGTTGGTAATGATCATTTTTGAATGAGATATATTTGTTTTTACTTTCAGGTTGATAATTATATTGATTATAACCTCTATGATATCCTTGGTCATTGTTTTCATTGATTTGAGAATAATTATCATCATAATATTGTTCACTTTTATTTTCTATAAATATAAAAATTAATTATACACAATTATTAAAATAATACAACATTAAATAATTTGTATTTAATTTTAACTAATTTAAACAATTTTATTGGTAATAATCATTTTTCAATGAGAAATATTTGTTTTTACTTTCAGGTTGATATTTATATTGATTATAACTTCTATGATATCCTTTGTCATTTTTTTGATTGATTTGATCATTTTTATTTTCTATAAATATAAAAATTAATTAAACATAATTAATAAAATAATACAATATTAAATAATTTGTACAAAAATATAATCAATTAAAATTACTATTAGAGGGAGCTATAAATACAATTTATTTCTCAAGTTTTTGAAAATTGTTTATAAACAGGACCCAAGATCTAAAAGGTATATTCTTTTAAAAACAATTGAATGTAATATGAAAAATTTAATAAAATATCTATTTGGATACATATTCAAATAATTAGTTACTTATTTAAAAAAAATGAATGTGATAATAAAATGTAGGTTTTATAAACTTACTCTTGGGTTAAATTTGAATTATGTAATTCTACCAAATAATCTTGGTAAATCCTATAATGGAATTCCAATAATTAACGTGAACTAGGTAGGTTTAATAATCTACTTGGTAATGCTTTACAAATGAGTATTAAAAAATATAGGATATTCACATTTCTGCAAAAGTCCAAATATTTGAAACAATCAGGATAACTATTTATTTTTTATATAAGTACGCTTTTTTTTTTTTTTTATGCTTAAGTTTAAATCATTGAATACCTATTTACCTACGTACATATAACATTACAGTAAAACCTCATTAGTCTGGACTAATTGAGGCTCTAGGTTGTCCGAATTAAATAAAATAACCAAAAGCCGGGTAAATTTTTTTTATTTAAAAGTTTACCGGCTTTAACCAAAAATTAACTCAAGTCCAGTTTAATGAGGTTTATTGTACTTAAAATCTAGGGTTTACATTAATTTTATAAATTGTTGACGAAAAATACATGTATAGTATAGTCAAGTATGATATAATATTTATATTGATATAGGATAAAAATCCTTTTTAAATTTGTTACCTTATCAGTATCGGCCTATATAATATTCATAAATAATAGGTAGGTATGTAGGTATACTCACTATTGTATCTCGGTTTAGACTCGTTGTAATAATGGTCATTATTTCGGGGGTCCGAATGGAGAAACCGGCATGATGAACCAAAATTACAAGTTCCATTCAAGTAAAACCTACATACTTTTGACATTTTTATGGAGCTGGTCGGAAGTGATTCAAATAATAATTATCTAAATAATTTTAACCGTTTGTGACATCCAACGGATACTTAAAAAAAAATGTTAAACGAAATTAATAATTATGAAAAGTTAAAACTAATTGTTAACACCGTCACGACTTACATAAACAATTATTGAAACCTAAAACAATTATAATCGCGTAGATACTAAGCATATGTAATCGATCCATTTTTAGGCGCATAGTTAATATCTATGATTCCGCTAGTAATATTTGATAAGAGAAAGCACAGTGGTTCCCAATTTTGTATATAATGTCGCCCAGAGAGTAGGGAGCCTATACATTATTATAATCATGACATTGCTGATTAAACGTCTTGTAATTTTTTATTTGTCTGTTTATTGCCTATCTAAACGTTGAAATTCTATTTCTACTGCAGCCAGCAGGGCGATTCTGTAACATTATCATAAAGTCGATTAGAAATATTATACCTAGTCATTATTATGATGGTGCGACAAACAAATATTTCGGAACGATACTAGTTTAGCTATCGCGTCATGTTTGAGAGTTTTTTTTTTTCAAAATATTTGTTTTTGCATGTTATTGGAAATTATGGGGAAAAACTTCATAAAGTTCTGGTTTTCCGTTTGACGTATTTCTTAGTTAAAATTTAAAATTTTCAAATTTATTTAATTTTTCACCGAAAATGTGTTTTTAAATGCTTAGTCCATTGGTTTAATCAAAACTTACCTATCATACTTACTTTTATAGTGTTTGTAAATTAACCTTGAATATAGCATTTTTGGAATAAATCCGAAATGTGGTGAAAACAGACATTTTTTTATTATTATTATTTATAGTTATAGATATTTTGATAACAAAGTTTTTTGTTGAAGTCAGAATAAATCTATCTGGTTTTGTGTTAAAATTACAAACGTTCAAACAAATGCGCCGTATTTCGCTGAGCTCAATTGGACAATTTTAATGGAAAATAACTCTCGAATAGGTCACAAGGTAAAATCAAATGCATCATTAATACCGTTGATATAAATAAGTAGATACTTATCTCGGAAGTAAAGACTCATAGGTGTGCGCACGGTGGGGGGGGGCAGGAAGGGAGCTGCTCTTCCTGCGGGCTGAACTTTTCTATTAAAAACTGTGAAATTTCAATTATTTAATTAAATTAAATTATATTGTTTTTTCTGTCTGTGAATAACTTTTCTACTAGAAAATTTGTTCTGAAATATATACTGTAGTACCTTTTCAAAAAGGTAATTTTCTCTCATTGATACATTGAATAGGTTATTTTTCAATTTGAAATAATTGAGAAAAACCCGAAAGAAAAGTATGAGTAAAACGGGAAATATGTATAGCGCGCCACGTCGTTACCGTTAGACGATGTTTTCCACCAATCTAAATCCAAAAATGACAAGAGACCGATTTTGTTCCTTATAATATTTTTCCACTGATAACTTAACTCGTTTTTGATATTATTTACTACATTTTTTTTTATAATATTTGGAAAACCTAAAAAAGAAGAAATATATGATTTTTTCCAATTTACGTTACAACGATTTCATTATTTTAAATTTGTATGGCATGTTTTCTATCATAAATATTGCTCAAATTGATAAACGACAAAATACATTTTTTATTGAATTTTTAATCTAATTTATAAGTAAGTTATTCATTTTTTGATTAGATTGGGCAAAACCGACAAAAAATGCAGAAACTACGGAAAATGTATAGGTACAAACGAATTCTTTTATTATTTCCAATTTTTTTTTTTAAATGTAATTTAGTCGAATCTATTCATAAAGACTTGAAACTGACGGAAAACTTATATTTGATTTTTCTAGACGTGGTAACATTTTAAAAATATTTGATCTATGTTTGAGCTAATTATAGACATTTTAGATACTTTAATTTTATAAGTTTTGTATAGAATTTTTATTCGGTAGGTACTCTGTGAATAAAATTGTTAGACTCAACAGAAATGCTAGGAAATTTATCAGGATTTGATAGATGTTTTACTTTGTGGTCAAAAAAAAATTTGAGCTTTATGTAGTATTTTTTTCTTTATAAAGAAATTTTAATATCAAATTTTTGACGAAAACCTTATATGTTACGGCCTTTCAAAACATGTATAATCAAACTTCGCTTCTAATTATTTTCCGTTACCAATGATTTATCGTTAGTTACAGGTATAAATTAAATAACTTTATGTATCTAACCTTCCCCAACTACCCAACTACAACAGTGGTCCCACCCTTCTCATTATTAACTCATTTTTTTTTTTTGCCTTCTTTACTTATAAATGTCTTTTTTGATAGTGATGACGACGACGATTTAATAAGTATTAATCCTAATACTTAGATAATTATTTATGTATGCAGTACGCCCTAATAACTTCAATGGACGTAAAACGTTTATTTTCTATGTACATACATATTTTGAGCCCAAATAACCGTCATCGTTTTACTGAATACAATTTATTTAATATTTTAATAAAATTTGGAATTATTTTTTACATAAATTAAATGTTTTTTTTTCACATATTTAATGCTTTTTTTATTGATTATATTGCCTTCGAATCCGAACCCTACTAATAAGTAGATAATAACTAAAATAATATTCAATTATATTACTTACAAAATAAAATAGACATTCTGCCCCCTCTGCCAGCAATGTCTGCGCATACCTGTAAATAAGGTCCATGTTCATACTTTGTGTTTTTATCTGATTGTAAACTATGTTGTTACACGTCATAGTCGTCATCATAGGATCGACAATTGTTCGCGTCATTAGTACGTCGAGTTTGAACGTCTATAACTCTAAAACTAGGCCAGATAGACTATTTCTGACTCTTTTATCATAATATTAATAACTACAAATAATAATAAAAAAAAAATGTCTTTTTTTGACCACATTTTGGACTAATACCAAAAATGCTATTTTTCAAAGTTAATATACAAAAGCTATAATAGTAAGTATATGATAGGTTAGATTTGACTATATCAATGGATTAAGCATTTAAAAACACACATTTTGGAAAAACAAATTTGAAAATATTAAACTCTAACAAAGAAATTCACGATACGGAAAACCCGAACTTTATGAAGTTTTCTCCCATAACTTCTAAACGAAATTTGTCTGTCTCTTTTTTACATTCTTAATGTAGGTAAATGCAAAAACGCATATTTTGAAAAAAAATACCAAAAAGTCACGTGGGAGCTAAACTAGAATTATGCCAATATTTCCATACTAAAGATAAATAAAATACAAATACTGCCAATGTTCAGTTCTGAGTTTTTATACATGTTTGCATAATTAACTATAAAATTACACATAAACCTACGTATTTTTATTTCATTTAAATCTCGTTCTTAAAATTATTATTTTATTAGTATCTGATTTAGGTACATAATTATTTATTTAGGTATCAGATATCTAATATAACCTCCACGCGATCCAGACCGAATCGTCAAATTCGTGGTCCAGTTCGGTTCAGATTACGTAAATATCAATAGAATGCTACCTGCCTATATTAATATAATTTTAATTAGGTAAGTACCTATCTGTAGGGTAGGGTAGGTACCTCTAGGGTGAATCCCTAGATGCTGCAGAACGGACATAAAATGTGACATCTAATGCACAACCACGAGAGTAGCGAATCAAAGTATAAAGAATCTGAACACAAAATTGTATTTTACATATAAGTGCACATTTTGATGTTAAGAGAATATTATATTCGTATAAAATCGTATCTTTACATATTTGGCTAATTAAAAATGTATGAGTTGAAATATTTATAGAAATTAAAAAACCATGTACATTTAAGTTATATGTGTATCTGTGTATATCTATAAGCAACGATACACCGTTTCTGAGCGAAAAAAAATGATTCTGAGCGAAAAAAAATGATTCTGAGCAGAGTTCAGTTTCAGATAGTGTTACATTGTCAACAATATATATGTCATATTATATGGTAAAATAATTAAATAGGTATAATATATTTTCTTTAATAATATTTGTTTAATAATGTACTGATTTTCTCGATTTTCCCATGTTTCTTTCCCGGTTTTTCCCATTTGTTAAGAAAACTCCTGGTAAAATCAAAAAATTACCTTCTTAAAGTACTAACTAGAAAAAATCATCTTTCAGAAAAAGTGCTATGGTCTATACTTCGAAATAAGTTTTCTGATAGAAAGGTTAACAGATACACACAAAAAAAAATAAATACACACATATCATAATAAAACCAATACATACCTCGTTACACTCTAAATCTGAAAATACACATTATTATACAACCAATATATTCCTCACTTCGTTCAGAAAATAAAATTAATAAATAAACTCAATATTCGAATGAGTTTTTTTTTAATTCCCGCAAAGTAAAGATGTTAAGTTTTTCTAAATATATTACTAGCTGATCCGGTAATGCTTTGCTACTGCTAATATAATAGGGTAAAATATAAAAGTAGGTAATAATAACAATAACAATAATAGTTTTCTTGTCCGTGACAACCAAATCGTCATCCATATCATCAAGGTAACCCATGAATAAACAATAATAAATACAAAACCAATTAGATATTCCTACCAAAAATACATAAAAACCCTTATTTTACTCCCTTAGGGGTTGCATTTTCAAAAATCCTTTTTTAGCGCATGCCTACGTCATAATTGCTATCTGTATTCTGTATGCTGAATTTCAGCCCGATTCGTCAAGTGGTTTGGGCCAGGTAATGATGAATCAGTCAGTCAATCGACAATCAGTCAGTGAGGACAAGTTATTTTATATGTATAAATAATCGAAAAGACGCTCTTTTGATCAACTGTTCAACGATAAAAATTACCCCGAATAGATGTATGTTAGATATAGGTTATCCATCCAAAGTTGCTTCTTCGCCAAAAATTACGACCGCGATACCGCTGCCACCAGTTGTTGTGATCGTACAGGTTGTTCCGTTCGAACGTTATTTTTTGCGGTAGTGTGGTAGTTCAGTTTTAGTAAAAATTTTAACAAAACAGTCCTAAGGATTTTTGAGCTAATATAATTTTTATGTAACGACTAGAACGACTGACTCACCGGTCACCGGCTTCCTCGCGGGTGCCGTATCGATACAATATCCCTGGAGCCACCTACACACTAGGCGTTATCGACAAACTACAATCATATACTCTTATAATATACGCTTATACTGTATACCTATTATAACTAAGGGGTTCATAACAATAGTACAAAATAAATACTCCTTTTAAAATATTAAATTATAATTGGTCATTAGATATTTATAGTTATTATCACATTATCATATTTTCCAATATTGATTTGTTTTAAGCGATAATGTTTAAATTTTAAAGAAAATCATACACATTACTATTTACGGTATAACCAGTAACTAAGTTACACTGGTTACAAGAAATAAGATTATATAATAACAATACGAATAATACATATATTTTTTGGTTATCATTTATTATTTTGTATAAACTTCATAAACGAGTAAATTTAATTCACACGAAATGGACCAGCAAATAGAATTGCCAGCAAAAGACGTATTTGCTTTGCTAGGCGTCCCCGTTCCCGAAAATCTCGAAACGGTGGCAAAATCTGGACAGGGACAGGGTGACGCCAAAGACGATGCGGCCAACGAGTCACAGTATTCACTCGACGAAGATGACAAAGTACCCATTAATGTAAGTATTAAGTTCTATAACCTTTTTTTAAAACATTTGTGTATTATACATATTTTGTATATTGGTGAGATACGTCTATTGTTGGTTTATAGTTAATTACCGAACGGCCAACTGTCGATGTAACTCCACCAGAAGAGCATAGTTCCAGCGATGATATGACCGACACTGAAATCGACGATGAACGATTTCACGACCCGAATTGGACCGCAAACTTAAAAAAATCAGATTGCGATGCATTGAAAATACTGTTGCAAGCTATTAAGGTATGAGACGGCGGCTTACAGTCGATACTTAAACGTTCGACAAGTTTTATTCATGCTTTTAGTTTCATAGAATTCGGATCATACGAAAACGGTTTGTGCGTTGATCAAACTCAAGATGAATGAAATCGAAGATTTCGCCTATCAAAATATGTTTATCGCTCTGAATGGGTTCGAAGTTTTGATCAATATACTAGAAAGCAACAGCCACAGATGCATTGTTAACAACAATCACTAATCATTTTTTGTTTTATCATATACTTTTTCATTGTTGTAAAACTATGTACTGTATTATTGTTTCCAGAAAGGGGCTTTGGTCGTTATACACGGAATGGCTCAACAGTACGGAGCTCGATGCTCGTTGTGCGATTTAGACGCGATAAAACCGTTATTGAGTATTTTATTGTTCAAGAAAAACGTCATTCTTCGGTATTTAGCCGCGGACACGTTACGTAACCTTGCACACTTGAAGAGGGGCAGAAAACTTATTCGTTTAAGAGGTGGAATCGACATCCTGGTACGTATATACCACAGAATTACGAAAAATATTTTTAATATTATTATCTTTTTTAAAACATTATATTGATCACAAAATTACGCTTATAAGGTGCACACGATGGACACGTCAAAAGACATACTATCTATTCCTGCTGCTGAATTGATTTCGAGAGACAGAAAGATTGTGCGTCTCGTGAAGACTTGTTCCAGCATTCTGAATTTTTTATGCAGATCCTTGAAAAGTCAAGAAGCATTATGGTAATTTATATTTTATAGATTTTAACAGTTTTATAATTAAGGGGGTTAGAGGGGAGAAGGGATCTGATTTTGTTTTTAAACACGAAGCCCGAAATACAAGGTTATAAATACAGTAAAATTTGGTTAAGAATATCAAGGGACCAGCATAAGAGAGTGTCTTAAGCAAGGAAAGCGTCTTATGCGGCAATTGAAAAACAATTGTTAAAATGTCGAGTTTATTTATACATTTGTATTATTAACCATATTTATTATTACTATTATTATCATTATTATTATTCACTTTATAATGTATATTATTTCATTTTTATCACTACCTACACGAACCTAAAGGTATAAATATTGGCTAAAGAGCTGCACTACACTAAAGCGCTTTTTTCATGATACATTTAATCGTACGACAGGTTGCATAACTTTGTTTGATACGATCTCACAAATGATTATCGTAACGTGATTGTTATCACACAATATGACGCTTCTACCAAAATGATGAATTGTATAACTTATAGTACAATAAGTCGTTTAAATGCGTGTGACAATTCGCGTACTGCAAGTTCGTATAACTAGTTCATACAGTTGGTGTACGATTAATTGTATCGTGTATCGGACGCTTAAACCATAAACACTCGTTATTTCAGAACACGATAAAGTAAAAATAAAACGATAAATATGGCTAGTACTCGTATAATGGTTACACTATCGCCCAAATACTATATATATATATATATATATTTATCGTCAACTGCTGATCAAAAGAGCGTCTTATCCGATTATACATAGAAAAGCCGAGCATCTGATGACTGATCAGTTGGTTTTTACATTAATTAATACGGGAAATGTCTAGGCTCGAGTTTACTGTACTTGCACAGATGAAAAAAATAAATGCATCAGGAATTATTTTTCACGTCCACATCCTCAATAATAGAAAAATAGTATGATAATCCTATTAGAACTGTATTTTTGGAGACCATTGAATTGGCTCCCGATATTAGGTGAAGTACTTCATCGAACATTGTATTGGCTCCCAATACAATTTTGAACAAGCGGTTCTTATAATATAAAGTGATTCTATAAATATAAAAGTGGAAAAATTACGAGCGTTTAATATTTTTAGCGACGCAGTGCCAAAAAACTGCTAAGAATTATCTAATCTTTAATCCGAAAACGCATTAAACAGTCACAACCATCGTAATTATAAAGTTTAACAACTAATTTCACTGGTATCGTTAAACGCAGTACTCGTAGTTCATCGCAATTCATCGCAGCTCGGTGCAATTTGTTCACAATTTGTACCTCTATAGTTATGTATAAAAATGTGTAGTGAAATGGGAGAATTTACCATAAACCTCTCCAAAATGCATTAAAACACTTCAAATGTCAATTACCTGAATTTTGGCTCATTCAATAGCTCCGGTGTAACCAAGATTATTTACCCCCGTTAAATTTTACCTCCTCCCCTTGGTAAATATTCCCTGGTCAAATTTTACCGGGGATAAATATTCTTATATATAATATAGTGATATTTTACCCCTAGAATATTTTACCAGGGTAGGTAAAATTTCACGCGGTAAATAATGGCGGGTACACAAAACAAATATTTTTAACCTTCATCGACAATATTAATCGTAATATTATGATATAATAGTACCTAAATATGTATGTTCAGGAATTCCGGATTTATAAATCTCCTGCCACAACTGCTGAACACGAGTAATGGTGAAATACAAATATCCGTTATGAGTTCTGTAGCAGAATGTTGTCGATCGAGGCCGAACGTTGTAAGTAACAAAATGGCCGAACTGTGCAAAGTGGCTTTGAAGGACTTGATGCAATTGCCAAGAATTATTGGGTTTATGCTCGGTAATTACCCCGAACTCGCTGGGAAATCGGCTGAAATTCTCCTCGGCATGGTAGACGATGATCCTAGCATATACGACGTACTGTTGAAAAACGAAGGCGTTCAAGTCGTATGCAAAGCTCTTCAGAAGTTTTAGTAAATATATGTTGGTTTACACGATGTATACACTTTTTTGGGAATATTTGAAATACGATGTTGCGGGAAAATGAAATGTTATATGATTAACTATATAATTCATTCAAAACCTTATTTATCAATAATAATTATTTGATTATACCGCCTATAATAGTTGTAATACGACTGATACTAGAGTGCCCTATAGATACGGACACAGGGGGGTGTTTTGGATGCTCAAACACCCCCCGAAATATTTAGTTTAACCTAATCTAACCTTTCATATGTTTATTAAAAAAAAAGGTTCTAGTTTTCGATAACTGATTTTAAAATACACCTCCCAAAACTTTTTTCTACGTATGTCTCTGCTGCCCTATAATTTTACTAAATCTGGATGCTTTTACCACCATAATAAATCTCTGGAATCGTTTTGATATTATTTATACTTAAACGAATAAAAATATAAAGTTTTTAATGTATATGTTAACCTTTTAATAGTAACGAAGAAGAGGCGCTGGCATCGATCATACGTTTGCTGTGGAAAATGTCACTCGATGTAAAATGTAGACAAGCCATCGAACGGCAGGGCGTTATAAATGATTTGCTGCAACTGTTATCGTATAAATCGGATGAACGGCAAATAGGTACAATCCGAGACGATCTGATCAACCAGGTGATCGGTTATTCGGCCGGTACACTGTGCGAACTATGGAAATGCGAGTCTTTGCGTTCCCAGTTAAAATACGACGCTATACCGAAATGTTTAGAATTACTCAAGTCAAGCTTGGACAGCCTGGTATTGACTCACGTGTGTAACGCTTTGGCCAAGGGGTCTACCGATTCAGATTGCATGGATATGATAAATGAGGCAAATGGATTTCGATTTGTTGTCGTGCTACTGCCATCTTTGGAAGTGTACGAGTTCGATAAATACGACGATTTTTACAAACCCGAAACGATTATCGCAGCCGCCGAATGTCTGACCATGATGATCGTCAATAATCCGGTTAAAATAATAATTTCATATAGTCACTATCTGCTATTTTTTTATCTATTTATAATATGTACTAGCTATCCATCGCCCCGTCGTTATCCGTGCTATTTTTTTTTAATATTTACTTTTATTTCCGTTTTGCTTTGTCCGTATAAGTATATTGAACTAAAAAAAAAAGAGCTCATACTGGAGATGGGATCGACCACTGTTGTCAGTGAGAAGTAGAGAAGGTAGGATACATAAGGTTATTTCATTTATATCTGTAAGCAACGATAAACCATTGTTTAACGAAAAACGATATATAATTTGAAGTATCGTATTTCTTTTTTTTTTTTTTTTGAAATTTTCGTTTAAATTTGATTTCAAAACGCTTTTTAGTTTTGGCAATAATACCGTAAGAAATTAAATCAAAAAGGCAACAAAAAAATGTGTATTGTGATTTTTCGATTAAATCATTTTTCTGGTAGAAATGTTGTTCGTGTTTTTATAAAATAATGAAATCGTGAATTGAACGTTTTCCTACGTTTTTTTCATCCGTATTACCATAGATACCTGCACAAAACAGGGATTAAACTATGTATCTACTATAATAACTCTAAATTATGATTGCATAATAGTACTGTAGTTTTAATTTTTTTATCAAAGATACAAAGATTCAGAGATAACGTTTTAGTGTTTTTACTTTTCACTTACCAATCCAGTACAGTGCATAGTTTTGTTTTTTTTTTCATTCATATTACCAAGGTAGCCCATTTTATTTCAATCCAATAAAAGACCAGCAGATAATTAGATAGACTCTTTATTTTAAGTTGGTATAGTTGTTATGGCATTTTAGATTCTGGGTCTAGCGAAGAATATATTGGATTAACAAAGATGTTTATTATATTTTTTACGTGAAGACTTTTTCTTTCAGAAAGTTTAGTCCAAATATCAAGTATAGCTCTTTTTTTGAAAGAAAATGTTTTATGGGTGGTACTTTGAAGGGCTCATTTTTTAAAATTCTCATTAATGTTCAAGATAATCAGGAAAATCTAAAAAAAAAATTAAAAATAAGATTGTTATTGGCCAACGTTTTCATTTATTTTTTGTTATTATTATTTTAAATCTTTTTTTTAAACAATCATTATTTTCATAGAAACGTACAATGTTGTTATAATTTTACCACAATATGACATATATATTGTCGAAAAGGCAACATTATCAACTGAACTCCGCTCAAATTCGTTTTTTCGTTAGCAATGATCGTTGCTTACAGGTATACATTAAATTCCCGTGGGTATACTATCATGCCAACTTCCCTCCTACATCAGCTAGTGGCTCCATTCACGTGCGAAATATATCTGTCATTTTTATTTCTGTTTTTTTTTTTCATTTAATCCGTGATGGTCTAGAATTCTACAAAGATAATTTAATTTTTCTACCAAAAATACCTAAAATCCTTTGATCCCCTATTTTATCTCCTTCAAGTTTTATTTTCACGACCAAAATTAGCCCATATTTTTCTTCAAGGTCACATCTATCTCTATACCAAATTCATCAAAATCCGTTCAGTAGTTTTTGTTTGAAAGAGTAATAAACATCCATAAATCCTCACAAAGTTCACATTTATAATATTAGTAGGATATTATATTTATACATGATGTAATTAGGATCAAGATAACTATTACAAGGGAATGTTCGACGCACTCTGTGATTTGGCGGATTTGTTGACTCATAAAAACTTAGATATCGTAGCGGCAGCTTGTCGACTCGTCGAGGTAGCTGCCACTCCGTTTGAATACAATATACACGTTATGGCTGGAGCAGGAGCTATAGAGAATTTAGCTAATCTTATATCTACGGTAATGATGTTAAAATTTACGAAAAAATCGATGACAAATCGAATTCTGTTGTATAGGAGCACACAAAATTACGGGCCAATCTTTGTAGAGCTATGGGTAAATGTTGTAGCGGAGGCTCGACCGCGCATATTTTGGGTTGCAAAAACGTTTTGGAACAGCTATTAACGTACACTAAATCCAAACATCAAATCGTTCGAGATAACGTTCCTCTGGCACTTAGTGGAATATCTGAAGACCCACTGAATTGTGTGAAAATCGAATCGCTAGGATTTCTTCCGGTAACATAATATTGTTCTTATAACTATTATTATTTTCAATAAAAAATCCAATGGTACAAATTCGTGTACAACTGATACTTTACAGTTTCTGAAACAAGCCATTACATCGGAAAATCGTGAAACAGCTCAAGCTGCGGCTGCTTGTATTAGAAACGTCAGAAAGGTGTGCACAGCTATCGGCCAACATCAAGAACACAAAGTATAATGAACCCAAACCAAATTATTTTACGAAAAATTACAGTTGAGTGAAGTATTTTAAATATTTTAAAAAGCAATTATATTTTTAGTTGCTCCATTGAAATAAATTATATTTTGTAATCACTTTAAAGCTCGTCAATTATTATAAATTTATCTACAAATTATAGTAGTTAAATTGTCATACTATCATATAAACTGTGCAGAAAATTATCTACGATAGCGATATTTGAAGTTTTATACTATAGTGACATTTGGCAAAGTTACACACTTAGAATTTATATTTTAAAACCTAAAAGCAATAATATATACTTATACTAACTATACACAGATTATTTCTGTGGTAACTCAAACAGTCATATTTAATTTTAAAGAATAATACGATATAAGCATAATATCCGGTTCGTCTAATGATGACATATTTATCTATTAATTAGTTAGCCAAAATAAATTAAAATATAGCGGCATGAAAAAAAAACCAAATGATATCCAACTGTTTTATTTAATAATATATCAAGTACTACTTAAATAATCATGCATATTTAAGCCACGTGTTTGGAAAATGAATTTGGAATAGACATTATTCGTATAGAAATATTAAAGGGGTACCGATAAATTATGTAAAATATCAAAAGATAATAAGCTAAAACATATTTTCATAAGGTAAAAGGTAACCTATATATTATTATACCTATGCAATGTTATTGGTTATAAATAATTTTTTTACGATATAATTGGTCAATAATAATTAAAAATATATAATATAATATTATATGCCAGTACCACCAGTTAAATTACTGTTCGTTGATATTATTATTATTTATTAATTAAGTAAAACGGCTTTTGTAGTAGTAGTAAATTAAAGAAAAAAAATAATAACAGTGCATATAATTTTGCATAATATTATTATGTATACACTTAGAAACAGTGGTGGTCAAACGAGGGGAAGATAGGAATACATTCCCCTTTATTACTTCATTTTAATTAAATATTTATAATAATATAATATAAGGTGATTTTTTAAACATTCTCGCCCATGCTTATGGTTTAATTATGCGTAAATTCAATTTTTTTTTTTTTTTTTGAATTTTAAGTGTAGGAAAAAGACCATATTTTCGAGTACTTAGATTTTTTACAGCACTTAAGGAGTATTCTACGAAAATAATAACTTTAGTTTTTAAAATGAGAATCTATATGTTTTATTACAAATTGTCAATCACACGATTCTCCTAAAAATCTACCTACTAGAAGTTAGTCTAGTCCTATAAAAACAGAACTAGACCAGATCAGATGATATACATAAAAAAAAAACCTACCAGGGTCATAAATTGATAATAAAAATCCGGATCGGGACAAATTTCGTCGTTTAGAACTCAGAATGGTTAACCACAAAAAAAAAAAAAATAGGTTATTAGAAATCAATTACAAAATTTAAAAATTATGTCTCGATAAAAAATATCTAATAATAAATAAAACATGACAAGTGAGATGGCCGTATTTTTTTTAAGAAATACGGAGTATAATTTTATTATCATACGTAATCAAACAATTTATTGCATTCTAGGTGGAAGCAGTGTTGCTGAATTTTAAAACTTTAAATTAGGTGAAAAGTTTTCAAAATTGCCTTAAACAAATTGTATTTACTGATTTTTAAATTGACGACTAAACACAAATAAACTAATACTATTTTTCTAATTGGATGTAACCCAGAATAAACCGGACCAAGATCAGACTGGACCACGCCATATTAAACACATATTATAAATATATAAATATATAAATAATATATATAATAATAATATATACATATTTTAGACGCATCATCATTTTTTACATTAACGACATTTATTGTAATAATAATACATATAGGCTGCATTCGTTCATAATTCAATAGTTGTACAAAACCTATCAGCATTATCTGTTTTTTTTAGTTTCAAGGCTGGGACCTATTGGTTTTAATCATAATTGAACATAATCTATGTGTATTTTCATACTTTTTAGATACGTAGCGTAGCGAGGGATCTATTAGTTTTACTATGATGTGTATTTCTTTTTCTGTTTGTAAACAACTTGTACTACCAGAAATCTTACTCCGATGTATATAGTGTAGTATTTTTTCTACAAAAAAATAATATTTAGTTGGTGCACGATTTCATTATTAAAAATGTTTAAAATTATATTTTTGTACCAGAAATAATTTTCCAAATTTCAAGAATAACATATTTTCAAAAGAAATTTTTGTCTAGTTTGTGAGTAAGAAAGTCGTTAGATTTTCTGTATAGTTTTTTTACTAGTTACGAAAAACCAGAGAAAACCGTAAGAAATATACAAAGTGTACGGTTTTTTGTTATTTGGTTAAAAATAATCGTAGAGACCTATAGTTGTTACAAAATACTTTAATTGACTATTTGTAGACATGGTAAAATTTTCAATTTTTAGACTATTTATAGGTGTCTTATATTTTCGTGAATAATATTATAAATATTAACTGAACGTTTTTTTAGAGAGCCTTTATACAAATTTAAAAGTATTGGTCTAAACGGGTTCACTAAATCCTGGTCCAAAAGGGTTGCAGTTTTATTAGTGGCCTAAAAGTTTCTGGTCCAAACGCGCTTTGCCCGTTTTTATAAATTCTTAAAATAATTTTATGATTATTATTTCATTGAATAAAGTATAAAGATAAAATTTCAAACTTCTTTTAAATTTCTTCGTTTATGGTTTTACAAAGATATGTTACAAAATATGACACATATGTTTATTTTTTAATTTTTAATTTTCTTTTTTTTGTAGATAACATTTCTATCGGATATTTTACTCCGATTTACAATGATAATACTTATTCTCAAAGAATATCTGACTGGGGAGGTACTTTAGAGAGGTCATTTTTTGATTTTCTCACCAATTTTCTCAATAAATGGAAATTTGGGAAAAAACATGGGAAAGCCATAGAAAAAACGGGAAAATAGGTACGATATCGAACAAATATTTTTAAAGAAAATATATATTGCCTAAGTGATTATTTTATCATAATATATGATTTATATATTTTTGACAAAGCAACTACACTTTCAACTGAATTCCGCTCAGAATAGATTTTTGTTAGCAATGGTTAATCATTGCTAACATATATACATTAAATTACCTATAACAGTGCCTATAATCCGTCCCCATTATCCTAGGTCATATTTTTCATCATATTTACATAGGCGAAAGTTAAGGAGACTTGGAACAGATGGTGTGGAGACAGGGCTCCCACGGACCTGTTTCAGTTAAATATATAAAGCCTACTCCAGTTAAAAACTGAAATTGCGCCTGTGAATACTTATATAGAATTTATATTCTACATATTATAATCCTAAATAGTTACGTAAATATAAATCTAGAGAGAGCGGTCACCCCTTATCATGCTCTCCCTCAAATACGCCCGTGAAATCTTATATTGGTGATCTAAATAGTGTACTGGATGAAAATGATTATTATCGAATGACTAGAAAGGGAAAGGTTCATTTTGGCCATAAAGGGTCCCTCCTAAGAAATTTTCCTACAAGCGACACTGTCAATTATTTGTGTTGTTAAATCAAATTAAACTATTAAAGTATTAATATCAATAACAATTTTTTTAATAGAAAAGTAGTAAATTGTCACATGGTAGACATAGGTTTATTGTTCCTTCGCTTTATCTATAGTAATTTTATTATTATATAATATCTATCTATACCGCAGCCTGCAACAAATTATAAAACGGCCTGTTAATTGTTATTAAAATTGCCTGTATCATGTGTGGCATGTTTTTCCATCGTATCGCGGTCACTGATACGGACTTAACGTAAAATAATACCCACTAATAAAACAACTGTTTTAGATTTCGACTATTCTACAACATAAAAAGTATTTTTTATTTTTTCCATTGCTGACCTCTACTAATACATAACAATGCGTACACAAAAATATGAATTTAGAATCATAATGCGTACTCGCAAAAATATTTCACGTGCTCCGAATTGTTATATTTTTATTTTGAAGTTTTTAAAAAAAAAGGTGTTAGATAGGGCATTGGTGTTCTCTGCCTTAACATAATCGTGTTGTAGTTGAATAACACATTATTTATTAGCTCAGAATTATTATTATAGCAGGATATATAAAGTTAAATTTCATATGAGTTGGTTTGTCTGCCATGGTTTTGAATCCATATAAATTAAATCAGTAATTCGTTTAGATAGTTTTTAGTTACATATTCATATACCTGCACGGAATATATATTAAATGATAACCCTGAACAAATTGTTTAAATCCCCAATCTTAGATATTTATTTGCATATACACAGGATATTTATTAAAAAGTTAATTTGCTTTAATGCATGGATAGATAGGTGTATCGGGTAGTCGTAGAATTATCCCAACAACCTTGGTTATTGCATTTTTACTTTTTACCTAAAATATAGTAAACCACAAGTAAAAACCAATAATTTCATAAATAATTTTGCATTATATTAATATAATATTTTACACTCATAGGTAAATTAACACGAAGTAGGTACTTATATAAATATACTCGTAGATTGAAATCGATAAAATGTCCTGTTACTCTTCTAAAAATAATTGTATTTATTATTAGTGTACGGTATGAACGAATACGCTTTTATATATCAGCAAATCCGATCCTATCGTTCAGAATTCGAAAAATTATTCCTACCTAGTTACTATAAGTAGTTAGGTGCTAGGTTAGGCTCTCCGGCATCAGTCAACACACCCCAATAATATTCGCAAATTAAAGTAAAATATCACTCATGATAAAACATTTTAGCAAAATAGTTCAAATTCTTTTTAATAATTAAGTTTTTATTATATTTCCTGGAAAATCTATAATACAGTATAAAATTTCAATCATTATATTACTACATTAAATAATTTTATTTAAATTTAACATAAATAGAATCACTATTAAAGGTTAACGCGATGTTAGTATGTCAACCAGAGCAAATGTTCAAGTAATTATGATTATGTTAATTT